ACTCGCCTGCCGTGATGAAGGTAAATCCTTATCTGAGTTTATCAACCTGGCCATCCAAGTCGATGCTTTGATCCGCTCCCGTCGACCAGTCCGGTTTAACCAACGTTCCCAGTCTGAGAATTTCGCCGAATCTCTCCAGAGGAGAGAGAACGTCGCAGACAACAAAGACTCTGCATGTATTGTGGCCAGTCAGGACATCTGAAGTTCGCCTGTCCAGTTCGCCCGACAACCGCTCCTCGCCCGGTGAGTTCATGCTCAGAAAGCCTATTGAAACCTTCTAACTTCAAATTACCCATTATTATCACTATTAGAGGAGAACAGATCAATGCCATGGCTCTTATAGATTCTGGTGCCGCGGGGAATTTCATATCTCATACTTTCGCTGATCATTGCAAGCTCAAACTAATTCCCTGTCTTTCCTCCTTGGCAGTGGAGGCGCTAGATGGCAGACCCCTAGGGGAAGGAAGAATTCAAAATAAGACCGAAGAAGTTGAACTACGCGTCAGCTCCCTGCACACTGAACTGATCAGCTTTTATGTCATACAATCACCTCATCACCCCATAGTATTGGGTTTTCCCTGGTTACAAGCTCATAATCCGCAAATTTCCTGGTCAGAGGGGCAAATCATACAATGGAATCTTTCATGTCACGATCGCTGTTTAACCCGGTAATCCGCGCCCCTTCTCACGCAGCAAATAACGAGTCTCGAAGTGTTTGTGAAATTGATTTACCCCGAGAAAATTCAAGCCCAGTGTCCAAGACAGATCCAGAAACAATAAATATTGAGGAAACAGAGATACCCATCGTTTATGCTGATCTCAGGGAGGCATTCAGCAAGAAGAGGGCTTCCCAACTTCCCGAACACCGCTCCACTGACTGTGCTATCGATCTCATCCCAGGTTCCACTCCACCCCGAGGCCGAGTATTCCCGTTATCACAACCCGAATCTGACGCCATGAGAACCTATATCCAGGAGGAACTCGCTAAGGGCTTCATTCGTCCGTCTACCTCTCCCGCTGCAGCCGGATTCTTCTTTGTTAAGAAAAAAGACGGAGGTTTACGACCCTGCATCGATTACCGGGCTCTTAATGATATCACTGTAAAATTCCGTTATCCTCTTCCTCTAGTGCCAGCAGCTCTCGAACAACTTCGGCAGGCCAAATTCTTCACCAAACTGGATCTACGCAATGCTTATAATTTAATCCGTATCCGAGAGGGGGATGAGTGGAAGACGGCATTTTCTACCACTAGTGGGCACTATGAGTACCTCGTCATGCCATTCGGATTATCCAACAGTCCGTCTGTGTTTCAATCTTTCATGAATGATATTTTTCGAGACATGCTGGACAAGTGGGTGATAGTCTACATAGACGACATTCTGATTTATTCAAATTCCATGGAGGAACACGTTCAGCAGGTCAGACTAGTTCTCGAACGACTCATCCAGCATCAACTCTTTGCCAAAGCTGAAAAATGTGAATTTCATCAGACAAGCACATCATTCCTGGGTTATATTATCAGTCATGAGGGGGTCGCCATGGACGAAGGAAAGGTAAAGGGGGTCCTGGAATGGCCATTACCACAGACTCTAAAGGAACTACAACGTTTTCTAGGATTTGCAAACTTTTACCGAAGATTTATCCGCAATTTCAGCATCATTGCTGCTCCTCTCACGGCTATGACCAAACGCCCGTCATCCAAATTGAAATGGTCTAGCGAGGCAGAACAGGCGTTTAAAGAACTGAAATCCCGATTTACGTCAGCACCCATCCTCCATCATCCAGATCCCGAGAAGCAGTTCATTGTGGAGGTGGATGCGTCCAGCACTGGTGTAGGAGCAGTGTTGTCGCAACGACAAGGAAATCCAGAGAAAATGTATCCATGCGCCTTTTTCTCCCGCAAACTTTCACCGGCTGAGCGAAATTATGATGTGGGGAACAGAGAACTTCTGGCTATGAAACTTGCACTAGAGGAATGGCGACATTGGCTGGAGGGAGCAAGTCAGCCCTTCATCATTTTCACGGATCACAAGAATCTAGAGTATTTACGGTCGGCTAAACGTCTCAACCCTCGCCAAGCAAGATGGGCGTTATTCTTCACCCGTTTCCAGTTTACTGTCACATATCGCCCAGGGTCCAAAAATATCAAGGCTGATGCTCTTTCCCGTCAAGCTGAAGGTACCATTCAGAGTCCTGCTTCAGAAAACATCATCCAACCCAATCTACTGGTGGCTCCCGTCCAATGGGACATCATCACAGAAATCCAACAGGTTAACAGTCACACCCAGATCCCATCCGCATGTCCAGACAACCGACTATACGTCCCGGAATCTCTCAGAATCAGACTCGTCGATCACGTTCATTCAACTCCCAGCTCTGGACACCCAGGGATTACAGCAACTATCCAGCTCCTCCAAAACCGCTTTTGGTGGCCAACCCTAGCATCTGATACCACTAAACATGTGAAGAACTGTGTTAACTGTAACATGTCCAAAACACCCAGACAGCTACCTGCAGGCCTATTAACACCACTCCCCACACCTCAACGCCCCTGGTCTCATATCGCAATCGACTTCATCACCGATCTACCCAAATCTCAGGGTCACACCACCATCCTCACCATAATTGACAGGTTCTCCAAGGCTTGCCGACTCATACCCCTACCCAAACTCCCACCGCCTTTGAAACTGCTGAAATTCTCTGCAATCAAGTCTTTCGCTTTTACGGTCTACCTGAAGACATTGTCTCCGATCGTGGTCCCCAGTTCACTTCAAGGGTTTGGAGTGCGTTCTTTAAAAATTTAAACGTAAACATCAGCTTAACCTCAGGATACCATCCTCAATCCAACGGTCAGACGGAACGGTTAAATCAAGAAATCACACGCTTTTTAAGGGCTTACTGTCAAAAGGAACAAACAGAGTGGAGCAGATACTTGTTTTGGGCAGAATACGCGCAGAATTCATTGGTCAAACCAGCTACAGGACTAACTCCTTTCAAGTGTATACTCGGCTTCCAACCTCCACTGTTTCCCTGGTCCGGAGAACCGACGGAACTACCTTCTGTAACAGAATGGCTACAAAAGAGTGAAAGGATCTGGAATCAGGCCCATACTCATCTTCTGCATGCTGTCCGAAGACAAGAACTACAGGCCAATCGTCATCGACGCCCTAGCCCTCACTACAGCGCTGGTCAATGGGTGTGGCTCTCCACTAGAGATCTGAGACTCCGACTTCCCTGCCGTAAACTCAGTCCCAGGTATGTTGGTCCATTTCAAATAGTAAAACAAGTTACCCCTGTGTCTTTTCGCTTGGATTTGCCTGCTGATTACCGCATCTCTCCTACCTTCCATGTATCCCTCCTGAAACCTGCTGTGGGCCCGAGGGGAGTGTCGGAAGCGGGAGTCACAGCCCCAGATCCTGCACCGCTCCTGATCAACGGCGAGGAGGCATACCGTGTGCACGAAGTGCTGGACTCCAGGCGCCGGGGTAATGTTCTCCAGTATCTGGTGGATTGGGAGGGGTACGGTCCGGAGGAACAATCTTGGATCAACGCCAGTGATATTCTGGACCCATCACTCACAGAGGAATTCCACCGCAACTATCCGGAGAAACCGGCCCCTTGACCTCGTGGAAGACCCCGGCGTCGTCAACCTTCTCGCCTCAGGAGCTGCTCGCAGGAGGGGGGCTCTGTTACGGAGCAGGCTCCCGCTCCGCCTCCTCTCAACCAGCAGAGGGAGCCATCACCAGAGTTTTAATCATAGCAGGACTCCATTCTCCATAATGCACCACTACTGGGACTGATTACACACACACCTGAATCTCATCGGACTTCCTATATAAGCCACACTCATACATTCACCCAGTGCGAAGTATTGCATTGCCACGGCTGTAATGACTGAGCGTTTTTCCCTTGCCTGCCTTTCCTGTGTACCGACCTTGATCTGTCCTGCCACTCTCGTTAGTCTGCTGCCTGCCCCGACCCGGATTGTTTTGGATTATTGTTGTTTGCTGCCTGTCCTGATTCTCTGCCTGTTATTCGACCATTCTCTGAGCCTGTTCTGTGATAACCCTGCCTTGCCGATCTCTGACCCTTGCCTGTCTGACTTACCTTCAATAAAGCTGCATATGGATTCAAACATGTCTCGGGTGCCGTTACAGTTTATAATGCTATACTTCATTTAGAAATCATAAATTGTTCATTAATAAAGCATGGAATTAAAATGATTAAAACACATTATAGATATGCTTTTAAACCAATAATCAGCAATTTATAAAGACAGCTATAAAGCTATAAATTCTTTAATATTGTTTTAAAAGCATATCTATAATGTGTTTTAATAATTGTATTTTCATTAGTTAAGCATTTACTATTGCTTAACTAATGATTACTAGTGTGGGGTTATTAAATTTACTGAAAGTACCTTAACTAAGCAGCTCTACAGTCTCAGAGGCTTTGGGACAGCCAGCCATTCAGACAATAGAGAAGTGTGAACGACGTGTGTTAATGGGCCACTGCAGTTCCTGCTCCAGCCTACAGGAGCGCTGCTGAGTATGGGCTTAAACACACACACGTGTGTTAGTCCCCACTTGGTCAAAAGTTAAAAAAAATTCACCAGAGCGTTTTTTAGTTGATTTTAACATGTTTTAAGGCATAGCTAACAGGGGACTTGAAAAATGTCCCCACTTCCCTCGGCGGTCCCCTGTTGGTGAGTGTGTAACGACACCAAAGTCCCCTCTTAGATAGGTAGACAAGTACACACACACACACACACACACACACACACACACACACACACACACACACACACACATAACTAACTTCATATACAATAAAACAATAACAATAAACATAGTCTGTGTATAAAATGTTAGAGAGATAATGTAAATGTTTAAAAGTTACATGTAATCTTTATATCTTTTGAAACATTTATGTGCTATACTTGACAATCACGTTCATGATTAAAAATATTTGAATAATTCTGGATGAGTTTAGTCTAAACATTATTATATTTGCAGGCCTGATAGTGAAGATTTCTGCTGACACTCATCTGAGCTTCTTCCTCTGTTCCACCTTTAATTACAACTAAACCATCATTTGGCTGAATAATAAACCAACATTAATCATTCAATATCACATGTTTCTAATACGCATGCTAACACACACGCTGCTTTATTTAATAGTGAAGTCTGAGTCTCTTCCACCTGTATAAAACACATTTACACATGTATTTCTCCTCATAGACAGCAGTGAGACTCTTCTGTGGATCACCTGATGGTTTCTGCTCCTCTCATCTCCGTCTCACAGATTTAAACCATTATGGAAATCCACTGACGTTTGGTGATCGATCTTAATATACTCTGTAAAGTGGAACAGAAGAGAAAACAATCAGTGTTCAGTGGAACAAAGTGCTGATTTTCTTTAGTAAAAGTAAGTTAAATTGAATTCCTGTAATCAGATTAATTATTGACTTTACATGATCTTGGATAGAGATATTTGTGTTTTTGAATATAATAGATGTAAAGCCTGAATCATGTTCATATGTGTGTCTGTGTGTGTCTGTGTGACTCCTATTGAGTCTCTGTAAAGGAGAAACTAATGAGTGTACGGCGTATGGAATAAACCACAGCGAGCAAATACTAATGTTATTTTGAGTTAAACACAAACCTTTAGTTAAAGCCGTTTGTCCTCTAGTTTAAACATGTTTGTAGGCTCTTAGTAAATAACTGAGAGTAAAGTAAGTGTCGAGTAGTGTGACGTGTTGCTTGTCACAGTAAAAACACACTAGAGACAGAGACATTGCTCATGTGAGCTGGACGCTGTGAGCTGAAGCTGGAACTGCACTGATTTTAGCAGGAGTGCAGCGTTTCCTACAATCTGACCAAGTCTGTTTCACACTCAAATGATTCACTTCTACTGACACAGTTCATAAAGCAGGTGTTGATGTATAAAGCTGTGACAGTGAGCTTTTCTTCTCTTTCCTCCTTTGTGTTCAACATTTCAATAACTTCACATTATGTTCTCACACAAACCCTTTGTTGCAACAAAGCTTTATGATAATTTCCTTTCACGAATGTTTAAAAGGATTGTTCACATATCAGAGGTAAATGAAGATGTCTTTAATATCTCAGTGATGTTTCCTCACCTCAGGACACAGTTTGAGTCTTGTAGCTCGTCTCTGAGCCACTGCTTTGAGTTTCCAATCTCATTGTAACTCAGATCAAGCTCTTTTAAAAACTGCAGAGCTTTTGAGTTCGTCAAAGACTGAGTTAAAGAAGAAACATCTGTAATGCCACAGTACTGTAGACTAGAGAGACACAAACAGAGGAAGAGAGATTATCTTACAAACAAATCATGAATGTGAAGAATTTTACACAGATATAATGTGAACTCAGACTCACTGTCAGATATTGAGAATAAAGTGTTTTAGTTTAATAAACCCAGAAAGTGCACTGCTATAACCAATGAAACATAAGCCCTGCTGTCTTCAAATAAATAAACTTCAGTCACACTGTAATTGCTATACAGTATAATGACACTAACTGTAGTTTCTCCAGCTTGAATTGTGGGTTCATCAGTAGATCACTGAGGTTTTTCACTCCAGAGTCTCCTAGATTATTCCCGCTCAGGTCCAGCTCTCTCAGGTGTGACGGGTTTGATTTCAGAGCTGAAGACACATCAGAACAACCTTCATCTGTCATATCACAGCATCTTAACCTACATTAGCAGAGAGAGAGAGAGAGAGAGAGAGAGAGAGAGAGAGAGAGAGAGAGAATGAAGAAAATAAGAGACTCTTTATTCTGTAAAGTCACATCATCTTCATCAGCAAATAAAACAGACAGAGGAAGAGAGATCTTCATCTTTATTTCACCTGATCACAAATACTAAGGTGAAAATGTTTGTACAAATATAATGTTAATGTGTTCTAGTTTAAACAGTTGAAGTGATTTTAAGCATTTTGATTCTTGTATGTGAATGTGACTGACCTCAATCTCTCCAGTTTACAGTGTGAATCCTTCAGTACGGCACATAAGTGCTTCACTCCTGTGTTTCCTAGTTCATTCCAGCTCAGGTCCAGCTCTCTCAGGTGTGACGGGTTTGATTTCAGAGCTGAAGTCAGGATGAGACTCTGTTTCTCTGTAATACTGCATCTATTCAGACTGAAGACAGAAAAATAACAATAGTTCACATCTATGATGATCATCTTATTGAAGAGCTACAGCAGCATTTAGTTTCCAATAGTCTGTTTTAAAACCCAGTCACACTAGTTCTGTGCGCTGGAAGACACTGTTTCTTCTCTTTCATTTCTAACTATTTATTTGACGTCTCTCTTCTTTATTCTCTGTTGAAAAGGCAGATTTCTGTGTGTACACAATCAGTGCATTGTATCAGATATTGGGAATTAAACAATTACTATCTACACTCTAAAAGGTTTTATATGATTTACTACATTTTTTTGGTGAAACAATCAAAAATATTGATTACATTTTAAAGCAGTGAAATCAATTACAATACACTGTATAAGCTAACTAGAAAAAAGGCACAAAAAAATGTGTATAGGGAAACCCAGAAAGTGCACTGCTATAACCAATGAAACATAAGCCCTGCTGTCTTCAAATAAATAAACTTCAGTCACACTGTAATTCAGTGGTGGGCCGTCAGGGCCAGCAAGGCCTAAACACTATCAGAATCACTGACTTGCACTTTAATATATTTTTTGCATGAATATTAAATTATTCCCAATAGTTCATTCTCTTAATTTCATAGCTTTTCTCTTGGTTGTGCTGCTTCCAGTATTGTGTTTTTATGTTAGAGCTTGTATCCAATCATATTTCAGCCATCATGCGTTGCCGGGTCAAATAAATCTGCCTGGAGGCCTTCAGAATCGACAGTGCAGGCGCCTGTAGCTTAAAATGAAAGCCAATGAAACTGTTTCTTTAACCAATCAGATAATCCGTCAGATTTAATCAGCCAATCAGATTTCGCTTTGACTGCAGCGGTGCCATCTAGCTGGCGTATAATAACATCTGTATTTTCTCGTTCTTTGATTGGATGCGCGTACTATTACTGGTAGTATCCGCATCTGTAGCGAACTGCATAAACTAAAATATATCCCTGTAGATGTAATAGATTTCAACCCACAAATTAATGTTTCTTTCCCTCCTCGACCCCCAGCAGAAAAAATCCCTTATTCAGCCTGAGCTAAACGCAGAGTAACGGGACTCTATTCGATCTCTCCGGGTAAAAACAGAACTGACTAATGTAAGTTATGAAACGAATGATTTTGAAGGCAAAAGTCCCGCTGATCTCGTTGATTTCGGTCAAAACTCTGTGTGAGAGCATGGGGCAGCTGTACACATCGTCATGTTTTGCGGTGACTGTGTGTTTCTGTCGAACAGGCACTCTCAGCCATAAAGCAAATTAAAATTTATACTAGAAATAAGACGAGACAGACACGACATTATTGGAACTGAAACGCAGTTAGAACCTGTACGACAGTAATTGAAGTCTTCTTGAGGAAAGAAATAAGGATGGATTTTGTGTAAAAAAATAATCTGTAGTTTTGGTGAGTATATGCTTTTTCCCCCGTGGTGAATATGATTTTCTTCTTAATTTTTTGTATAAATTTATGATCGAAACTTAATTTTTTTCAAACATTCATACTATTGTAACGTCTGAAAAGGGACTATTATAACCCTTGAACGACAAGATAAGTGAGGCTCCGTTTCTGAACTTATAATCGGATTCGTAACGCAAGAACCACTTTACAAACACACCAGCCGAACTCACACGCTCGTTTCTCTCTACCGGCCTCTCCCGAACTCACCGCATAACCCAATAACTTCCGGTGCAAAATAAAAACAACAATTATAGAGAGTCTTTACGCTGATACAATATTAAAAGTTATTAATTCAGGTAGGACAGACGGCCTAGGTGTGAAATGCACGGCCCACCACTGCTGTAATTACTGTACTGTATAATGACACTAACTGTAGTTTCTCCAGCTTGAATTGTGGGTTCATCAGCAGATCACTGAGGTTTTTCACTCCAGAGTCTCCTAGATTATTCACGCTCAGGTCCAGCTCTCTCAGGTGTGACGGGTTTGATTTCAGAGCTGAAGTCACATCAGAACAACCTTCATCTGTCATATTACACCAGCTTAACCTACATTAGCAGAGAGAGAGAGAGAGAGAGAGAGAGAGAGAGAGAATGAAGAAAATAAGAGACTCTTTATTCTGTACAGTCACATCATCTTCATCAGCAAATAAAACAGACAGAGGAAGAGAGATCTTCAGCTTTATTTCACCAGATCACAAAATAATAAGGTGAAAATGTTTGTTCAAATATAATGTTAATGTGTTCTAGTTTAAACAGTTGAAGTGATTTTAAGCATTTTGATTCTTGTATGTGAATGTGACTGACCTCAATCTCTCCAGTTTACAGTGTGAATCCTTCAGTACGGCACATAAGTGCTTCACTTCTGTGTTTCCTAGATTATTCCCGCTCAGGTCCAGCTCTCTCAGGTGTGACGGGTTTGATTTCAGAGCTGAAGACACATCAGAACAACCTTCATCTGTCATATAACAGCAGCTTAACCTACATTAGCAGAGAGAGAGAGAGAGAGAGAGAGAGAGAGAGAGAGAGAGAGAATGAAGAAAATAAGAGACTCTTTATTCTGTACAGTCACATCATCTTCATCAGCAAATAAAACAGACAGAGGAAGAGAGATCTTCAGCTTTATTTCACCAGATCACAAAATAATAAGGTGAAAATGTTTGTTCAAATATAATGTTAATGTGTTTTAGTTTATACAGTTGAAGTGATTTTAAGCATTTTGATTCTTGTATGTGAATGTGACTGACCTCAATCTCTCCAGTTTACAGTGTGAATCCTTCAGTACGGCACATAAGTGCTTCACTCCTGTGTTTCCTAGATTATTCCCGCTCAGGTCCAGCTCTCTCAGGTGTGACGGGTTTGATTTCAGAGCTGAAGTCAGGATGAGACTCTGTTTCTCTGTAATCCTGCATACACTCAGACTGAAGACAGAAAAATAACAATAGTTCACATCTATGATGATCATCTTATTGAAGAGCTACAGCAGCATTTAGTTTCCAATAGTCTGTTTTAAAACCCAGTCACACTAGTTCTGTGCGCTGGAAGACACTGTTTCTTCTCTTTCATTTCTAACTATTTATTTGTCGTCTCTCTTCTTTATTCTCTGTTGAAAATGCAGATTTCTGTGTGTACACAATCAGTGCATTGTATCAGATGTTGGGAATTAAACAATTACTATCTGAAGAGTTCAGATGCAAAAGCCTCTAAGTGCCATTTGAAATTTTCTTCTAGAATGGTCATTTTTATCAAGCTTGTATATTTAAGTTCAGTGATTTCACTTAAATGGCAATGATAATTACCTATTAATTGTTATTTAAGTGAAATTACTAAAATTAAATATACAAGTTTGATAAAAATCATCATTAAAGAAGAAAATTTCAAATGGCATTTAGAGGCTTTTGCATCTGAACTGTTCATCTACACTCTAAAAGGTTTTATATGATTTACTACTTTATTTTGGTGAAACAATTAAAAATATTGATTACATTTTAAAGCAGTGAAATCAATTACAATACACTGTATAAACTGAGCAAATGTAAGTAAAAAATTAAGTAGATCTGAGTAACTGCATCTGTACATTAACAAATAAAATTGTTTTAACTGAGTAAATCTGCTCAATCTTTCAAGAGTTTGTTAAATATATTTATGATATTGATTTGAATTAAGTAATATTTGTGGTTCTTGAAACATATAAGTTTAATTCTCCAATCTCAAATATTTTGATAGAAATTTCACAATTATGTAAAGTGTATTTTTCATAAATTATTGGTTAGTCAAATAATAAATTCTAATAGTGAAAAAAATAAATAAATATAACTGTAAATTTTTTAGATGAAATTAACTGTTGGATGTTTAGACAATTATTTTGGTACGTTTAGCTCAAACAATCAAGCAAATGATATTCAGAGATTTTATTAAGTTAATAAAGTTAAATATTACTGTGATATTTACTAAGACACAGAATAATTACACACAGTGTAGATTAACAAAACATAAAAATGTGAGCAATAGGGAAACTCAGAAAGTGCACTGCTATAACCAATGAAACATAAGCCCTGCTGTCTTCAAATAAATAAACTTCAGTCACACTGTAATTGCTGTACAGTATAATGACACTAACTGTAGTTTCTCCAGCTTGAATTGTGGGTTCATCAGTAGATCACTGAGGTTTTTCACTCCAGAGTCTCCTAGATTATTCTCACTCAGGTCCAGCTCTCTCAGGTGTGACGGGTTTGATTTCAGAGCTGAAGTCACATCAGAACAACCTTCATCTGTCATATAACAGCAGCTTAACCTACATTAGCAGAGAGAGAGAGAGAGAGAGAGAGAGAGAGAGAGAGAATGAAGAAAATTAGAGACTCTTTATTCTGTAAAGTCACATCATCTTCATCAGCAAATAAAACAGAGGAGGAAGAGAGATCTTCATCTTCATCAGATCACAAAATACTAAAGTGAAAATGTTTGTAGAAATTTATTGTGAAATTAGACTCTGTGAGATATTGCGTATAAATATATACTGATATATTGAGTGAATAAATGAATATTGAGTGTTTTAGTTTAAACTTTTGATTCTTGTATGCATGATATACAATATCTGAGGTTGAAGTGTGCTTTCGGAGCGTGTGATTGGCTGAATGTGAGGTGGAAGTGTATGGAAGTAAAATAATGTCTAATGTTTTTGAAACAAAAAGCATGTTGAATTGCACCAATTAAAAAAAAAGCTTTGTGTTAACCCTGCTTGCATTTTAATCCATTGTATTTTTATGGGCTGAAATTCAACATGGCTGAATATTTAAGCTGTGAATATTTCAATTAAAAACATTTTTCATTATTAAAAATTCAATAATCCATATTCACCTTTCATATTTCACTTCCAAAATTTTCAAACTGTTTAAAAATACAACCTATAATATTCAACAGGCAATTTTCGGTACATTTTATTTCACCTTGAAAATTCGCTTCCACAAATTCAGTGGTTCAAATTCGACAGTAAATTCAACGGTGACATCCAGAAACTGCAGGAAAAGCAGTAGATTACTGAGCATACTCTCTATCTGCCGTAAGACGGCTTTACCAGCAGGGGGTGCATGCACATGTTGAAAAGCACCAAAGCAACAGGAGAGGCCTTCACAAAACCTCATTTGCTGAAATGGACAGAGCGACGAGTACGAGTTATAATTTATATGTGTGTGGGAAAGATTGATTAAGACACAAAACACACGAGCCTTTACTCAAGTGTCTTATGAGACTTATTTTTACCCTTGTGCAAAGTAAGGTGATTTGTCCACAGCAAAACTAAATTCTCTCGCCGTTGGCATTGATAGTAAAACAACTGTAATACACTGAGACAGAGTGAATGGTTTGTTATAGTCACTATGATGGAATAATAAATTTATTTATTTTTTTAAACTTTAATGATGGAATAAATTGCTTTAAGTGTCAAAAACAGTCTCTCTCTCTCTCACACTAACACACTCTCCTCTCTCTCTCTCTCTCTCTCTCTCTCACACACACACACACACACTAACACACTCTCATCTCTCTCTCACACTAACACACTCTCCTCTCTCTCTCTCTCTCTCACACACACACACTAACACACTCTCATCTCTCTCTCACACTAACACACTCTCCTCTCTCTCTCTCTCTCTCTCTCTCTCACACACACATACTAACACACTCTCATCTCTCTCTCTCACACTAACACACTCTCCTCTCTCTCTCTCTCTCTCACACACACACACACACACCTTATCACGTGATTGTCATACAGTAATGTAAAAGTATGGAAGCAAATCAGAGACATAACTATTTGAAATTTAACACCCACCGAATACTTTTACTAGTTTTGAATACTAGTTTTGTATTCAATTTTATTTTGAAAAACATTTGAAAAAATAAAATAATTTGCAATAAATTGCTTTAAGTGACAAAAACAGTCTCTCTCTCTCTCATCACTAACACACACACACTCTCTCTCTCTCTCTCTCTCTCTCACACACACACGAACACACTCTCTCACACTAACACACACTCTCTCTCTCTGTCTCACACACACACACACACTAACGATTATCTTTGCCTCTTATCCCGCGATTGTCATACAGTATCGTAAAAATATGGAAGCAAATGTGAGACATAACTATTTGAAATTTAACAGCCACCAAATACTTTTACTAGTTTTGAATACTAGTTTTGTATTCAATTTTATTTTGAAAAACATTTGTCTGAATTTATTTGCTCAGAATTCCCCCCTTTGAAATTATTTTACTTTGGAAACCATGCGTATGAATTTATTTGTTTCGAATTTACCTCTGAAATTTAAAGGTGCAATGTGCAATGTCAAAAAGTTGAGTATCTATTACAGTTTTTCTCGATTGTTTACACACATTTTCTGAAAGAATGCCTCATACTCTCAGAACTCTACACACAAATCTAAAAACACACACACAATCGGCAAAACCCCTCAATTCTTGTGCAAAATGAAACTTTACATTCAAAACAATGTTATATATTCTCAAAATGTTATTTTGTTTTCAAATGACACACACAAACCATTATATGAAAAGACATTTATAAGAACTAGTTGAACACTGATGTGCTCAATGTAAAACACTATGATCAATGTAAAACACTTCTTCTCCATTCATCATAATGAATTGGGCCTTTTTTGTTCAGGGTTACACTTACTACAGACATTACGTACATACGTGTGTTGTAAAATATTTGAGAATATTGTTTTTATACCCAGAAATACACGGTAACAAATATATTTTACTGTATTTTTCCCACAAAAACAATGAGAAATAGATCGCACATTACATACACCCCAATCAACACAAAGTTGTATACAGTGGTCTACATACAAAACAACAGAAAATGTTTATGCTGTTACAGTAAAAATCTATGCTGCATCCTCTCTTCGGTTTTGGTATTTTATGCTAAAGCTCTGATTGCTAATTGTAAAACTGTGTGACGTGTGTTTGTCCATGTGACGAGTCAGTGTGAATATTTGAATGGTAGTGTGTTCCTCGTGAAAAAAAATGAGATTTTCTGCATGAAAATTGTGCCAAATGCAGAGAATTTGTGTGTAGTGTTTTGAAAAAAGTGTGTTTTAGAGCTGCAATTTGAGTGTAAAGCAGGAATTGTGCTTGTTGTTCATCAGAATTGGTTCAGGGGGTTGGTGAATGAGTTACATGTTGTGGTCATTGTGTCTCAAGTACCAGAATTTGTGTGTAAACAATTGAGAAAAACTGTAACAGAAATGCAATATGACATCCATAACTATGTTTTCAGTGGTGTATAAAGAACTTACTTAATAAACCGTAATGTTTTTATTACCTTAAAATGAGACATTTATATCTCCATTACCACGGGAATCCCCTTCTATGAAGGTCGCCATATTGTGACGTCATCTTTCTACCGTAGCCGAACGCGAACACACAGCGCTACAGAACGCGTTTCGCCACTACCTTGAAAGAGAAGCAGCAGAAAGCTAGAAACTAGCCATAAACTCTGTGAGTAGTGACTTTTCCCTTGTGAGTAGTGTAGAGAATAGTATATAAGTATATTATTATATGTTGCATTTGCTACAGTAGTGTAAAATATGTAGTTGGGATTGTTTCATGTAACTTAGTTCTCCCTCGCTGTGTTATGGGTTTGTTATGTGGGGATAAATGTGCTGTTATGTTCGTAAGACAGCTGATTAGTACTCATGTCATTGATCGTAAAACAGTATGTTACAGGAATCACTAACCCGTCGATCTTGTAAGAGATCTAAGTCGATCGCGAAGAGTTTTCAAAATCATAGAAAAAGCCTATTGTGTGTAGTTTATGGTGTCTATGGGATGCGGAAATGCGCACGCTGTTACAATCATGTCATTTTTGCCGCGCGCACCTTTGGGCTCATGCGGACGCGTCGAGTTAAACAAGATTTTATGCTTTAACCAGTTCAGCCACAGTAACAGCTCATATTAGCCAGCTAAACTTTTACTACCCTGTTAGAAAAAATATATAGCTGCATAGTTTCATGTGGTTCTTCTCCCTCGCTGTATTATGGGTTTGCTATGTGGGGAGAAATGTGCTGCTGGTTACGTTTGTGAGACAATCAGCTGATCACTATTATTATATTAAATTATATATTAAAACCCTTGATCCTCACCTGACTATGGCTTTGTAAACAGTATCCATGATGTGGTTTATAATGGATTGTGGTACAGAAACAGTGACAATGTTACACACTCTTGTCTTACTCTGGCTATTCTCTGCTGTCTCAGCCGACGAGATGTTTGTCCCGTTTTAGCAACCGTAGCTTCTTCGAAAGGGAGGGGTGAGCAGTGGGCTAAGCCCTTAGTGCAAACCTGGTGCAAACTCGCAACCAAACCGCTAGATGTCGCTAAAAATCCCACACTGCACCTTTAAACAGGCCTATGAAAATTTCCATTTTAAAAACCTGAATTTCGATGAATATTTTTCAATGCTCACAAATTCAGATACAAAAAAATTAAATAAATCAACGTACAGAATTTCAGATAAAATAGATTCTGGTTAAATTATGAATTATGGGCGTGCTTCTCAGAGTAGTAGCCATCAGCTTAAAAAAAACAATTTCTGCATTATTTGGCTTGTTTGCTGTACTCTTTGTCTCACAGCAGCTTTTAAACATTGTTTTGTTTTTTGTTATAAGTCATAAATGACAAGGAGGCAGCCTCTCGCAATGCAAATCAATGGAGACGGTTGGATTGTTTTTCTCCCCTGGTGGGGGCGTGAGCAGCCGGTAACAAGAAGTAGTCGAAGGAGAACGTCCTCGTCTCAGTTCTCGCGCATGTGCCCATAAGGAAGTATTGGAATAGTCGAATAAAGTCGTTATGTTTTTTTTCGCAGAAAAAGTATTCTCGTCGCTTGATAAACTTATAATTGAGCCGCTGTAGGCACATGGAATATTTAAACATTTTCTTTAATGACTTTATGGGCCGTCAAGAGCCAGTCCCTTAGGCAGTCTATGAAGGACTGATCCAGCTCTCAGATTTAATCAAAAATATCTTCATTTGTGTTCCGAAGATGAACGAAGGTCTTACAGGGTTGGTACAGGATGGGGGGTGAGTAATTAAAGACTTAATTTTCATTTTTGGGTGAACTAACCCTTTAAAGTGTTGTGCTGTTTTATAAAGGCACAAAGCCATATCATGGTTTCGATTTTAGTTTGTTGGCAAAATATAGCGCTAGAGACCTTTATGTTAGGGTATACATTTTACATCTCATGTGTTGGGAAAAGGGAGAAGAGAGAGTTCAGAAAAAGGCGGTTTCGAACTCGGGTCGAGAGCATCAAAAGCTTCAAGCCCTACGACCTGCGCCACCGTAGCTATTTCGTGACAAGCTTCTTTTGCTAAAAAGACAGGCACTTAGTGCAAACATACGCTCCGTTATCTAAAAAGTAAAAAAAAAAAAAAATTCTTCCCCTCGCTTGGGCCCCAAGTGCGCATGGCCAACTTGCAATAAATAAATTTGATCAGATCGGCCCTCGCGGCCTCGAAACACAACCGGCCAACAGGGGAAACTCCCGACTCTCCCGATTGCCACTCCGCCCCTGGTGCCCAGGGCCCCTTAGATGTCATGGGCCCAGTTGCCCTAATGGTTAATCCAGCCCTGGTGGTCTGTGAGTGGTGTGTGCATCTGGCTCCTCCTAAACGGGCATCCTTTACTGTTCTGATCAGACAATCTTTGGTGGTTGCCACCAGGTATTAATTAGCCCTAAGAGCATAATAATCCTTTATACACAACAACAATAAAATAGCACAATGACAGGATTGATATGGTATACCCACATTGTAACAAATAAATAAAAGATCTTTTTCACAAAAGTTATCTTGCGCTTTTGCCTCCGGCATCGTCCTGTCAGTCATTGCACCTCACTCTAGTCATGTGACTCCTGTGGCTCAACTTACCTCAGTATCTCCAATTTACACTTTATATTCTTCAGTCCAGTGCAGAGCAGCTTCACTCCTGAATCCCGCAGATTATTATTGTTCATGTTCAGCTCTTTCAGATTGGTGTCTGATCCAAGAACTGCAGCCAGAGATGAACAGCTTTTGTCTGTTAAGTTACAATCATTTAACCTACAATAAAGTCACAACACAGAATTAGATTGAACACATACAATACATTTTCTATATACTAATATTAATGAAATTTTCCACTTATTTTTTACATAAACAGCATATACAGCAAAGAGGCTGAGTTAAACTAACATTTACCTTTAAAAACTACAATTTCCTCAACAATGTTTTTTATACAATGACAAATTTCCAAGACAAATTGAAGCATGTTTGAAAAAATATTTGTGTAAAGCTGTTATCTATAGGATATTTTCTCAATTTATGTCACCTGATAGAGTTTAGGTTCTTGCCAGTGTTGCCGCTATCTTTCTTAATTGGGGACACTTAATATTAGGGGTCTGCACAAAATCGCAATTAAAGCTTTACCGATTGAAAATCGATTAATAGAATTCCAAAAAAAAGATTCATATATATATTATATATATATATATATATATATATATATTAGGCATAACATTTTTTGAAATATATATATATATATATATATATATATATATTAGGCATAATAATATTTATGCCTAATATATATATATATATTAGGCATAACATTTTTTGGTTGTCAGTTGAGGTCATGGGTTGGTAGGTTTTTTTGTTTTTTTCTCCAGTGGCAGCAAGGGATAGAAAGGAAATTATTTGTTTTTTTTATTTTTTTTTTTATTTTACATTACAGTAGCGATGGATAGGCGACTCTGTTTTTCAATAAAATAGCTTACCTGTACATGTACTCTACCACCTTGTGTGTCCCAGCATGTTACACACACACAAGCTGATTTTAAATGTGTATTATTTCTTCCCCAAGCTCATAAAATAAATTTGGGTCGCACATAAATTGACAGGGTCGGTCGGAGACTGGAATTGAACATTTATTTATTTTTTATGCCTTAGTGGTGGGCATGGATTTTTTTTATTTTTTTTATCAAGATTAATCTCACGGTAATCTTGGAATTAATCTAGATTAAAATGGCTCATTTGAATTCATGAAGGCATTCAGAATATGTATGCTACCCAAATAAATAACCTTGCAGGTAGTTTGTAAGATGAGCAGAGGCGGAGCTAGACTCTTTATCATGGGGCTCTCTGCTACCATATGTAATAAAGTGTCACTTGTTGAGCCAAGTAAGCTCATGTTTGTCACGGGGCGGGTCAAGGAAGACGAGGAGGAAGATAGAATAAACACTGGTTTTAATAAATGACACTCAGGAACAGGCAGACAGGAAGACAGTGTGTAAAACACAAACAATACCGGACAAGGGAGTGAAGGCAGGCAGGAACTAAATACACAGTGAAGATGATTAACAAATGACAGTCAGCTGTGCGGGAGGTGATTAGTGTCCATGGTAACAGATGAGGGCGGAGAACTCAGACGAGGGGAACACGTGGTGAATCAAAACACACGGATAGTCCAAGGGTGGTGACAATGTTAATAAAACATAAAGACTATCTCGTTCTTTTCCTTTTAATGCGCCCGATTTATATTTTCTCTCCATTTTCGTAATTATTCTCTACATTATACAGTCGCACCTCATGGCACCCACTGTACTCCTGAGGCAAGTAGGCCTGCCTTATACGCTGTGTTTCGGTTCATTTATGACTCACAAGACGAGCTTCAGTTCACACGCTGACGCCTCTGTGTCGTGATTATCTATTGTCTGCTATATTTAGTACTTATTTATTAAATCCAGGCAATTAGTTGATGAAACATTGATTAAAGTTAACATAAAATTAATACAAAGCGAAATTCAACTTAATGAAAGGCTTTGTGCTTTATGTTTAATGTGAAAGTTTTAAAGCAGTCTTTCAGTGCCGCTTTCAGAGTGGTCAAGTCCGTAACGGGGAACTGTCACATAACATTGTTTTTCCCTCATAAATGCGTACATAAAAAATAATACAAAATTAATATTTTATGTTCCGTGGAGAGCCAACCTTTCTTCAACTGATGGGTATTATTACTTTTTGTACACCTAAAGGTTTTTTTTTTGTGTCACGTCCGTTACAGATGTGTATTTCCCTCATATTAAATATAAAATGCATTGACTGATATTTTCCTAATGTCTGGATAAACAGATTGGTATTAAATGCCCCTTACAGTGCAATTCGGCTAGGTATACATCTGCGCTATATATCAAGGTAAAAGTCATCAAAGCTTGTATAGTATAGACCCAGCTCCCAACCCAACTTTGAGAATAGATTAACGGCAATATTTTTTTATCACTCGACAAGAATCTCACTTTAACACAGCAAGTTAACGCCGATAACGGCCCACCATCAGTGGCGGTTCTACTTTGAATTACACCCAGGGCGAGACCCCCTTCGAGCGCCATATTAAAATTTGCATATTAGGCTACTGTAAAAAATCGTAATTAAAGTTGATTTTAGTTGATCATTAAGAAAAGTATTAGATAATATGGTGACCAAAATGATCACATACACAGAATCTTGTTCAAAAAGCCTAATACACAGTTAAATCAATTCACCAAGTTAATAACATTAAAGATTTGTTTTAAAGGAGTGTCTTTCATCTTACCTACTAAACTTAAAAAAGGTTAACACAAAAAAAAGGTTTTTATATAAAGATAAACCTCATATTTCAGCATTTAAATCATCTCTATAAAAAGAATGAGTCAATAAAGATACATTCCTGACATTTATAATGCACAGTAGCTTATCTTTTATTATTAATAGTAAAATTCGTACAGATTTTTCCATGGCTGTCGTTGCTATAGAACCATGCACTCATTACACTGAGCTCTCCACAACGACATAGGAGTTTTAGTAGCTAATGTATTTCCACCACAGAAAAACGCTTGCTGTAGCTCTGCTAAAATATTTATTTACGGAGAAGAGAAAAACACCCAAGTGTTTGGGTGCACGTGCTGAAAAGTTTATGAGCGCGCTTCCCGTGCGCCTATTTGAAACATAGAGGATTTGAAATAACGACCTCGAGAGCGCAAAAGACGCGATACGTGAACTAATCAGGAGATCCCATTGACATCGTTTCTGCGCACGGCACCTTCTCAGCAAGCAGGGCGCCATTGCCAATAATTGAATCGAAATGATAAAAAATAGAAAAACTTCGCGGCACAGAGTATTTTTTTAACTGCTCGTGCCGCCCCCCATGTGACATGAAGAAATGCCGCCCCGGGCGACTGCCCGGTTCGCCCGTGCCTAGAACCGCTACTGCCCACCATATTATATTTTGTAATGGCGTGCAGGGGCGGAGTGGCAATCGGGAGACTCGTAGAGTTTCGAGGCCGCGAGAGCCGGTCTGATAATAGTGATAAATTGTAAGTTCTTAGCAACAGCATCCGGCGGACTGGTGTGCGGCCGCTGCCCGCTGGTCAAACTGTGCAGCCTCTCTGCTCAACCCGTAAGTAAATGCATCGATCCACATATTTTGTTTGAGTTCTTAAATGATCTAGTGCTAGATCTTTCGCCAAGCGTGTCAGAAGTTACAGGTTCTAATTCACACTCATATAGTTTTTTCCTCTCTCTCATCAAAACCGAATATGTTCAGTGGTTACAGTCTATATCAAGCAGGGACACATTTATGTGCATTTTATTTGGTGATATCATCTGCGATAGATTGAAGAGTGCGTCCGAGTGAAGACTGTGCGCGCACCACAAGAGTATGAAGTACCAGGTTGACTGGTGGTTAAGTTCTTCATTTAGCATGATTGTTTGATCTGACTACAGCACTTTAAAGCTAAATATAAAAGCTGTTTATTTAAGTTTTATTTTAAACTTAAATTAAATGTATTTGAAAGCTGGCCAAAGCTTGGCATTTTGAACTTTTTAGTTGCAAAAGTTTTTATTTTTGTATGAAGATATAATGTAATAGCAAAATACATTTAATTTGTTGTGTTTCTTTTCTTTTAAATTGTAAGTCTACTGCAATACTGTTTTTGCAAAAACTACAATAAAACCTGTTGGAAAGCATCTTTTGCAGTGATTTTTGTGTGAGCACATCAGTGAACAACCCAGACCACTCAGTGAGTTTCACGTCTTAGTAAACTAAAGTTTAATGTGTTTTATGAATGATTGTTCCAGTGCACATAGACAACCATTGTGTAGGTGGGGGGTGCTAACACACAAACCTAAAATTCTCGGGACAGCAGCATTTGTCCAAATTTCAATCTTAACCGTTCTATTTCATCAGAAACGATCTTAAAGGTGCAATGTGTAACAAAGTTGAGTATCTATTAACAGAAATGCAATATGACATCCATAACTATGTTTCCAGTGGTGTATAAAGAACTTACTTAATTAGCCGTAATGTTTTTATTACCTTAGAATGAGACATTAATAGCTCCATAACCGAGGGAATCCCCTTCTATGAAGGTCGCCATGTTGTGACGTCATATTCCTACCGTAGCCGAACGCGAACAAACAGCGCTACAGAACGCGTTTCATCACTACCTTGAAAGAGAAGTAGCGGAAAGCTGGAAGCTAGCCTTACACTCCGTGAGTAGTGACTTTTCCCTTGTGAGTGGTGTAAAATATGTAGTTGGGATTGTTTCATGTAACTTAGTTCTCCCTCGCTGTGTTATGGGTTTGTTATGTTGGGGATAGATGTGCTGTTACGTTCGTGAGACAGCTGATGATTAGTATTCATGTCATTGACCGTAAAACAGTACGTTACAGGAATCACTAACCCGTCGATAGAGACTTTTACTAAAGTCTTTTATCACTAAAGTCGATCGCGAAGAATTTTAAAAATCAGAGAAAAAAAGCCTATTCTGTGTAGTAAATAGTATCTATGGGATGCGGAGATGACATGATTGTAACAGCGCGCGCACTTCCGACCTTTGGACTCATGCGGACGAGTCCCAGCTCAGCCACAGTAACAGCTCATATTAGCCAGCTAAACTATTACTACCCTGTTAGAAAAAATATATAGCTGCTCCCTCGCTGTATTATGGGTTTGCTACAGTATGTGGGGAGAAATGTGCTGCTGGTTACGTTTGTGAGACAATCAGCTGATTAATATTATTTTATTAAATTATATATTAAAACCCTTGATCCTCACCTGACTATGGCTTTGTAAACAGACAGTATTCATGATGTGGTTTATAATGGACTGTGGTACAGAAACAGTGACAATGTTACACACTCTTGGCTTACTCTGGCTATTCTCTGCTGTCTCAGCCGACGAGATGTTTGTCCCGTTTTAGCAACCATAGCTTCTTCGAAAGGGAGGGGTGAGCAGTGGGCTGAGCCCTTAGTTCAAACCTGGTGCAATCTCGCAACCGAACCACTAGATGTCGCTAAAAGTCACACATTGCTCCTTTAAAACAGGGCTTTAAGTGTAAAATACCAAACTAACCCTTTAAACTACAGAAGTACTCATAGAAATAAGCATTTAAATATATAATTACTGGGAGAAACTGAGGGACAACTAGTATATGATGTGGTGAGATGTAGGTATTTTATTTTAGTAGCCTGTTTTATAAAAATCTCAATGTTTTATCTATAACCTTTCGAAATTTCATATTACGTTTTGGCAATATAAATAACTTCTATTCTGTACCAAATTACATTATTTCCCCCCAGTTTGGGTATATTAATAAAATATGGATTTTTTTTCTACCTCAAGAATGAGTATGTGATAATATAATATTCTATATAACAAGTCATACAAGTCTGGTGTATCATGTGATACAAAACAATCATGCAAACATTTTTACAAGATATTTAATATTTTGTCTTAAATTGTGATAAACTGTCTCCACACACACACACACACACACACACACACACACACACACACACACACACACACACACACGCAGGTATAGCTTCATGTTTATGATGGGGAATAACTATTGAGATAAATGCATTTTTCAGATGAGATTAAAACATGACAAAATATATAAAGACTTACAGAGCTCTTCTGGAGGCTTTAATGACTGCCGATAATCTAATGAGACACTCGTCTGATTTCTTGAATTTCTGAAGCTCAAACTCCTCCAGCTCTTCCTCTGATGTCAACAACACAAAGACTAAAGCAGACCACTGGGCAGGTGAAAGGTCACCAGATGAGAGACTTCCTTTGCTAAGGTGGGTCTGAATCTCGTTCACCAGAGTTTGGTCGTTCAGTTCATTCAGACAGTAGAACAGATTGATGGATCTCTCTGCAGGAAGATTATCTGCTAATTTCTGCTTGATGTACTGAACTATCTCCTTGTTGCTCTGATCAGTGTCGTCTCGCTGTGTCAACCGACCTCGTAAGAGTCGTCGAACTATACTCTTGTTGCTCTGGTCAGTGCCGTCTCTCTTTGTCAACTGACCTCGTAAGAGTCGTCGAAATATACTCTTGTTGCTCTGGTCAGTGCCGTCTCGCTGTGTCAACACACCTCGTAAGAGTCGTCGATTGGACTGGAGTGACAGACCGAGGAGGAATCGAAGGAAAAGGTCCAGGTGTCCATTGTCACTCTCCAGCGCCTTGTCCACTGCAGTCTTGAGAAAATCAATCATGGTTTCATTTCTGTTTTTCTGTTCTGTAGACTCATGATCAAGCACACTTGTCTTGTTGATGTCTAGAAACAGATGTGCATAAAGGGCTGCAATAAACTCTTGAATGCTCAAGTGAACAAAGCAGTACATGGTACCAAGAACGATCCCTGTTTCCTCCTTAAAGATCTGGGTACACATGCCTGAGTACACTGATGCCTTATAGACGTCAAGACCACAGGCTTCCAGGTCTGTGTCATAAAAGATCAGGTTGTTTCTTTCCAGCTGATGAAATGCCAGTTTCCCCAGTGAAAGGATGGCGTCTTTATCCCAGGAAACATCTGGTGTGTATTCTCCATCATATTTCCGGCGGCTCTGCTGGATCTGAAAGCGGAGAAAGTGTGTGTACATTTGTGTCAGAGTCTTGGGAGTGTCTTCAATGTTTGATTCCTGCAGTGTTTTAGAGATCTCATCAGCCTGAGTGTTTCTCACATCATTATTTCTCTTCTCCTCCAGAATGTTCTGGAGAACAGTGGCTGAAATCCAGCAGAAGACTGGGATGTGGCACATGATAAAGAGACTCTTTGATTGTTTAACATGATCTATGATTGTGTTGGCTTGAATATCATCCTTGAATCTTTTTCTGAAGTACTCTTGCTTTTGTGCGTCGCTGAATCCTCGTATCTCTGTCAGCCGGTCGATACGGTCAGGAGGAATCTTACTGGCAGCTGCTGGTCTGCTGGTGATCCAGACGAGAGCAGAAGGAAGCAGATTTCCCTTCATGAGGTTCGTTAGGAGAACATCCAGAGAGGCTGGTGACGATACATCACGCCACGTCTCATTATAATCAAACTTCAGAGGAAGGCGACATTCGTCCAGTCCATCAAGGATGAACAGCACTTTGAACTGATTCCTTCTTGTAAGGTTCAGTCCTTTTGTCTCTGGGAAAAACTGAGTTATAAGGTCCATCAAACTTAGTTTTTCTTTCTCCTTTAAGTTCATCTCTCTGAATGGAAGAGGAAATATGAAGCTGATATCTTGATTTTCTTTTCCTTCAGCCCAGTCCAGAACAAACTTTTGCACAGAGACTGATTTCCCGATGCCAGCGACTCCTTTTGTCAGTACAGTTCGGATCTCCTCGTCTTGTTCAGGCGCTTCAAACAAATGTGTGCATTCAACCTGCATCTCTTGTGCTTCATGACGTCTGGAAGCAACTTCGATCTGTCTGACCTCATGTTCAGTATTGACCTGTTCACTGCCACCCCGAGTGATGTAGAGATCTGTGTAGATGTTATTCAGGAGTGTGGAGTCACCTTGCTTCGCCATTCCTTCAAACACACATTGATACTTCTTCTTTAGGCCACATTTCAGCTGATGAATGAAGAACAGCTCACCTAAACACAGGAACAGAAAATAGATAGTTTTAGTCTTCATTTTCTCTCCTACATTTATAAGAGACAATCAGACAGATGATGACGAGTCTCTTGCCTTCTAGAGCATCAGCAGCTTCATCTTGCTTCATCTCTCTCAGGTAATGTAGTGTGAGATCAAGAGCTGCTGATTTGATACTGGATCTGTTCTCATTAAAGTCCTTCACAAAGTGTTGTGTGTTCTCATGTTGTAATATTTTCTTTAACTTCTCCAGTTCATTCTTCAGAAATGTGATTATTTTGCTCTCAAGATCCTACAACGTAAGAGAAAAGACAGAATAACACAATAAGCCAAATTCTACATTTTGTGAACACTATTCATTAAATAATTATAATTCATGTACATAGAAAATCCAGTTAAAAGACTAACATGCTAACCAAGTTGTGCTAAAATGTGTTTAAAAGGAAAAAAGTAGAGGAAGAAAAATGTCATTTAATTCCTTTGCTTAATAACATTTGTTTGTTAGAAATATTAAACATTTCTAAAAATGTGTTTTCCTACCTGGAAGATCCCAAGAAGATTCTCTTTGAAATTCTCGTGTTTCCTGTGAGTCTGAAGGTCTGAGTCTAATGTTTCATATTGAAGCCTGTAATCACATTAGTAAAATAAAATACTAACTGATATTTTACAGAAAGAGAAATAAGCATTAGCTGTGAATACTCTGACATATATTTGATATAAACATGTTTCATAATTGTTATCACAAATACAACTTTTAAACAGTCAACGAGTGACAAAAAGAAAAAAAAGTAACACAAAATACCTTTTATTAGATGATGGTGTTTTCTCACTGAAGAATGGTGGATCAAAACCTTTAGACCGATCACTCTTCAGAGACACAGAGCTGGACACATGTGAGCTTGATCTTACACTGATGACACAAAGAACATTGGAAAAGGTTTAATGTTGCAAATAGTAATTAAATGCAGTATAGCTGTGCATTTGTTCATTATAACTACAGCTGAATGGATGGACATATTTAGTTGCATGATTTATTTTCCACAGTGAATTTATGCCTCCTTGTGTCTGCCTGTGTAACTGTGTTACTGGAGTGAGTTTCATAAATCCCCTTACACAGTAAAGTTCAATCACACACACCACTGTGGACAAATAATACAACCCTATAATGCAATGTAAGTTACATAACACTACATATTACCTACTAATAAATTATGAAAAAACAGAGATTCTAATTATTGGAAAAAAAACTTCCTTACGTAATAACCTAGAATACTGTCTAACACTTGATGGCAGCTCTGTTAAGTCTTCGGTTAGGAACCTGGGTGTGCTCTTTGATACTAATCTCTCATTTGAAAGTCATGTGTGTCTAGTATCTGTAAAACCGCAAAAAATATATCTAAATTACGCCAAATTTGCTCTCATTGACAAATGTGGAACAATTAGTTAATGCGTTCATGACATCAAGGCTAGATTATTGTAATGCTCTACTGGGTGGTTGTCCTGCATGCTTAATAAACAAACTTCAGATAGTCCAAAACGCAGCTGCTCGAGTTCTTACCAGAACCAGGAAGTGTGACCATATTACCCGGTTCTGTCAACCCTGCATTGGCTGCCTATTAAACATTGTATACATTTTAAAATATTGCTGATTTCTTATAAAGCACTAAATGGTTTAGCTCCGCAGTACTTGAGTGAGCTCTTAACGCATTATAGTCCTTTATTGTCCTTTTATAGTCCGCCTATTGCATTCTTGAAATTTCGGCCAGTTGATAATACCTAGAATATCAAAATCGACTGCTGGCGGTAGATCCTTTTCCTACTGTATACAACAAAACTCTGGTACAATCTCCCTAACATTGTCCGGGAAGCAGACACACTCTGTCAGTTCAAATCTAGACTAAAAACACATTTCTCTGGCCTAGCATACATATAAAACACTATAGACTTCCTTAATTCAAAATTAAGCTGCATAGATTAGATCAGCCGGAACCGGGGACACGTCCCGTAAATCCTGATGTACTTGGTACATCAAAAGAAGGATGGCATCTATGCTAATATCAGTTTCTCTGTTTATCCCGAAGGGACCGTCTATCTTTAAGTACCGGCCTCATCGACACGACAGCTATCGGCACTGATCCTCAACAACTCGTCTCCATACCGCCGTGATTTCTCAGACTTCCAAACAGATGGAAATGGATGAATACTCTTAATGTTCCGATCCAATCTGATTTATAATGCTGCCCGAATCACACACTGTTCCTTCGTTGGCCAGAGGAGAACTGGTATGGAAGTAAAATAATGCCAAATGTTTTTGAAACAAAAAAGCCTGTGAATTGCGCTACTTGATAAAAATATACATTGCCTTAACCATGCTTGCATTCAGTGGTGGAATGTAACGAAGTACAAATACTTTGTTACTTTACTTAAGTACATTTTTCACGTATCTTTACTTTACTTAAGTAGAATAAATAGTGCATACTTTTTACTTTTACTTCGTTACATTTTGCAGCAATTATTATACTTTCTACTCCACTACATTTCTACAACTTCTGTTACATTTTCGTTACATTTCCTGATCAGTTTTTCCCCTGCCAAAACGTAATCTGACCGTCCGTTCGTTGCACGTTTGTCTCACCAGTGACGTTTGGTTGCCATAGATACAGTATATCAACCCGGTCACACTAAATGCGTCTCACACGCAGTGTGTTTATCATGCAACTCATACGCGAAAATTTGTTTTTACGTGCATAGGAAACACACCGTGTGTAATATATGTTTGGTTTGGTTAGGATTATGGCAAGCCAAGAGGTTCAGAATTACACCATAAATGAATCGCGTTTACTGCCAATAGTAAGGATAAGCATGATATTGCCTAATTGCAAGCTTGTTTCAGAAATGGTGACATTTTTTTTCCATCATTATTGAACATCATTATAGAAGTAGGCTATTAGGTTGAATGAGTTAGAATTAAATGTTTTATTAATCATTAGAAAATAGACATTAAGATAATAAATTGTTATGCAAGTACTTTTACTTTTAATACTTAAAGTACATTTAAAATAAAGTACGTTTTACTTTTTACTTAAGTATGGTTGTCATTGTGTTACTTCTACTTTTACTAAAGTAAATATTTATCTGGGTATTTGTACTTTTACTTAAGTACTGAGATTCAGTACTTCCTCCACCACTGCTTGCATTTTAATGCATTGTATTTTTAGGGCTTGCATTTTTATGGGCTGAAATTCAGCATGGTTGAATATTTAAACTATGAATATTTAAATTTAAAACATTTCAAACACATTTTCACAACCTTGAAAGGTCTAGGGGAGATACCGCAACATTTGTATAATGACGTACTGCTGACATAACATGGCTTTTCTTCAAGGGAAAAAATCAACTGGAATGTATTTACAACAAGCCAAAGCCACTGAATCCAGTCAATAATAATAATAATAATAATAAAAAATAAGGTGTGCTATGTACACAAAATAAATAAGTGAACAAACAAACAATAAATGAGAAAAGAACAAATGCATCCCCATAGGAAAGAACAAAACATAACAAAATAATACCTAATCTAACCAAAGAAAAAGGTAGAAAATAAATCTTTTTTTTCCCTCTCAAATTAAGCTGTTTCAGCAGAACTTATCTTATCTCACAGTAATCTCTACAACGGTAGGAATAACGAGAGTTACGTAGGTAACTGCGGTTCTATGAGTTCTGGATGACCGCCAGAGGCAGTGCTTCACACTGGATACTATCTCTCGTTGCAATGCATAGGTCGAGTCTAATACAAACAATGTCCCACGTGACCAGGATGACTCGGGGTGCTCCTCTATTTAACCCCGTGACTTCCTGCAGACTGTCCCTACGGAATCTTCTCGCCTGACTCCGAGTGACAGAAAACTCTGGCGGTCATCCAGAACTCATAGAACCGCAGTTACCTACGTAACTCTCGTTCTATTTCGTTCTTACTGACCGCCAGAGGCAGTGCTTCACACTGGATGACTTATAACAACAAGGTCACGAGGAGGACCTACTCACTGTTAAGAGGAAGTTGAGGGTCCGGAGAGGATGGCTGTTCCAATATTACCAGAAGCAGCCACATTCACCCTATAGTATCTGGCAAATGTATTTGTTGATGACCATGTAGCTGCCGCACAGATGTCACTCAGAAGGACCCCTTTTAATGCAGCCCAAGATGTTGATATTCCTCTCGTCGAATGGCATCTCACCCCCAAAGGCACTGGACATTTATTAGATGTGTAAGCGTGGGTGATAACCTCCACTACCCAGTGCGACAATCTCTGCTTTGAGAGGGGCTGACCTCTTTTTGGGCCCCCGTAACAGAGAAAAAGTTGGTCTGATTTCCGAACAACTTCCGTGGCCTTCAGATATCCTCGGAGAGCTCTTACTGGGCACAGCAGTGTGCTTCCATCTCCTTCCAGCGCACTTGACATCGGAGGATTAAATACTGCCAGCTCAATAGCCTGGTTCCTAAAAAGGGCAGACAGCCGCTTGGGGAGAAATGCTGGGTTGGGCCATAACGTCACGACTGAGCCATCTGCGTTCCAACGCATACAGGATGCGCTAACTGATAACGCGTGGAGTTCACTCACCCGTTTAGACGAAGCAATGGCTAAGAGAAACGCTGCCTTCAATGAGATCCATTTCAGATCGCTGTGCTCTAAAGGTTCAAACGGTGGCAATGTAAGAGACTTTAATACTAGGCCCAGGTCCCATAAAGAAACCCTAACGGACTGAGGGGGCGCAGTCGCTGAGCCCCTCTAAGAAACTGAGTAACCAAGGCATGAGAACCCAATTGCTGACCATCTATTCGCACGTGATGTGCTGAAATTGCAGCCACATAAACTCTCAGAGTAGCAGCTGCTCTATTATTTTCTAATAGTGACTGCAGAAAACGTAACACCAGAGGAACAGGGCAGTGTTCTGGGACCACTGCTTGCTCTGAACACCACTCAGAGAAAAGCTTCCATCTATAGGCATAAGCACTCCTGGTGGAAGGTGCTCTAGAGTTCAATATGGTGTTCTGGACCCCTTGATCGCACGCCCCAAAGAGTGGTTCCGGCCCCTCAGAGGCCACACACAGAGCTTCAGGCGGTCTGGGTTCGGGTGCCAAATATGACCCTCCCACTGCTGGAGGAGATCTTTTCTCCTGGGAAGGGTCCAAGGATTCCCGTCTAGGAGTTTGTATAACACTGGAAACCACGGTCTCCCCGGCCAGTTTGGCGCCACTAGCAGCAGCCTGTGGTGCTCCTGGAGAACCCTGTGCTTCAGAGCCCGCTGAACTGCCCGAAGTTCCAGGGTATTTATATTCTCGTCTCTTTCCCGAGGACCCCACTGTCCTGTGACTGGTCTGTGTTGCCACACTGCCCCCCAGCCAGTAAGGGACGCATCGGTCTGGACTATCTCCCTCCGAGAGGGAATCATGCCCAGAACAACCCCCTTGGTCAGATACGGTCTGCTCCTCCAAGACCTCAGGGCCAGAAGGCATCGCTGTGTCACCTTGATCAACCTGTTCCTGTGCCAACTGGGGTTCAAGTGAAGACTGTTCATCCATATTTGAAAGGGACGTAATGACAGGAGGCCCAATGGTATGACTGCCGCTGCTGCTGCCAACATACCTGCGAGCTTGAGGAAGCACCTGAATGGAAGTCTGGCCTGCCTCCGAAACCGTTGAAGGAGGAGTAGTATATTGTCCACTCGTTGTTCTGATGGAGCGGCTTCCATTGACCGTGAGTCCAGCGTGAGACCTAGGAACCTCACCGACTGACTTGGAGCTAATTGACTCTTGCTGAAATTCACAGAAAGGCCCAGTCGAGTAACATGTGTCAGTAGCTGTGTGATTTCTAACACTGCCAGCTCGTGAGAGTGGGAGCAAAGGAGCCAGTCGTCCAAGTATGGAAGCACCTGTAGCCCCTTGGCTTGGATTGGAGCCAGTGCGGCCGCCATGCATCTGGTGAAGACGCGTGGCGACAGAGACAGGCCGAATGGGAGGACCCGGAATTGATAGACCTGGTCCTGGAATGCAAATCGGAGGAATGGCCTGTGTTGAGGAGCAATTGGAACGTGGAAGTAAGCATCCTTTAGGTCTACCGTTGTAAACCAGTGCTGCTGCTTGACTGCCTGAAGAACATCGGTTATGCGCAACATACGAAATGGTAAGATCTTCAGGAACTTGTTGAGGCTGCGAAGGTCGAGTATGGGCCTTACACCGCCATCTTTCTTTGGAATGATGAAGTAAATGGAGAAAAACCCACCTAGTCGTTCTGACCAATCTACTGGTTCGATGGCACCTTTCTCCAGGAGTTGTGCTACTTCTCGTTTTAAGGCAAGTGAACTGTTGGGGTCTGAGACTACAGTCATCCTGACCCCTTTGAAGGCGGGCGGCCGCCGTCGGAACTGCAGCTTGTATCCCTGGGTTAGCGTTGCTATAACCCACGGGTCGGAAGTTGTTGCTTCCCAATAACTGAGCTGCTGATAAGAAAACTGTCCGACGGCCGGCCGCAGACCTTCAGGACCTCCGTCCATGGCCTCTAGCATCCCTGGTGGGCCATTGGCCAGGTGCTCTACCCCTAGGGGTCTGAAAATCATGCTGACCCCGAGCCCGGGGCCGCTGAGCAGAATTTCCTACTTGCGGTGATCTCCGAGGCTGGCCCCTGTGAATATCACCTGAGCGTGCTGAAAATGTAGAGTGTGGTAGTTCATACCCCCTAGAAGGCTGACGGTAATTTAAATGAGCCTGTGGAACTCTCCTCAGGTCAGCAAACTGCTGTCTGGTCTGATTCACCTGGACGCTACGCTCCAGTGTCTCCTGTGCAGCTGGTCCAAAGAGTTGCCCTGGAACTACTGGAAGGTCCCTTAGTGTTCTCCTACACGCCTCAGACAGAGGTGATTGTGCAAGCCAAACTTGGCGGCGTGCTTGTGTGAGGGTTGACATCAGCCTTCCCAGCTCTCTTGTCATGAATGCTATTGCCTGAAGGGAGGCATCACTTAAGTTTTGGTTAAAAGGATCACTCCCTGATGATTGAAGGGATTGAGACAAGGCCAACATGAGATGGGACAACGAATTGCCAATGCGACCCATCCGTGCTGCTGTGTTATATGCCTGAATAAGATGGTCATCTGTAATCCTACATTGAGGCCGGGGGCAACGAACATTAGGCCTCAATACCTCCTCTGGTGAAAGAACAAAAGAGGCAATAAATGGATCAACCTTAGGCATCTGACCCAAGCCATAAGTGTCTGCATCTTGCATCGCAGCCAATGCCCTGCTTGCACTAGTGGGTGTGTAAGCGACCTAGGGTTCGCCCAGCATCTTTGCAACTCCTCGATATAATCCCTTGATGGTGGAATTGTAAGAGGAGAGGGTTGCGCCGAACCTCTGAAAAAAGCACTAGAAGAGGTTGCCGCAGCAGGGGCTGTGTCAAGACCCAATCGAGCCAATGCAGCCTGAAGAGCCTGCTTCACTAGCTCTTGCTCCGACTGTGGACCTTCTGCAGATCCCTGACCAGCTTCCTGGGAGCCATCATGGGAGAATTGGGATTGATGATCAGAAAACCCCTGCCTCTCTCCATCAACATCATCATAGAATTGGCTCTGAGAAGCCGCCATTGAAAGGACATCCTCCTCCTCAATGGGCGACTCCCTAGCAGTGGCTCCGGCTGAGGATACTAGTCTCTCGCCCGGTTGCAACCTCAAAAGCAAGGCCTTAATCTGAGCAAACTCAGCCGCCATCACATCCACCTTCTTCGCTAAAGGGTCTTCCTTGGGTCTTTTACCAGCGGAAGCACTGGTTGATTCAGTATCTTTACGTTTTCTTGCTTTTCTCCGTGGTGGGGGTGGAGGTAGTGACTCCCCCAAAAGCCCTTCCACCATGGTTATCCTTGAAGTCCTCCTCTCCCAAGACATGACGCTACAGTTTGTGCAGGCATCTTCTGTGAGGCCTTGTTTAAGGTGTTCTAGGCCTAAACAGGAAGGGCAGCAGTCATGCCCATCATCCTCCTGGAGAACAGCCATGCACAATGTGCAAGTATGAGCTAACTTCTCCATTCTTAGGAAGATATTTGGTAGGTCGAGCGCAATCACTCTGACCGGCAAAAAAAATAAAATAATAATAATAATTAAATAAAAATTCAAAAACAACACAACAATTATTGAAGTGTATATGTAATTATACTACAAAAACCAACAGTATAATTATTGCCTTTTTATTTTTATTTTATTATTTTTTTTTTTTTTTTACAATGCTAGACTCATTCCAACACAATAGATGAGTATGCAGCTATTGTAGCTCTGATACCAATCGCTATACAGAGTGCACACCCTCCCAGGGTGGTCTTACTAACTTACCTACAGCTGCAAGTTATAATGGCCCTTTCAACGAGCGAAAACACTCTGTCTAGCGACCAACACAATGCCAGGAAAACGAGAACGAACCCCAGCATCAATGTAAACAAACTCACCAATCATGTTGTTTATTTTGTTATCAATGAATCCGTTGCAGCCTCTGGAGGACGCGCAGTCGCGAGACACCAACAAATGTTTTCTGTTGCGAAGCTGTGAGGAACGGATTCAAGTTTACTTTTCCTTTTTTTTTTTTTTTTTTTTTTTTTTACATAATCTACGACCTGCATACGTGCACGCGAGAAGATTATAGGGACAGTCTGCAGGAAGTCACGGGGTTAAATAGAGGAGCACCCCGAGTCATCCTGGTCACGTGGGACATTGTTTGTATTAGACTCGACCTATGCATTGCAACGAGAGATAGTATCCAGTGTGAAGCACTGCCTCTGGCGGTCAGTAAGAACGAAATAGAACAATTTGCCAAGCTATCGTACCGCCTCTTTGCTGGCTAGAAACTGTGCACTGGTGGTAAGATGTTGTTGGACTTCGTCTGGAACATGTGACGGTGCTGTAGTTGATATTGCCTATGACTCATAGTATCCAATCTATTTCCAAGAAGCCTTTGTATTCCCCTGAGTTTGTGACACATGGTTCCTCCCTTGAACAAGGGCCCTTCTTCAAAAGACAGCCACTGTAACATTATGTTATTGGAATTGTGATCTGTCTTTCTTGGGTTGATGGAGTTCTCACAGGGATGGAAGCCTTATTTGTCACAGTCATAGCAATTAATAATGAATGGTAGGGTGGATGGAGTGTGTGTGTGTTCCTTAAAAATGGGCTTTTGAATTTTGTGTTGATTTTTTTTTTTTTTTTTTGACCCATTTGTCTTGTCTTGTACTGAAATTAAAGTAATCTCAAAAGAATGCTAAAGTCAATATGAAGTGTCACTGGTACTGATAATAACAGAGGAAGTGTTGTTGCATTTGTTAAGACCACAGGAAGAGTTGTGCGAGTGTATAACCTCACAGGAAGCCTACTGATTTAGATGTTGTCTGCAGGTGAGTTTTCAGAAATGCTAGAAAACTACCTAAATGCAGATAGACATAGGCTAATATGTGCATGGGTTTTAATGTTGCGACTGCCTCTGCCTGATGTATTATGGGTAAATTTGTTTTTCAAGACACTAATGATTAGACTGAGAATCTGAAATGGTGAGATGCTAGTGTGCTGAATCATTTATTTATGACTGAAACTTTCACTTCTTTCTATTAATTCTTTAACTATGTAATTTTCCCAGTGGACCAAACTTATTAACTGAAGGCAGACGTTAAATGTGCATTAATCAGATGACGAATCCTATTATAGCGAATGCTTGAATCATGAATTTGTATTAAATTACTTGACTGGCTGATCCAAGGAACTTTACCAAGCAACATCTGCATATAACTTAATTAATATTCACATACTAGCTATACCATAATTTTGCTGAATTTGCTGTGCTGAATTTTCAGCATCCATTTACTCCAGTCTCTGTCACTTGATTTTTAATGTGTCCTTGCTGAAAAAAATATTTCTCCCAAAAAAAACAATTCTTACAGACCTAAGTCTTTGAACAGTAATGTACTCTATTATTAATAATATTTACATGCATGTTAATTGATTATGAAAATAGTTACAGTTCGGAGTTTTGTATTGTGCTGTGCCCTTATGTCTTGTCCTTTCAATCTCCCACAGAAACTAACCTTTCACTGACTGGCTTCACTGTTTGTGTTTTACCTGCAGGTGTTAATGTGTCATCATTGACCTCTCTCTCTCTCTCTCTCTCTCTCTGCAGGTGTGTGCGGAGGAGTCTATGTATCGATATGGAGTATAGTGCCGATTGCAAACTGTATGACAGGGAGTGCAGACAAGCCACATTGATCACTGGCGTGCAGTGACTGTTGCTGCAGACATCGGCAGGATTCCGTCCTCTCTATGCTTTTACCTCTTACTTCATCAAGCAGGACTCTTCATTTATTGGTTTTTGGACACCTTTTTTGAGTTGCCTTACCCCCCACTCCCCCCTTTCCCTTTTCTCTCCCTCTCTGTGCTTCTCCCTTGCTCCCCCTTTATTCTTTCCCTGTTGACCTCTTGATCAGCCTGCGAGCTAAGATGAGTTGGCTAAGTCGTTTAAATCCAAGGGGTCCAGGCACTCGGACCGGTCGACATGCAGCCCCGTCCAGCCCGTGCACTGCCGACCCCGAGACCTGCCTTATGGTGTTTGAGAACCACTGGAGACAGGTGTGACACCACATTGACTTATTTTCCTTCATTCTGATTGTGCAAATAATATCCTTAGGAAAAAAATATTGGTTAAGAATTATTAGTGTGGTTAATACATAGTAAACTTGTTTTTGTTTTTGTTTTTTATCATAAGAAAGGCAAATGAGGTATCCTTTTAAAGTTAGCTTATTTGTTTGCAAAAGCATATGTCTTACTTTAGCATTATTGACTCAACAACAGACTTGACAGACTGACTGCACAGACGGATGTATCACACTATTTTGTCAAACTGGAGATGGCAATACTGTTAGCTTACAGGTGTTTTCAGAAAGCCAGCTTTTTTATCCACAGTGAAGACATAGCACGTACATGGTTGCCAGGTTGAGATAAATGACACTTAGGAGATATTTCTGTATTGCTTAGATATTTCCAAGTTTTGATTGGGTGATTACATCCCATGATATCAGGCAAGGCAACCCCAGTTATTTCCTCTGTAGGCCAGATTAAACTTGATTCTAACCTATAAATTATATTAGATTAATTAATTTCAGAAAATTCCCACTCAAATTATTCAAATTAAGCACAGAATTGATAAAGAAGGAGCTGTATAGGAACTCATATCGACAAGCATTATGTGACGATACATCATCTTAATGATGTATCGAACACACCGCCCTAACATCAATATAGACTCTGGAACAATATAGACAATATAGTATATATACTAAATATCTACTCTTCTGTGGCTTTACCATAAATAGAACTGTTCCCTGTCTCCCTGCCAGGTGTCGGGTGTGTTGAAACGGAGAGAGTCTTCAGTGGGTGGTTGTGCCGATGATCTCACAGCAGTTCGCAATCACACAGATCAGATGCTGTGCCTGCTAGCTGAAGAGAGACCAGCTGGGGGAGACATTGAATCACCAGGTTAAAACACTCTCCTGTGAGCTCGATGGAGCATACATTTGTACTGTTTAGCATAATATAAATTCTTTTTTTATGTGACAATGGATTGTGGAATGTCTGCAGCACTGGGTCCTATTCTGGAGATGGTGGTGGCAGAGAACATACTGGAAGAGTTGGTACAGTGGCATGTGTGCCATGGTCTGGAACCGGACAGCCAGCTAGAGCTGTTGAAACTGTTTGAGATGCTGATCGGACAGTCACATCAGTCACTCCTCCGGCACAGTGCAGTGCTCCAGCCGCTGCTAAGCCTGCTGGGAGCATGTGTGGATCCCCAGCTGGGCTGCCCTTCTGCCCTAGAGTCCAGCCTCGTACTGCTGCTAAATCAGGTGTTTGATAGGCAGATTCTGACACCTGTTTGAATCACATGGAAACTAATTTTGCAGAATTCCACAACATTCTTTGACAGCCAATCAGATTTTATTGCTGAGCTTACCACTGGGTTAGTGGCTTATACACCACGGAAACCTATCAATTCCGTGTAATTTATAGTTTAGGTCGAGGGTCAGCAAATAAGGTTGGCATCGGGCCAAAATGCCTGTGACGGACTGTTACTGTGTCTTTTGTAACTGTTACTCTGTGTTAAATCCTGTAGTAAGACAGTCATTAACAAAAAGCCACATTTGTGTGGGGGTGTCCAGGTTTTACACTGGATACAATAATAAAGCAGTAGGGATGAGTCACGATTTTCGAATATTCGGTTTGTTGATTTAATTATAGAATATCGAATAGGTCTTGCGATTGAGATTCTTTCAGAAACGCTGATTCATCAAGTAATGAAAAACGTCTTTATTTAGGGAGTCATTGAATCATTCATTCAAACCGACTTCATTTAAATCGTTTAAATGAATTAAACATTTTTAAATAGATTGCATGAATTAATATTTTGTCAGAACCTCTAGTTGATTGCACTTTATTTTTAGTTGTCTGTTCAGAATCGTGATCTCTATTTGAAACAAAATCCAGAATCTTGCAGCTCTACAATCAGCACAGAAACAAAAGCAGATGGAATTAAATGGGCCAAAATATGAGCCCAAATTAGACGGCAGGGGAAAAAACATGTAATGTACAATAATTTCATGCATAATTAAATATTCATTTCTGTTTGTGTCAGGTATGTGTGTCCATGGTCAAAGAAACTGCCATTTTGGAGTTGTTATTCAAGTGTGGGCCGGTACAGCAGGGTCCCACCAACCTGCTGATCTTCTCACTGTTGGTGCCATTTATCCATCGAGACGGCTCTCTGGGGCAGCAGGCCCGTGATGCGCTACTCCTCGTCATGGCAACCTCTGCCAGCAACCACTCTGTTGCACGCTACATCGTTGAGAACTCCTACTTCTGTCCAGTAAGCATGAGTGTGTTTGCTGTTGTGTGTGCTTACCTCATCTTTTCTGTTCTTACTTTTGAAAATGGGCTCGTATCATAGATTATTTATGATTAAAGGGCAGAGAAAAGTTAGAGAAGCAGGCTTTAATGTGTATGTTCCTTCTCTTCTTTTCTCACTGTCAGCAAGCTTTATGAATATCCATTCTATTCATGTTATGATATGCGTTCATGTATGATTTTGTCTGTGCTATGCAGTTTGAATGTCGGTTGTTGATTTCACTGTGGTATTTTCTCTGGGTTGCTTTTTATTGGCTTCTGTGGAATGAAAAAGGCCATTTGTCATCTGTAGTTGTGCTCTATGACTACAGTGTTGGTTCCAGTGGATGTGCTGCTTTCCTCCCCTCTTTCCTCACAAGAATAATATATGAACCTTCATGTGACCCACTTAACACATACTACTGGATGTCTCTAGGACTCTCTGCCACTGCAGTGCCTCTGTCTCTTTACATTTCTCTCTCTTACTTTCTTTTTCTACTGTATGTCACATATAGCTATTTTTATGCCAGAGATGCATTAGATCTTGCTGCCAGTTTCTTTGATTGCCTGTTTTGTGGCTCTAGAAGACATGGCCAAGTTCCACATATAAAACCAGCCCTGTCATGAATAATGTTCTTCAGCATATTTGAGCATTAGGGTGTGGTCACGTTTACTGATGTTTCAGCGAATTTTCATGTTCGAAATACAATCATTTCAAAAGGAATCCACGCAGTCGGAAAATTCGTAAAGGGTTTAAGGTCATGCAAATATGCCACGTTGACAGACAAAAGGCTTGACAAGTTTCTAGGTTTGTTAGTGAATTCTGTGTGAGCAGTGAATCATTGCTACACTTGACATGACGATGGTAATTTTTCCAAGTTTTTTTTTTTTCTTTTTTTTTGGTACATATGACCATACAATTATTCTATGTTAAGATGTCTGAGAAAGAATAACTGCATTTGGAGTAGGGATGGGAATTTGAAGCAAAAATAATATTCGAAGACCGCTGGGTAGTATTAGATTATTATTCGAATTCATACCCCCTCCCCACATGCACGCACACATGCATGAATATGCTACATACTAGAGCATGTGAGCGAAGCATAGTTGCTTGGTCAACTATATGTAATAATGTTGGCAAATCCTCCCCCAGGTGCTAGCGACGGGGCTGAGTGCACTATATTCATCCCTGCCGCGTAAAATCGAGGTACGGGGTGACGACTGGCACGCCTTGCGGAGGGAGGACTGGATGGGCGTCTCCTCTCTAGTGCTGTTCATGAACAGTCTTGAATTCTGCAATGCTGTAGTGCAGGTGGCACACCCGCTTGTGCGCTGCCAACTCCTTGACTACCTCCACAACGGCTTCCTGGTGCCAGTCATGGGCCCCGCTCTGCACAAGGTGAACCAGAATGATCTGGGCCCAGTTTGGCTTAGACAATATTGCCAATATTGTTTTGAATGGAATTTATTTTCTCTTATTTTGTTTTCCCTCTCTCTCCTTTCATCTCTGTCTCTTATGGTTCTTCCGTCAGTCGTCGGTGGATGAGATGATAGCAAGCACGGCATATCTGGACCTGTTTTTACGCAGCATCACAGAAACTTCCCTCCTTAAGACTTATTTGCGCTTCATTCTGTTGCATCACCATGACAACGACACCATCCTTGATACACTACTCACACGCATCAGCAGCAATTCACGGGTCAGTTTAGCACATGCTGTATCTGGCGTGCATGTATAGATGGAAAAGACACTGTTTTGTCAGTGCTGTTGGTTATGGAAATATAGAGAATTGTTACTAAAGATACATTTTCCTCCCTCTCTCTCTCTAAAGCTGTGCATGGTCTCTCTGAGTCTGTTTAAGACATTGCTCAGTCTCAACTGTGAAGACCTCATGCTCCAGCTTGTCCTCAGGTATTTAGTGTGCTTGGGTGTGTGACTAATTTTGCAAGAGAGCCTACACATATAAGCTTTGGGTGTTTATAGATGGATTTGGACATTGCATCTTGTAAATTGAAATATTATGGACATTTCTTTATTAAATTAAAGGGTTAGTTCACCCAAAAATGAAAATTAAGTCATTAATTACTCACCCCCATGCTGTACCAACCCCGTAAGACCTTCGTTCATCTTCGGAACACAAATGAAGATATTTTTGATTAAATTTGAGAGCTGTTTAACTACCACATTGGCTCCTAAGGGAATGACACTTGACGGCCCAGAAAGTCAATGAAGAAAATGTTTAAATAATTCAAGTGACTAACAGTGGCTCAAATATAAGTTTATCAAGCGACGAGAATACTTTTTGTGTGAAAAAACAAACAAAAATAACGACTTTATTTGACTATTCCTTTTCTTCCTTGTTGGCCTGAAACGAGACTTCAATAGATTTCCACGACGCATGCGCGAGAATTGCGATCTCCTTCAACTAGTTCAGTTCTCGTGGAAATCTATTGAAGTCTCGTTTCAGGCCAATAAGGAAGAAAAGGAATAGTCGTATAAAGTCGTTATTTTTGTTTGTTTTTTCGCACACAAAAAGTATTCTCGTCGCTTGATAAACTAATAGTTGAGCCACTGCAGTCTTATGGAATATTTAAACATTTTCTTCTTTGACTTTCTGGGCCGTCAAGTGTCATTCCCTTAGGAGCCAATGTAGTAGTGATCCACCTCTCAAATTTAATCAAAAATATCTTCATTTGTGTTCCGAAGATGAATGAAGGTCTTACGGGGTTGGTACAGCATGCACCCCCATTAATTAATGACTTAATTTTCATTTTTGGGTGAACTAGCCCTTTAAATGCAGCATACAATTTTGTAGATTATATATAAGTGTTTTTAAAAAATGAAAGGATTATAGTGCATTATTTTATTAGGCAAGTGTCACTATTGCTCATACTTGGGGAAAGAGAATAAAATAATTATCATTTTTGTGTCCAAGATAAAGCTGCTATGATTTTTCTTGTGTGTTTCCAGGTATCTGTTGCCATGCACACATGTAATGCTGAGTCAGCGGAGGGCAGTCAGAGAAACAGACCTCTATGGCAAATCAGCTGACAAGTTCCTTTCCCTCATACCAGAATGCTGCCGAATCACTTCAGCACCCTCTAGTGAGCGGGATGATGAACCTGCCTTTTGGGGAAAGGGTAAGAGTAAGCATGCGTCAGGCACATTTATGGACACAATAGATGTACTTTTAGACTTCTGAAAAAAAAAAACATTGCTGAGGTTCATACTTAAAACATGTATTTTCTATCTGTTATTGCCTTTAGTGTTGGGTAGTCCTACTTCAGAGTCACCAGTTCACCACAGACCCAGCACTCCGTCCCGCCTTGCTCTCTTTATTCGACAGCAAAGCTCAGGAGGCCAAGCCAACTCTTCTGGCTCGGAGAATGCTCCCCCTTCTCCGCGTGGTAGTGTTTCTTCCCCTATTTCTTCTGACAGCCCCATGCACCAACTCCCAGACACTTCAGAAGGAGAGACTGGCTACCTGGAGTATCTGCGTGATGCTCGGAAGGGTATTGAGCTCTGCTCTTGGGGCTGTCGAGACTGGTCGGCACCATATGATGGAGAAAATCCTTCTCCAAACTCTGTTCCTCCTCCACCTCCCCCTCCTACGTCCAATCCCTCTCTCAATATGGTACCAGAGCATTTCTCTGTAATGGACCCCGCTCAGCAGAGGGCAGCAGTGGTGGCTGCAGCTCGTTCCGAGTGGAGCAGTTCAGATCGAGATAGTGGAGAGTGGGATGTTACCATCAGCAAGAACTGTATCAGTCTGACACCCCGCAGTAAGAAACGCAGCCTTCTTCCTAGCACTGTACCACTACAATCTTCTGCATCAGCCTCTACAGAAATAACGCGTGCCGTGGAAACCGTGTCCCAACACCCTCTTTCAGCTCCTCATCCAGCACTCTACAATGGGATGGGGCAGGTGGATTTCACAGACAGTGTGGATGAGCGAATGGAGGTTAAGAAAGTGAAGAGGGAGTCAGATGTAAATAGCGGTGCGGTTGAGTCGGCGATGAACGGGTCGATGGGTATGGGCCCAGTCGACTTCAAAGATTTCCACGTAGGATCGGCGCTGAAATCATCTCAGGTGCAGTTGAAGCCACATCTGCAACATCAAACCTCCGTGCCCTCCTCTGCACAAGAGTGTCTGCAAAGTGAGAGCCAAAGATTGTCTCCTGTTGTTGGCTTGACCGAGACCTCCACAGTGCCCCATGAGAGCAGGGCTCCAGAGTCCGTTGAGCGTCTGATTGAGGAGTTGCTGGAGCGGGCGCCGTCAGAGCCGTTGCCTGGTGACTCAAAAGGCCAGGGAATCAGCATTGAGGCTTTCCACCAGGAGCTGAGGGAGCTGGAGGAACGTGTAAGAGAGAGGAGGGTTCTTTCACACAGCTCGGAGGAGTCCTCTCGGGAATCCCGCACTGCTCCTGCTCCCAGCCTGACAGATGAAGACTGCCTTCCAGTGGAGACCGAGCAGCGCTCCAGTGAAACAAAGCCCGACAGCTCTACCACTGGGGTATTTAGCCCCGCACGACCCCTCGGACAACCTCTTGCTCAACCGTACACAGGTTCTCGATGTAGAGATGACCAAATTAAAGATTTGAGTGCTTATGTTACCAAGTGCAGCAAGAGCTAACCATAAGTCACTGGTTCCGCTTCTCCCTTTGTGTAGGTCCATTTATAACAGTCCTGTTCAGTAAACTGGAGAATATGATGCAGAACTCCCTATATGTGAACATTTTGCTGACGGGCGTTGTGTTCCAGCTGGCCTGTTACCCTCAGCCACTCCTACGCTCTTTCCTCCTCAACACCAACATGGTTTTTCAGCCCAGCGTTAAATCACTCATACAGGTAATGAAGAACAAATATGACTCTATCAGCATGACTGCTTGAAATGAAATATGCTCTTTTTATTGGTTGGTACATTTTCTGAACAAAACAAAATGGATTTTATTTATTCTCTTAAAACATAATCGTGGTTTTTATTGAGGATATTTTATTGGTGTACATTATTCCAAAGATATTTTTTCATGTTTTATGTTGACTGAAAATCTTTATTTGTTTTGACAACTCTGGTTTGTTTTGTAAAAAAACTGCTTGGTTTATTTTGAATTGGCTTTCTCTGGCATTTTTTTCTATCTTTTAGAATTAAATTATATTAATCTGTTTAATGTTCTAGGGTGAAGTTTGAGTAAGCAATTCATTTACAATTTGATTGACTGAATATGATTTGATTCGATTCGAAACGAATATGCAAGATGTTGGTTTTACTTTCACTTTCCATTTCTCAGGTGCTGGGATCAGTAAAAAATCGCATTGAGGGATTTGCAGCAACACACGAGGATTTCCCTGCCCTGTTAAGAAAGGCTCGCCGCTTTCTGGTTGCGAGAGGAAAGTTAGACTGGTCCGACTCACCCATGGGAGTGCCCAACCTTCGTCGATCAGACTCTTTAAGTAGGTGAATGAGAGGCAATGAAAACAATGGCTTCTCTCTGGCTGTCTGTCACAGTATATAGATTTTACTAATATAGGCACAATTATCTTTTTATAATCTTTCTTTGAACACATTATTGTATCAGCAAAATCCAATATTGATCAACCTCTAATTCGTATGTATTTCCATATTTCGTGTATATATGTATTGTCTTGAGTATTTTTAATTTGAATTTTCAGTTTTGCAGTTGAATGTGTGCCACAGCCTGTTTAAAATTTTTTTTATTATGAGATAGTATGGGTTTGTTCTGTATGGACATACAATATTGATTTTATTTGTGCAGGTCTCAAAAAAAAAGGTTATAAAGTCTTACATTTAATTTTTAAACTGTAGATACCCTGTTGATTTCTTCTTTCAATCTCTCCAACAGTTAAAAGTCGAAAGCCATCTCTGGGCGATCTTATCTTGAGGCACACCAACAGTCCTACGAGAGCTCGAAATGCAGCTCAGTTAGCCTTGGCCCACGTGAGGGATGGAGGCCAGTCCTTACACAGTGCTTTGTTTCGCGGTGGTGCGGCCGGTGGGGCTTCTGGCTTGGAGAAGCAGGCAGAGGCACTAAGGGTGAAAAACGCAGTCTACTGTGCTGTCATTTTCTCAGAGTTTCTCAAAGAGCTCGCAGCTCTTGCACAGGAGCATGCCGTAGCCCTACCCTTCCCACCCAGTCAAGGCACTGAGGAATAACACCAGGCCAAATTTTTTTTTATTTTTTTTTTCATGGGACATGATGCGTTCAAAGAGACAGGAAAATCAATTGCTCATAAAGGTGAAGAGAGGTCATCTCTTGTTAATAATCTCATGTTCATAATGTAATTTTTTTAATTGTACAGGACCATTTATCCATTATGCGTTAGGAAATTGTGCATATAAATCTTGTATATAGACTATATAAAATATCTATGTGTATAATAATTTTTGTACACTCAGAGAGACTTGCATCTTTTAAGCTGGAGGAATTTGGTCGTAAACTTGCACTCCCGACGTTTCTATGTCACTTCGGAGACTAGCTAAAGTAGACTCACTACACACGGTTCTTTTAAACTTTTATGGGTGCAGAAGTGTCATTTACATTTTAGCAACGTCAGGTGGTTATTTTGTCTCTTATAGAGTATAGGTCGGTAAGATCACACCAATATATATTGAAAATAATCATTTGTCTTTTTTTAAAGGATGTCAGATTCTGTTTACCAATCACATGCTGGGCAATACGTCCTCAGTATTGCAGCAGGAATTGCCTCTTTATAGAGACATCTCTGAAAAATCAATAATTGACAAAATTCCCAAAATGTTCTTCCGATCTCTAGCACACATCTTTTTTGTCCAGGAGCTAGAGTGACGTTAGAGATTGTAAAAAGGGTAGAGGGTTCGTTTCCTTAGCCTCTGTCCCAGTAAAATTAAACATTGATGGACAGTTTTCATTTTAAAATTGAATTTTTTTATTTCTCGGTTGCAGCAGCTTATTTTCTAGGACAGATTTTCGGGTGAGTTTCTGGGAAATGCGTATGGTACATTCACCCAGCATGACATTACATTTTGTCTTCAGTTTCTGGAAAGGCACTGATTTTTCTGCCCACAAAGATCTCCTCCTGGATGTTAGCGTCCATTTTGGCGTCTGACTAGGTGCTAATGTCTTAAATCTTTGACTGGTATGAGCAAAGAGAAGCTTGCTTAATTACCTGTCCCTTTAAGGAGTGAGCCAAGTTAAGTGAATCATAAGCCATCTTACTGTTTTTGTTTTTTTCATTCTTTCTGTTCATTACTTGATTTTGCTAGTGTTATGAGTATGAGCGAAATCAGCCGTAAATTGTGCATAATGGAAAAACCGCCACAAGATGGGTTGTTGTTTTGTTTTTTGTTTTTTATTGAAAAATTTTAATTTGTTTATTGCCAAAATACTTTAGACACTTTAATTTTCAGAATGGAAGTTAAGGACATGCATGTGCATTTGTTTTTAACAGTAACTGTGTGGGGGGTGTTTTTTTACAGTATGGTTTTTGCCCCTTGTTCCAAATGTGTCTTAGAAAAAGTGTTGCTGATCTTAAATCATCCATTTAAGAGCTCTTTTATCATGCACAAGCCATATGCGCATTACCTCATTTTGCTACTTAATTTTTGGTATCTTGCTGCTTCACTTGTCTTAGTTTTGATGATTCGTTTCAATCAAATATCATATTTTTCTGATACATTTTTGTGGTTAGCTCTAACTGCTGAATTGTCAATGCATCTATCCCCCATTTATCCCTCCACCCATCCACAGAAGGTTTGTGTGGGACATTAGTGTGATGATTCTCTGCTTTTGTTGATATCTGAAATGTTAAGCATGTATATTCCATAATTAAGGATAATGTTAGGCAGAGTTAGTGTCAAGAAAAATAGTTTTTGCTCGCATCCCTGAAATGCTCGGTCTGTGTGGGTGAGAAAGATAAAAAAGGAAAATAAAAAGCAAGAGGTCGCCGAATAAAGCGGTACATATATGTTAGTGTTCAGTTATCTCTATGGAGACAGTGGAAATTACACACAGTTTCTAAGTTAGAAATCAAATAGGCCTATTCAATTGTGTCGTAAGATACCAATGCACAAGAAACACCCATTGTTTTGAGGATGTAATTATATGCCTGATAGCATGTTTTTCTTTTTCTACTTACATGTATTCAAGTGTTTATGATTTTGAAATTTTAAAAAATCAGGCACTCATTGATTGTTTATGGAAAGTGTTTGTTTGATCAATATACATTGCACAATTTTTAAGTTGATTTTTTTTTTTATGTAATTGGTTTCCTCTTTTTTTCATTCTGTCCATTTGTTTGAATGAAACGTTGATGTTCACAAGGACTTCTGTGGCTTGTTATCTATGCAAAAGTGGTTTCTTTGTTTCTGAGTAAGTGAAGACGGTTAACGTTTTTAGGACAAACAAACTAAATTTGCAATCTGGAACCCCACTTCAATAATTTACTTATCCCTTATCTAGTCAATAATCTACTGGACTGTATGGACACTCATGCAAAATAATGAATGTTGTCAAAATATTTTTCTATATTTAAAATGGAGGAGGGAAGTGGAACTGAATGGAGATTTAAATCAACCTTCAACGACAAACAAACACTAAAAGGGAATGTTTTTATTAATTTATAAATGTTTTACCTGGCAATACCTTTGGCTTCTTGGTCTTTATTTCTCTTGAGTTTATAAAGGTGAGATCCTCTGTTATTTATGGTTTGATAAGATGTGATTGATTGCAAATACATTACATATAATGGTCAAGAATGTATCTGAAATGTGATCACATTTCCTATACACTTCAACCTTTGATCTGTTGCTTGGACTTTAGAAGAATATTTTTTCTTAGATGGTCTTTAAAAATAAATGACACTGAGTAAGTTCACTTTGGTTGGTGCATAGACTGGTTTGACAAACCTTAAATATTGTCAGAAGAACAATGACCCAGTTCACTCTGAGTCTCCATGCTCATTAGTGAGATTCTGTTCCTGCCCGTATTTTTATGATCTCTTCCTTATCTTCTGATAGAAGTCTTGCTCATCTTCACTGGATTATAGACAGAGGATGCTGCTACAGGGAAGAAAGACTTCATGTCTTTCATAATCATTGGGTCACGCTACAAAATCTCTGTTGTAAAGATATTCAAGAAGTCTACTTTACAAGTTTGCTAAATTTGTGTTTATCGGCTATTTATTTTGTTTTGCATAAGTTCTTAAGCTGTGACAAAATTCCACAAATTTCCAGTACTTTTAAGACTTTTTTTATTAAGCATTTGTACAAAAATGTTCTTTTGTATAACTTTGCATGCATTTTTTAAAATTAGCCCACTAAATTTGTTAGTTTGGGGTCAATAATGGGAAATAAAAAAGTTTTGCATTTTTCACTAAATTAATAAATACATAGCTAAGATTTTCAGCTTTGATTGTAATATTTCTTGAATCAGCATATTAGAATGATTTCTGAAGGATCATGTGACATTCAAGACTTCAGTGATAGCTGCTGAGAATTCAGATATGCCATCATAAATTACATTTTAAAATATATTAAAACAGAAAACTTTTTACTGTATTTAAAAAAAAAAAAACCTAACTTTTGAACAGCAGTGTTTATGAAATTAAATTCTGGTATATTCATGAAGCTCAATTATAGATCCATGTACTGCCTGAACTAATCTAATGTTGAATAAAGGAAGGCATAAACTTATTAATATCTTGAAATGCCAACCATGCCCATGAAAGAAGTCATGCATTAATAATTACCAACTTATGTAACTACATTAGGACATGTAGTTATTGTATTCATTAGCATTAGGGATAAACATGGTTCAAATGGGTTCCTTTACAAAGACGTGTGAATCATTTGAATCATTACACTTTTGTTCTCAAACATATTTGCCGTTTCATACTGAACATAATTGGATGGAGCTGGATTATTGCACTCCAACATTTACACAGACAATCCAATGAGATGCAATCGCCCCCTTTTAATTAAATTATATTAAACATGATCAAAGCTTCTTCTCATGCTTTGTAATTGAGCCAATTTATGTATACATGTTAATTAATAACACTTGCACTTCGATATTTAAAGTGGCCATTGTTCACTTGAGACTAGCTGTATCTGATGAGCTTGTTGACTTGAATTCACCATTATTTCATGTTGAAGTTAATCAATCTAGTACATGATTACTTATGTTATTAAGTGTAACTTTGCCTCCTGAGGTGATATGTGCATAAAGCAAGGTTATTTCAACAACTAGAAACAATTAGATCTTCTATTTTACAGTCTCTGTGCTGTATCAGAAGTCTTGATTAGTTAAATGCTCTTCATACATGTAGGCCTACAGTGTGAAGAGAACACTTTGATATCCAGCCAAAGGTCCTCAAACTCCCACAGGATTACCATTTTGTTGATTAGAGTGACTCATGGAGCTGGCTATCCAGAAGCTGAAATTTCTCTGCTCATGTCAAATCAGTCACGGAAAATAATTTTTCCATGAGCGAAGACCAGTGTTTCATTGTTTATTAAATAAATGCATGATTAATTAAAGTTTAGGCCTATAATATATCTATGTGTGTGTGTGTGTGTGTGTGTGTGTGTGTGTGTGTGTGTGGCCTAAAAAAATGGGTATGGTCTATACGTTTGAATTGAAAAATATAAGTACGAGAACATATAAGGTGCAGAAGAAGTGTAGAACTACAGATGGCTCCATGAAGTCGCTGAAATTTGTTTAATTGCACGCTGTGATAAATAAATACCTTTAAATTTGTAAAATAGTTTTAATTTTCCTCTTGATTTATTCTTTGCAAAAGGTGTTTTGGGTCTGATTACTGGTAGTTAATTGAATTCGTTTTGTACCGTTTCCTAGCAACAGTGGGACAACTAGCAAGAGGAAAAAACCTGCGTGAGAGAAAGGAGGAGGGCAGTGGCAGAGCAGGTGAAAGACACACAGGTAAGACTTACAAACCGAATAAATTTTTTTTACAATTGAAGACAAAATATTTGTTTGATTAGTAATAAACAGTCAAACAGTCAAGTTCTTTTTTGATTAGTTTTGGGTTAAACATTTTTTTTTCTTTTCCTTTAATGGATTGTCTTTAATACAGTGAAATTAAATGTTTCGCAATGCTTTTAAAGTGCAGTTAAAGACCATTGTGAATTGCTTGTTACATTTATGTGGTTATAAATAAGTTGGGAATCATTCATATTGTTATCTGGCACTGCCAGTTTGCAGTTTTACTGGACAGCAGCAGTTTGATTGCTTTTGCCTAAAGATAGATTTAGTTTGATAATGGTTATTTGTGTTCTAAAAATGATTGTTTTTGCTGTTGTTCACTGTCATTCTTGTGCAAAGCCAATACGCAGAGTTCAACTGCAGCAGCCCCTCATAGATAATGTAAGAAGTAATTTGAGAGGAAAAGACACAGGAGAACACATAATGCACCATATCAAATGACTTTGCATGTACTGTTACAATAATGCAAATGACTGTTAAAATTTGTAATGAATTGGTGTAATCTCCAGTTTTCTAGATTAACATAGAAAAGACATAAGTTCACATTGACTCTGGCAACCTATAGGACAACAACTTCTTACAAAAAATCGCTTGAATATCATGAGTGCTTATAAAGTTTTAGCTTTTATTTGTCACACTTTTTTTTTTTTTCATTTTTCTTTTATCCAGAAAACTTCACCCAGAGTTTGAATTGGTGATTTGGCAAATAGAGTGCAATAAACATTCCCATATGTATTTTTTTTCTTTTTCTACTTGGCATTTCTTGCTGACATCTATCTTGTCCCTCCTCTCTTTTTAGCACTGTCTCTCGAACAGAACCAGTCAGGAAACGTACCATTAAAATAGCATTATACAAAGAAGGTTGCAAGTCTGAATGTGAATATATACTGAAATACCTGATTGGTTAAAAGCACATAGGCCTATAATAACAAGATCTTGATTATATATATATACACACAAGATAGCGTATGTGCATTTAATATAAGCATTTGCTTTTACTTTAGTTGATGAACTAAAGTAACTGATAAACTTTTACTTCACAGCATGAATATTCATATCCTCTGATAATAACCTAATTTTCTTTACTTTCAATATATCCCACACTACATGCACACTTTGGACTCGACTGCTTCAAACCTCATCATGAATAAAGTATTAGAGCGTTGTGCCTGATGTCACACTGGCTTGAAGGGAAGTGCTGGAGTGAATGCCGAAAAAGAAGACTGCAGAGTAAGAATACAAGTGAGCAATGGAGAGCAAGTTTTGTGATGACACATATATATTTTTTTTTTTCATTTTAGTCTGTCTTTTGCCTCCCACATATATGCTGTCCTCTTTTGTTCAACTGTCTGTCTCCCTGAATTTGAAATGCTAATGATCTCAGTGCTAGAAATATTCTGACTCTCATTCTTCTGTCTCTGTCTGCCACACTTTCTCTACGTGTTTTCCTGTAGTCTCTCTTGCCAATCATTGGTTCCCTCAATTCTGTCAGAATTTCTCAGGAAAGAAATATTTTCTTTGCAACTCTTAAATAGGCAAAATAATAGAAATAATAATAAAAGATAAAGAAATAATCAGCTTAATCAACTAAATGTTCCATATATAACTGCTCCATCGATTATATAAAAACAGTCAGAGGAAACAAGCAAAATGTGCATCCTTTGTTCTCTGGTCTTGTTTCACTCTCAAATGTGTTCAGCAACTGGTCCTCAAGACAGCAAACCATATCAGATTCCCAGAGTAAGCTTTTTACTTTCAGACAGTATACAATAGCCTGAAACAATGGTCTGTGTGTTGTGTTTTTGCCTCCAATAAACATCTTAGACATAACATAAAATTATATTTCATCTAATGCATTTTGTTTGTTTGCTTCTTTGTGTAGCTTGTGTAGTTTTTTTTACATGTTCTCAGGATACAATCCAGAACTATTATGTTGATGTAACAGCATTAACAATCATAAGATTAATTGCATAATATTGTAATAATTGAGTGAATAGGGACAACTGCTGATGGAACGTCATTCTGTTGCGCATGCGCATAATGCGACGTTCTTTTACAGCAACCATCGTTTACAACCACCATCTACTACATGAGAACAGCTGATTTGCTGTTGTTGTTAATACATGACAGACTAGCATAGATTAGATTAGATAAGTAAATGTCATATTTATATAGTTATGTGCCATTTTTTTTGTATAATTTATTGTAACGCAAATTAAGGAACAGATGACATGCACACGGACACCGACACAGGCATACCGGCTACCACGAAACGACACGACGAAAAACGTGAATTTGACTTGGTTACATGAGAGAGAGCAGTTACACAAACAATGGAAACATGAGGGCTGTTCATTGGCTACATAAAGATTAATGACTAACAAGAAACACCTGTGAACAATCAAGATGATCATCCAATTAGAATATTTAATACCAAAAGCAACCATTTTTCTTGTTTTTTTAAGTGTCAATTTTTGTTTACGTATTTTGTGAAATTATTAATTTATCCATTATGCCGTCCTTTTCATTGTTGGAAAGGGAGTTAACAGTTTACTTTTGGTCACCATTGCCGTTCCATCAGCAGCTGTTGCTTAAAATCCCTATTAGATATATTACAGCAATTAATACAACAATTAATATTGTTGCATTTAACTACAGTATACATTACATTACATCACATCTATATTCTTTAATCTATGTTTTTTTTTATTTTTTTTTTTTACTTTTTTACTGTAATCTTTGTTTTTATCAAGGGGGTAATCCATCGACCAGAAGTTGAAGCCTCGCGGGAGCTGACATCTTGTAGCAGAACTTCACTTGCGTTAGCATTCCCATTGACTCCCATTCATTTTGGCGTCACTTTGACAGCGAATAACTTTACATCTGAGGCATTTGAAGACCCCATTTGTCCTTTGTTTTTTTCTAAAGAAGCATGACAATGTATAAAAGGCTCCATTACTTTGTAGCTTATGTTATAACCCCGTAGAAGCAGTTTTAGTGAAAGTATGCTAACGATTGCATCATACCCACGCGACTCTCTGTCACACAGTAGAGAGATTACCGTATGGACAGGAGGAGAAGCTCGCACGCAATCGGGAAAACGTGGAGGCAAAATGACAAAATAATTAATCAGAATACCTAGCAAAAGTGTCTCCTGCTCCTCGCTCATGGACAGCTCCTATTCACACTCTTCGCCTCTGCATGTTTCGGAAGGGAATGATTCAGATTTCCCATCCCACAGCACTAGAAGACAGACGGGTTGCTCTCGTCACAACTACGTAGTCAAGCTCTGTTTGAGTCTGCGCGTCAGGGACGGAAGTGCTAAAAAATCCCCAAAAACGGGCTTCAATCGTCTCAATGGAGTTCCAATGAGATCGCTCTGTCCATTTCTTTTACTGTCTATGGTTTTTATGCCTGTTGTTGCCATGACTGTGGTTGCCATAGGTTGCAGCAGAGCAACTTCTTTCAACCCCTGAAATTTGATGAATTTCATAACCTCAGTTTGTTTTGTGCTTGAATGTTATATTAAGTTATTATACAAAGACAATTGTTCAAAAATTATGTGAGTACCATGATAATCTTTTTTTAATGATAAATACCTTCATATTAAATACAATTTAGTGAAATGAAGCTCATTTTTCTAATGGCCTCAATATTAACCCCTCCCTTTCTGTGCATTTCTTAACAGGTCCAAAATAGGCCTTGACACAAGCCTCTGCAAATAGCCTCTACAAATTCTCTGCAAAGATGTCTGCTGGCTCTCCAGTGAGCAACAAGACTTCCCGTAGTACATCTCCACAGCCAGATATAGAAGGTAATGAGGACTCAAAGCCCACTGCAGGATCTTCGTTTTCCTTACCATGTTGGGCTACCCAGGCTCTATGTGATTTGGCAAGATGTGAAGCAGACCTCAGGAGTCTGCGGGAGCAACAAGTGACTGAAGCGCAGACAGTAGTTCGGGGTGTGGAGCGTGCACTGCTTGGAGCACAAAGGGAGGAGCACCGTCTACTGGAAAGGGTAGAACAGGATCACAGGGATCTACAGCGCAGACTTGAACAGGTGCAGAGGGAGAATGGAGCAGCCATAAGGGTTGGACAAAGATTAGTAGACCAGCGATTATATAAAGTCATTAAACTTCGGGAGCTAATAAGAAAAAGTTGTGGTGGCGATGGTAGTAAAAATCGAGAGGGGGATCAGAAGCGGGACCAGCTTCTTAAGGGCGTTACAGAACTGGTCCAGCCTTGGGAAGTCTCACTTACACTCAAACGTGTATTTTTTAAACCAAGTGCCCAACCAAACGCTGTAACCTTTGGTGAGATCAGTGTGCAAGATCACAATGTTCATATTCCTATTGGAGGCTGTGGGCAGTTGGGGCAAATGTGTTCCATCCATGCCACTGAAATACACAGTGGGGCTCATGTCGGTGGAGAAGGTCAGAGTTCGCCTGATGGAACAATTCCTGGGCAGAACCAAATCCTATCTCCTGGGCTTAATCAAAGGCACTCATCAACTAGTGGCAACTTGAGGGTTGTCCGGAAGCTCCGTTTGTCAGCCCGAAGTGATGATGAATCAGGAGAAGAGGTAAAACGCAAGTTCCCACAACTGCGTCACTGGTCCCCTAAACAAGTTCCATGTGAACGTGACTCATCACAGGAGGATGAGTGTGAATCGCCTACATCTGAATGCAAAGGAGATGAGCTCTTCTTGGCTGTACCATCCCTCAGTCATGGTGATTTAGACGGTGAGGATTTTGCTTGTATACAAAATGAACCAATCACACAGTTTGGTTCACAGAGAGCAAAAAGGCAAACAGAACTCTCTCCATCCCCAGAGCCAGGTCACCAAGAACAAGGTGGCTGGTTCTTGAATCAATGTGACCATAAAAATCATGCCAGAAGGACCGGATCTTCAAGAGAAACATCAAGGTATGGCACAAACTCATCACCACAAAGCCCCAGAGAGAGAATCTCTAGTCAAGGCAGCAGCAGCCACTTCTCTCATGGCAGGTCTTGCTCCCAATTAAGTGCATCCTCAGATGACCACCCACAAAACCGTGCACCATCCCCTGCAGACAGTGTAGATTCTGGGTACACTTTCATTGTCAGCTCCCCAAGGGATTTCTCCAACTGCCTGCGTCCTACTGCTCGCCTCTCCAGATCAGCTGCTGACCTTTCCTACTGTAACAGACCCCTTAGTGAAACCAGAACACCGCAATCAAGCATATGGACTGGTTCCAAGAGTCATATGTCCTCAAGTTCCACCTTCCAAAAACAAAGTGAGGTGTCAAGGACTAAATCCTGTCCCAGTCATGGTAACTTCTCTCAAAAGAGCACCCAAGCACATGCTGCTTTCTCCAGCAGAGTGCCTCGTTCGCTTTCTATGTCTGTTATCGATAACCCGTCTCAGAAAAGGCTGAACCACCTTGCAGCAGGACGGCAGAATTCTCTAAATGAGAACAGAATGCGGGGAGAGAGAAGTGAGCCTGCCCTCATAGTGTTAGAGGAGGATGAGGAATCATTGGCACCAGAGGAGGTGCGTCTTGTCCGGCAGTTTGGTAAACAGGGCTCAGGACGTGCTGATCTCACGCTGCCCAGTGGTGTCCATGCAACACCACAAGGTCAACTGTTCATTGTGGATTGTGGGAATGCTCGTGTCCAGGTAACTGATGCCCATGGCAACATCCTACAACAAGTGACTTCGCCAAGTAACGACTTAGGAGGCTCCTCACGACGCTGCCGTAATTTCTTTGATGTGGCCGTTAATGCAAAGGGTCTGATTGCTCTGAGCTGTGCAGCTGAGAGGGCTCTCCTGATCCTTAGTCGGCATGGGCGTCTCCTCCAAACATTTGGAGGAGGACCCTACATTGCAGGAGTGCCTCGAGATGAGTTGGAAGCACCAAGGGGAGTGACAGTCACCCAAAGAGATGAATTCCTAGTTGCAGATATACGAAAGGGTACTCTTACTGCACTGAAACTTGAGCCTAAAACTGGTTCCAGATTGGAACGCACTGTGGTGACCGGTTTCCACAGGCCTTATCTGGTTGCAGCATGCCTGCACTCTGGTCTGGTCGCAGTGTCTGAGCGAGGCAGTGAAACGGGGCTGGAGCCTTGTGTGAAGATATTAGGACCAGGATGGGACACCCTACGAATCCTGGGTGTGTGTCCCAGCTTAGGGCCTGTACTCTCCTGTCCCTGGGGCCTCTGCATTGATAAGGATGGGGCTGTGTTGGTGGCAGACTGGGGAGAAAAACATAGAGTGATTCTTTATCCTTCTGAAGGGGCAGGGCGAGTGATTGTGTCTGATGGACTGAGCAGCCCTCGGGGACTGGCACTTTTACCACATGATCTCCTGGTTGTGTCAGATAGCGTGCACCACTGCATTAAAATGTATCAGTACAAATGAGGTTACCAATAAGCTCATGATTCAAAAGAAAGATGTCACTGTATGAGATGAGTATTTGGCAACATATATTTGCTGCTAGTGCAACATCATAATCCATGGTATATAGCAGGGCTTGAGAACCTACAATAAGCAATAACAGTAGATGAAAAATGTCGAAATCCCTAATTTCTACACACAAATTAACCACGCACTGTGCAGCATGACCCATTTGATAATTAAGTATTCATATTCACTTGTGATCAGTTTTTGACCAGAATAATATTTTGTGGTATATTTTTAGGGGTGAAGGTGGTGTGTGTGTGTGACTTTTGTGTGGCATTTTATTTACGAAAACTCATAGAATACAGTTGACTGACCATGGCATGTCAATGTAGATTTTCATAGAGTGTCTTGACATTAGTTTTGAATCCCTGGTTGCTTCTATTGCTTATAGATTGTAATTTCTTTCACAATACATGATTTTTTGACAATACTATGCTATTGAAACCAAAGAACCTTACCAGAAGGAGGCAGTAATGATACATGCACGTTAATGCATTTTATAATGCTTTGGAAAGGATCTTTCATGAATGAAGAATGGCATTAAAAAATGTCTTAAAGTAAATTAAACCATTCACAACATAAATGCTTATAATGAACAAGGCTTATGTTCAAATGTATACATTTTGTTTCTTTGCTTTCTAAAATATGTACATTTACATACAGTATGTGTAAATGTCTTTTACTGTTCTTAAGATATAACATTAAAAAAGCTTTTCTGTTTGACCATTTCTGTTCATCATTAATCGGCTCACACCTGGAATAGCAACAGGAATTTAACTGGTGAATGTGAAATAAGACTGAAATCTTAAAAAGTAACCAGCGCCACTGTAATGTTTTAGTTATTATCCCCCCCTCCACCAATGACCTGCATGTGTGATATTTTCCAAGTTGCTATTTTCTTACCATATGACATGTGTGCTATTTACCAAGTCTACTGAAGGCATATGACAACATGACCAAAACATTCTCATCCCAAGACGTCATCTAACTGATGCTTTTGACCATACAGTACGTTAACATCCGACATTTTAAGGAAGGCCTACCTGTTAGATGACTATCCTACGGCGTCATCTAACTGACGCTTTACCTTTAACGTCAGTTAGATGACGCGGGTAGGTTTAGGTCTGGGTTAGGGTTAGAGAGAATCATCTAACTGACGTTAAAGGGTGCCCTAAACCGTCGGATGTTGATGGTCAAAAGCATCAGTTAGATAACGTCTTGGGATGAGAACGGGCTGATATGACAACTATGAATATAGGCTAAACGTATTCTTTTGCTTGTTCACAAAGACCAGGATGGCTATACTAAATGACTAAATAAATCAAAATGACATCTGTTTACTTTTAAGGTAAACTTGGTGGGACAGTGGTGGCGCAGTGGATGAGACACAAACCTTTGGTGTGAGAGACCTGGGTTCGAAACCACTGTGAGACACCAATGTGTCCCTGAACAAGACACTTAACCCCTAGTTGCTCCAGAGGCGTGCGACCTCTGACATATATAGCAATTGTAAGTCGCTTTGGATAAAAAGCATCAGCTAAATGAATGAATAAATGTAAAATGTAAGGTCTACATAAGAGTTTATCTCCTCATTTCATACAGAATTTTTTAAAGAAATATGTTTCATGCTTTGTGATATCCTTCCTGTGGTTATTCAATAGAAATATGTTTTCCTCTCCCTTGTTTACGCTCTAAGAGGATGTGGTGTCTCCTTGTCAGGAAGCGGAACCTCGTCTTTAAATTTGTGTGAGACTGAATCTGGAACTAATTCAACTAAGGTTCTCATCACAAGTCCACACATCCCTTTTCCCTTAATGTGCAGTGAATGACCTTTAACAGTGGTTTAAGACACACTTTTATCGCATATAATCTGTTTAATTTTATCAGTGTGGGAATTGAGCTTGTAAGAATACATGGGTAGATGAACTTCCCAGATAGCAGAACCTGTTCCACTAGCTCCATTCTAGAATTGTTATAGGAAATTACATATTTTTTTTAAAGGGATAGTTCACTTTGAAATTATTTTTTGATATGTTTCAGCTTACCTCAAGGGCATCCAAGATATAGGTGTCTTTGTTTCCACAACATTTTCAATTTTGACATTTTTTGGTCAAACCGTTGTTGTCTGTCAGTCATATAATGCAGATTATATAGGAGATTTCGGAAGTTTTACCTTTCACTAAACATATTTAGAGATATCGAAATCGTCTTCCATTGCGATTTCCCGTATATCTAAATATGTTTAGTGAAAGGTAAAACTTCCGAAATCTCTGTGTAAACAATGCGTGACGTAGAACGATCTCACTTCCGGCGTAACTTTGGAGACGTTCAGTTCGGTTCAGTTGAACATCTGATTCAGATCAGTTCGACGGCTGTTAACAAGAGGTAAAAACTATATACTGTTCGTTTTCTCACACAAACTGCTCGTTTCGTGTCTTAGGCCATTTGTACTTACATTTACGAGTCATTAAATCATGTTTAATTTGGACTTTTCAGTGCATGCTCTTTTAGGAGATCCCCATAGACCTGCATTATATGACTGACAGACAAGAACGGTTTGACCAAAAAATGTCAAAATTGAAAATGCTCTGGAAACAAAGACACCTAAATCTTGGATGCCCTTGAGGTAAGCTAAAATATATCAAAAAATAATTTCAAAGTGAACAATCCCTTAAAAAATAAATATTTTAATTGTAAATTTTCCATTTTTTAATTGTATTATTATTTATTTTGTTAAGATTTTTAATAATTTTAATAAACATATTATAGTGTGCTTTATTAAGACTTACTGTAAAAATGTTTTACACCGCTATCTTGTCTGAGAGATCCCATTTAATGGTTGCAATGAATAAAGCATCTAGTAAAGAATGTTATTTATAAAGGAATGTTAGATGGCCCTTAAAACGTCTCAAATAAAAATGTGTCCTGCAGTGTCTACAGGAGAGAAAAAATCCCACCTATAAAAGAACTGAGTGCAAGTTGTCCTTCATTATAGAGGAATGCCTGAGTTTGCAGTTTGTCTAGCATCCCCAAACCACATCAGCCGGGTAAAGACTAGGTCTTGGAATTAAAAAAAGAAAAAACAAAAGAAAGAACACATAAAACTAACTTTTAAAATGGAAATGACATGGTTTAAAATGTCTCAGTAGTCTGAGATATTAAAATGTTTCAAAGAGAATTTTAAATGGATGATAATGGCATAGTGAACCTTTTGATATCACGTTTATGAGTCCTAGCTTGTTGTAAGAGTAACAGTTTTACCACAAGTCTCAGTATGCAGCTGCATATTTGAGATCCTCATGCAACCTATAATAATGTGCTTATAGATAATTATTAATATGGATCTTTTCTCTAGTTGACACACTTGAGAGGAAGAGTTTGTCACGGTGGTTTGTGTTGCGCATGTCTTAATGAAATTTACCTTTGGTCTATCCATATAATAATAATAATAATAATAATAATAATAAACCTTTCATTGCAGTGTGATTTTGCATCAGTTTTACAATAACAGTAAAAATCCTGTGGCTATTGTGTGTACATTACAGTATAAGCAGCGTCCATATTTGTGGCTGTATGACCAACAGGCAAAATGTCAAAAGAGTAGCAGTATTTTGCTTGTTGCACACAGAGTTGTTTGCTTTGAGGGGGTTTATGGAAGTAGCAAGTAAACTTTAGAGAGGCAATAAAAAATACCCCTCACACGGAGAGACGTGTCTCTGTGTGTGTGTGCGTGTGTGTGAGAGAGAGAGAGACAGACAGACAGAGGGAGAGAGAAGAAACAAGAGTTAACCATTACTGACAATGAACAAATAAGGAAAAGCTCACTGAAGAATTTGTGCATTTTCACATTTAAGCCATAGACGAAATATAGGCTACACACCAAATCAAAAAGACTGAAATCTTTTTTTCTTCTGTTAATCATGAATGTCCATGTCCTTGTCCACATTAATGTTTCTGTAAAATGTACTAAAACTTAAAAGTTATAAACTAAAAATAATTCCTTCCACAATTTTCAAAGCTCATTCATTCGTGTTTACATTTATGTACACTACAGTGCAATATACAGAAAACAACCTCTTTAAATATTTCTGTTCCCTGTAAGAAAGAAAATCATACTTTCCAAAGGCATAAAGGTGAATGAATATTTTGGGGTGAACTACTAATACAATGAAGCTCTTATGATTTCATTGATTTTGTAATAAAATCAATGAAATCGTGACAATGCAAAAATGGTAATCGCCTCCCATGCCAGAGATACCAATTCGAGTCCTGCTCAGAGGGAGGCGAGTAGGCGGGTTAATACATGAAGAGTTCAGATGCAAAAGCCTCTAAATGCCATTTGAAATTTTCTTCTTTAATGATGATTTTTATCAAACTTGTATATTTAAGTTCAATAATTTCACTTAAATAACAATTAATAGGTAATTATCATTGCCATTTAAGTGAAATCACTGAACTTAAATATACAAGTTTGATAAAAATCATCATTAAAGAAGAAAATTTCAAATGGCATTTAGAGGCTTTTGCATCTGAACTCTTCACATGCAAACCAAAAGGGTGGTCAGGTTTGCTTGTTTCTTCTCCATAGAAATTTGCACAGACACAAAATCATATACATTGTTTTAATTAGTGCATCTCAATTAATTTTAACATACAAAACACTATAAATTACCCATGGCAATGTGTTAAATTCACATCACATCTCTTCCTGTCACACCTATAAGGTTTTCATGACCATCCATTTAAATCTAGCCATCCTATGACAAACATGCACGTGTATTTGAGATCACTTATATATCCTTCCCTAACTACCTCTGTCTGCTTTTAGAACAATAACTTTTCACTTTCTTTTTCCCATCTCTCTATATAATTCAATTGGAATGCAGCTTTAAAATGTTAATTTGCCTTGCTGGTTTTACTGTTGACAAAAATGACAGTATGTGAAAATTAAAAACTCAAGGTAAATAAGCAGTGACGCATCTATTTCCTGAAACATCTTTAAAGGACACAAACATTGCTAATGACTTGATCTAGCACATAAACCCACAAAGCGACAGTGGCGCTTTGAAAAGCCCTTTTTAGCAAGTCTAAGCCTGGGTGTAAACCAGAGAAATATACTGAAAATCACAGACAATTAATATTTTATTTGTAGACACCTTCCAATTTTGACCACATTCTTTTAAACAAAATAAAATAAAGGTGGCAATTCTGAGCACAATAAGTGTGTGTATGAAGATAAAAGAGTGGACAGCTGTTCGGTCTATGCCAAGTTGTCATTCATGACGAGTTATAATATGCACAAAAATCCCTGGGGTACATATGTCAATGCAAACTTTTTGAGGAAACATCCATAAGTGTCCCTCTGAATGTAAATATATTTTCCTGTAATTGTGTGAGAGTATGAGAGAGTGCCAGCTGCTCTCCATTGTGACGGCATAAGGAGGAAAAGCTTTGGAATGTACACAGCTTGATCCTTTGAACTCGGGCTCCTCTAGGCCTTTCCTTCTTCTTTTGTGCCTTGGGGTCAATTGGTTAAAGAGAGGTGGAGGTCAGTGTGTTATAACACTTTCATCTGCCATCCTCCTCTACTCTTAACATCTCCCACACTGTGCAGTGATTACCTACACAACCCTCACCTCCTTGAAATCCTAAATGCCCAGGTTTTCCTACAACAGACAAAGCTGTCATTAGAATTCCTGACATTCCAAGTCACAATCATAAATACTGAAGCTCAAAGTACAGTGTGGTTTACTTCAATCTGGCATATCTGAAAACTGCCTGATAAAAGGCATATTTTGGAGATACTGCACACAAATATAACATCTTAATAAATTAATAAAATTCACATTAATTAGATAACTGACAAATTACAAGACACATTTATTGTTGTTGTACGTGTGAAGCTCAATGCCTCACCTCAGAGTGGAGTTTCCCGCTTGTAAAGTGCTGCACTGGTCGGCCCTTCAAACTGCAACTTGATTGCCTGTTTGAGATTCAGCTGAGGGTCAGTAGTTGTCATGTTAAACACAGACTCATTAGGTAAGGCACTATGTGGGGAAATAGCTGAAAGGTCAATGATTGGAGATATAGATGTCTTTTGACTCCCCCCCAGTCATTTTTTTGTCCATGGGATTGGATGAGAAAAGGTGGATACCCCAAAGGTGGGCTTTCCCTAATTTTTGTCTGTCTAATTGGGCCCTCTTGGTTTGGCATCACCCCTAAGGATGCCATAACAGAGTTCCACTTTAGATCAACTCCTCCAGCTTGTTTGTGGCTCTTCTCACTCACATCCTCTATGATGTAAGGAGTCTTAGGTTTGAAGAGGTAGTTACCATCCCCCATTGATCCAAGCCCTTTTAAGGGGTTTTCTGAGTCAGGCACTTCAGTGAAGGTGCACTGTTCATGTGTGGGACTGCTCTTGGGTACAGCCTTTTGATTATGCCTAGATGCTCTGCCCTGAAGACTGGCAGGATTGGAGCCAGGAAGAGGCAAGGTGGATGGCCGACTGCGGGAACGAGAAAGTGAATGTTGTTGTATCTGCTGGATGAAATTTAGGCTGTCAGCAGGCACAGTCTGTACTGTGGCATGGGAGTGGCAGGTGGAGGAGGAAGTCTGTGAGGCAGGTATAGAGTGGAAACGCTCTGCAGTTGAAGCTGGGGAACAGGAGGCAGAAACGGAGGACGAGGATGGAGAAGATGTGGCTGTAACTCCATCAACACCCACCTCTCCTGAACAAAGAGATGCACGGGTCTTGACTAGGGCTGAAAGGTAAGAGGTGTTAGGAGCACCACTGGGTGAAAATGGTATGAGACCTGAAAAGGGTTTTGCACCATAGTTTTCTAGAAGTCGCACAATCGTGAAATGACCTTGTTTTCCTGCTACCTTAACTGGGCTGCGACCATAACGATCCACATGGTCTGGTTCTGCACCTTTTTCTAAGAGCATGGCCACAATTTCAGCATGCCCCTCCTGAGCAGCAATGCTAAGCGCTGTGGCACCCTGCTGTTTGCAAGCCAGGTCTACATTGAGACCTTTAGCCCTAAGGAGCAGCCTGCCAGCAGCTGCATGACCTCTCCATGCCACAGAATGCAAAGGCGGCCGACCATCAAGATCTCTTGCATTTGGGTCAGCTCCATATTTTAGCAACAGTTCAATACCTTCCAAGTCTCCTCGCCAAGCTGCTACGTGGAGTGCAGTTCGCCCTTCTGCATCTTTTGACTCCAGGGGGACACCACCTTTTTCTATGAGTAGGGTGGCCATATCTAAATGGCCCTCCAGGACCAGCAAATAAAGAAGAGGCCTTCCTTCAGCATCACGGACATCAGTGTCAGCCCCTCTACGCATCAATAACTCCACAATCTCCCGATGTCCCTGCAGAGCAGCCGCACTGAGTGCGGAGTGTCCATCATAGGCACGATGATCAATGGGGGATTTTCGGTCTAGAAGCAGCCTGACGGTACTGCAGTGCCCTTCTTGTGCTGCTAGAATTAGAGGGCTCCGACCCTCCACATCAAGCTCACCCACACGTGCCATGCTACCTCGCTCTGTCAATATTGCACACACACTTTTGTGACCTTCACAAGCTGCAGCATGCAGTGGAGTCCAGCCCAGATCATCTTTGTGATTCTCATCCAAACCCCTGTCCAGCAGTGCTCTTACAACTTCAACGCTACCCTTTGCTGCAGCCAAGCAGAGAGCGGTGCGGCCTTCTCCATCGATGCCATCCACTGCTGCCCCCCAAAAAAGCATACGATTAACAGTGCCAGCATGTCCCATAGCTGCAGCCGCAAGAAGAGGAGTGACAGAAGAGGGATGAGCTCCAGAACTTTCATCTACATCAGCTCCAGCTTCCAGGAGGAGTTCAACCACTTCCTCGTGCCCTTCGTAAGAGGCTAGTAGCAAAGGGGTCATTCCATCTCTGTCCTTATGTTCTGGATCAGCACCTCGCTCCAAAAGAAGATTTACAACCTCTCCATGCCTTCGTCCTCCAGCTGCCGACGGCACACACAATGCAACTACAGAGAGAGCAGTACGTCCATCGCCATCTGCAAGTTTCAAATCAGCCCCAGCATCCAAAAGTATTTCCACTGCCTCTTTGTGACCCATGTAGGTTGCAGCTATTAGTGGAGTACGTCCCTCACGGTCTGAACGGTCTACTTCAGCACCATGTTTAAGGAGGGTCAACAGAATTTCCTCATGTCCACCCCATGCTGCTGCTCGTAAGGCTGTCCGGCCATCTGAATCGCACCCATCAATCTCTGCCCCAGCTTCCAGAAGTAGACGCACAGCTTCCTTGTGGCCACCCCATGCAGCAGAGCGAAGAGCAGTCCATCCCTCACTGTCCACATGCTCCAGCAGGGCCTGTACTGCAGGACTCTCGCTCCCCTGCTCCTGTACCCACTCTAGCAACACCTGTAGTACACCAGCATGGCCTTGTCTGGCAGCAAGCGTCAGTGCAGTCTGTCCCTGGTTGTCATTCACTGAAGGGTCTGCTCCACGGCATAACAGCAATGCAGAAACATCTGCAAGTCCAGCATGGGCTGCAGATGCTAGTAAAGTCCGTCCATCTGATGGGTCTGTATGGTTCACACTGACGCCACTGTCAAGAAGAGCTCTCACAGAGTCTTCCCTCTGTAATGCTCGTCGAACTATCCTGCCTCCTCCCCCAACACAGTGAACCCCCACACTGGAGCTATTGTCAGGGGAACAGCTTGCAGGGTAAATTCCACTTTTCATTAAGAGCTGAAGTACATCTTGCTGAATTACTACAGGTGTATGAGGAGGTGATGGCACATTAGAAGAACAGTCTTTTCTGGCACTACTAAGAGATGGAACTCCAGTCCATATCAACCATAGTGCCAAGAGGGATGGTTCCCCTTGATGGACTCCACTGCTGAGGAGGTGGTGGGCCAGCTGGCAAGTCTCCTCTGTACCCAGACTACTGGCTCGAAAAGAGAGGGACATGGCCAGAGAAAGTTGACCATCCTTCACACAACACAAAAACTTCTGTGTGCAGTATTTGACATCAGTTAACCATTCTGCAAAGCTGCTGTGAAAGAGGAGTTTACTGCCCTCGGGGCCATCTACAAACAGAGATGCCAGAGCACCCATCTGTGCTTGGAAGTCTCCAATCCCAAGGTAGGAGTCACGGCTTCTAGCAATAGTGTAGAGCTGATCAGCTGTTAGTGGTTGTGGGGATGCCAAAAGGATATTTAGCAAAGGCCTAATGTGGACAAACAGACTTCTAGGAAAGAGTCGCTGACAGAGCCATAGGTAAAGGCCATTTAGTGTGCCAGGAATGTCCCGAATTTCTCTAAGTCCTACTAGACCTTGTGCAACGCCATCTAGTACTCGCTCAAGAAACAAGAAACATCCACCACTTTTGATGTGCAAAAGATTAAGCATTTCAGCCGTATCTGGTGAAAGTTGTCTTCTCAAAGCTCCGTCCTGGTCAAGCCTCCGCAGGATATATTGCTGTACATCTCGTACAGTTGCAGGCTTTCTTAAGTCATCTAGACACAACTTTCTGAAACCTGCAGGGTAGAAAAGCAAGAGATAAAATCAGAGCAGTGTATACAGCAAAATAAGAGACAAAATAAGAGTTTATTCTGGATTCATCTACTTGCCTGAACATAGCTTTTCAATAAGGTGTACACTGTATAATTGGGTCTTTTTTATGTCACTGTCTTGCTACATTAGTACTTAGTGCAAACCTTGTAAAAATGACTAGCGGACAAAGGAGGAAAGCCTTTTTTTGCCCTCCAGATTGGCAATCCAGGTGGATGCTGCACATTGGTGGTGGTTGAGGAGATTACCCCCTTCTATGTAAGGCACTTTCACCATATTTTTTACATTTGTGCATTAAACAGTTTTTGCTGCTCTAAGTTACAATGCAAATTACCAACATCACTGTAGCACATAAAAGCAATTTTAAAGAGAACACAGGATTGAACACCCTTAGAGTATTTCTTACTATTGGCACCAGAGCCAAAGTCTTTTGTTTTTGTTATCTAAGCAGCAGCAGTATGAGATGTTTATCATAACTACAATTGCAGCATTTGTCAGAACAATTGCGATATGTTTTTTTTAACCAAATTGTGTAGACCAACAACAGTAGTTTCTTTCCAGTCTTGTCATCTTGTGGGTAGAGGTAAAACATGAGAGTGCTCGAGGCTTTTCAAGCCTATAGGTTCAGAACCTTGCATTCAAATTTGTTTATAAAGGCTGAGCTATGCACATACAGTAACTAGTGTATAAAAGATTGTAGTCTCACAAAGAGCTATGGGACCCTCATCTCATAACACCCGGCCATAATATACTGATACAAAAACAAACAGTCATAAGCCCTTATGTTTGGCAATACTGAATGTTTGGGTGGTCATACAAGTGTGGAGAACAACATAATTCATGTGTTACTAAAAATGTTTCTAAAGACAGGTGAACAATTCATAACAGAAAGCAGTAAAGCTAATCATCTCACATTTCAGTGCTCATGAAGTGGTTTATGAATCATCCAAGTGTGTACCTGAGAACATCTTGCATATGGCTTTGTTCTGTCGGCGTGCAGAACAGACCAGCAAGATCCAGGGAGGCAAGAGCTGTATGTATTTGAGCAGGAGCTCTGCAATAGAGGAACTCTGAGTGGCCGCAGATTCTGATATTGACCGTTCTCCAATTCCATTACCTCCACAACACCCTGAGTCCAGCGAATCCACCACAATAAACACACTGTGAGCTGGTGGTGTCAAGGACATGAGAGGCTCTAATACTGCCCTAAAGAAAAAACAAAGGAGGAGTTTAAAATATATTATACAAAAGTTAAGGAATAAGCCAGCATGACGGCACAATTGATTGTATTCAGCTAGAACACTGATAGCAAGTTACCACTACTAGTATCAAACCATCATATGACCACACAGACATATGACTTTTTTAAAACGGAATCAACATTACCTGCAATACACTGATATAAAGTCTTATTTATTTTAATAACAACTGTGAGTAGGAATAGGGCAAAAATAGTTCGGTAGAAGAATGGAGGAAGGACAAGCAAGGATATACATACAGTATTTCTTAAAACACTGAGCAAATGAAAAAAAAATCATTTTAAGAACTTGAAATAGGAAAGAGATGTCATCACATATGAATGAAAGTCAATTCAGAACTAAAACAAAGCTTATCTGACATCAAAACAAGAGAAATGTGGCATTGTTTTATATAGAATGGAATCAAGTGACAAATTATGAAAAATTTTGAAAAAAAAAAACATCCTTTACATGTCTGGGAGTTATTAAGCTCTCATTCCTCAGCCTTTCTTTCTTTTTGGCCACTTCTTCTGACTTAAGGTGTGGTTGCAGAGGCATCGTGACTCAGTGTTGTGGAAGCTCAGTGATTTCCTGATGCTTCCAGGGCATACCAGTAGACCGATTCAAGATACCAGTTAGACAAGCAGCAACTTCTCACTGTCTTACTCTTATTACTAACCCACTTCACTCACTATATGATTGCCCTTTTAAGCAAACAGTTAAACATAATATAATACTTTCATCAATCCCAGCCTAATATACACAATTTGAGCGCCCTCATACGAGCTAAAGCATCCTGATACCTAAATCAATGGCATGAGTTTGGAACAGGACTATGTTTGTGTAGTAAATTGTGACAAAGAGCTCAGGACCAACCATCTACTAAGCACTGCAAATGACTTAATCAATTTGAACTACCTACACATTTGAACTATGTGAGTGTATAAAAAATCTCAACATTTTCCAATGAGCGGTGTTATAAAAACATATTCTTATTAACAGCTTGCTTCCAAACTGGAAGCATTGCGATCTCTATAGAATAATCACAGTTCATATTTTGATAATAATGAATATCCACACTCGCTTTCTTTAATAGCAAAGCGTTTTAAACAACACACCTTATATTGTCTATCATGGTTAAACGGATCAGTATAGAAGTTCCTTTCTCATACTCCCGCCATAAATTTAATAATCACAAGCATGCTGTGTTTATCGGTTCCTTATCTCCAACACGTGGGCTCACATAATTTGTTGAGCTAATGCCCTTTTAACATGCTCACAGATCACAGCTTGAGCCGAGCAACCTAATAAATGTACTTCCTGACTCATTCTGTCCACAAAGACAAGCTATTGGCTTGTCTTGACCCCAGGAATGGTCATGCTTGTTAAAGTAGTCAAACAGAGAAGGGTTAAGAGATCAAGCTCAAAAGAACAGTTATGCGACACTTTTTTTTTTTTTTTTTACTTCAGTAGAGGACAAAATAGAAGGGTTGTGGCCAAGGTCAGACCAGAAGATTACAGGAGTTACAATGAAACTGAGAATATGCTACAGTGACCATAAATACAATTCCATTTCGCTAGACAAACCATTTAGCTATCTACTTTTTCAATACAATACTCTTAAAGACATTTTCTGTTTAATACAACTCTCTAGCTTCAAACTGACAAAAGACAAAATGATTTCCTTATGACAAAAGTTAATGTCCAGATAAAATAAACAGATTATTTATTAGACAACAAGTGATCTACACTCTGAGGACAGTGTTAAGCTTATGTACATCAGAGAGCATACTGAATACAGCAGGGACTGGCACTTGCATTTCACCTCTAAATTAACTCTTCTTGCAATCTCTTGCCAGGACCAGAAAAAAAAACATCACAGCAGTTTGTCAGCATGTGTAAGGCAAATGTGAAATGTGGGCCTGTACGTCAGATCTGTGAGGGAAAGCTGAAAGAACGAGTGTAAGAGCAAACACTGAAAAGCAAAAAAAAGAGAGAGAATAGAGAAAGCTGTCAGCATGGCGACCTCACCAACTCCAGAAACTAGTGGCACGATTCTCAGTCTTTATCCCTATTTTTCCCCTGAAGGTTGTAAATAGAGTCATCCATCTGCACTGAACGCTGGGCTATTGTGATAACTGTGAATAGGCATCATTATTGCGATGAGAGGAATAAATAAATAGCAGAAAAGCAGAACAATAGCCCCCTTTCCTGCCTTTGACAGAGTCTTTCTGAGGGGCACCAGATGAAAAATACGATTGGAGGAGGATAGTACAGGGGGTGGGAGGGTTTGGTAGGAAACAATAAAAGAAACCTTGTTCAAGCAAGATGCCACTGAGTGCATTTATAAAAAAAAAAAACATCAGCTTATTATAAATAACCAGTAAATGTAAGAAAATGTGTTCGCGCGATTTTGAAATTGTCAGGGTTTTTTTTTTCCCCTTTTCATTTCTTTTTTTCCAAAAAGCCCTCAGCATGGCTCCAAAACTGTTTACATGCAAAGCACAATGGGGTAATGTGGATGTCTACATGTCAGTTGGGTTGTGCTTCAAGATTTTATGACCTTTACTCAATAACAGAACAAATTTTGAGGCATTTACATTATCTATGCATTACTGGTTAGGATTGTACAGAAACACACTAATTAAAAAAAAGACCAAGATTAAGTGGTGCGGATTTTTTTATATTTAAGACAAGTGACTTCTGCAATGACGATTTACCTTTTACACAAAACATCTTGAATTTAAGGTTTAATCGATTGTTTTTTTTACCTTATAACTCCTTGTTGAAAGAAATACAAAATGTTCTGAAGCCTGACACTCTAAACAACATTTAGTTTTTTTCTGGTCTAGCAAAGGCCCCACTGAAGCGTCACTTTCCTTGCACAAACAATGTGAAATACAGAGGGAGTGTGTAAGGTACACCAAACGCCTAGCTGTGAAACATCTGGGATTTCTCACAGAAGTAATGCTTGGAGAGCAAACATGAAATGCTTGGAGAACTAAAGACAGAAAGAAACTAGTTCAAAGAGTTCTTGAACAGGGAGTGATTTGCTGCAGAGCAAAAGCAAGAGAAAAATTTGAGAAATTCTGCGTAAAAAAAAGAAAGTGGTTATTAGAACTGCTGAAGTAGTGAAAGTTTAGGATATAAACATTTCTATTAAAATTGTATAATTTTGTACATTATTTAAAAACATGATTTTCAAGAAGAAATGGAATAGTTACTGTGAATCAAGCAGAAAAATTATCAGTTTTATACATCATGACATATTGATATAAATTGTTGAGAAAAATTTATTTTTCTCAGGATATTGCATTAAGAGTAGTTCACTTTTAAAAACAAAAATTGCTGACAATTACTCACCCCCATGTCATCCAAGATATCCATGTCATTCTTTCTTCAGTCGAAAAGAAATTAAGAAATTAATGATCGCTCATTTAAAAAAAAAAAATTGCTCTGTTCTATGATGCGCGTTCGTGACTCTCCTATTTGAACTCGTTCATCAAAATGAACAAATCTTTTTTCGTGTCATTTGGTTCATTCAACGAACGAAATGAATGAGTTGACTCTGGAAAATATTCGTTCATTTTGATGAACGAGTTTGAACAGGAGAGTCACGAACGCGCATCACAGAACAGAGAAAGGCGACCATTTGTGCTTAAAAAACTTTGTTTTTTTTTTTAATGAGCGATCGTTTCGCTTGATAAGACCCTTATTCATCGTCTGGAATCGTTTAAAGCCCTTTGAACAGTGTGCAATGAAACTGTCTTTTGGACCTTGAACTGTTTGGTTACCAGTAAAGTGCATTATGGAGAAAAATCCTGGAATGTTTTCATCAAAACTTAATTTATTTTCGACTGTAGAAAGACATGGGGGTGAGTAAATTATTAGCAAAAGTTTTTTTAAAAGTGAACTACTCCTTTAATAATTTAAGTTCTTCTAACAATTTCCGTAACTATTAATTATTTAAATTGTGCCGTCATTCACACAATTTCCTAAAATACATTTCAGAAGAAACATCTCTTGTTGTATCCACCTCTTTAAAAAAAAACTCTGTGACATTGCAATGTATAAATTGAGATAGATCTACACCAACCTTTTAAAAGTGTCATCAGGTGCTCTTTGGCAGTGAACGGGCTCCAGGACAGCAGCAATAGCAGCACTGCTAATCACTTTCATATAGTTTGGTCCCAGTAGAGGACTTTCCTTCAGCTGTTCAACCAGCCCCAGTACAAATCTCCACACTTCAATACTGCTCGCATCCTCTCGCTGGCAATAGTGCCAGGCCAAACACCGTGATGCAAACCCTGCCGCCCTGCATGCTTCCGACTGGGGCCAAACCAGTTCTGTGCAGAGAGCCGTCTTACCCGTGCCCGGGCCCCCAGTCACTAGGACCCCTGGAGAGACATGGGTCGCTCCCTCCACAGCCTTGTCGGCATCTCGCGTCTCCAGCCATCTTTGTAGCTTCTCGAGAGCCCATTCACGGCAGTAGAACCGCCGGCCCCGTAACAAGCTGGGTAACATGGTCCTCATCTGGCCCTCAGGAGATAAACAGGGACGGACCATGAGGATGTACCTTCTTCCATATTCCCTTACAGAACAAGCGAAGCAGGTGCTCTTAGAATCGCTTTAAACCTTCAAAGTTTTCACTGCAGTTAACACAGAAGGAGCCGAGGGTTGCGCCGCGCTATATGCAAATTGAAATGTTTCCGGATAGGAGTCAGAGAGAGTGTCCTCAGATAACTGTTGGCTCCAGGTGTGTTTGTATTTTGCAATCCCGTAGGTCCAAGTCATGCTGCTACTCGGAAGCCCTGTAAGACAAAACAAACATAAAGCTGGAGGAGAAGGGTGTAATTCTGTCAATGTTTAAATACTTTCTCCTAACCCAAATTAATATATGGAAACAAGTCATAATAATAATAATAATACTTTATGTACATCACCTTTTATACAAGTGCTGAACAAGTCAGCATATAAAAACATATAGGAAAAAAATAAAACAATACAAATTTTGTATAATGACTTAAACTTAAATGGTCTAATTGTTGCATTGGTCATATACACAGACTGTGGCATTCCCAACTAATGATTGTTGAGCCAACGTTGCTGTGAATGTTTTCATAACACCACAGTGTTTAAACTTTTTAGGGAAATTCATTTGTGATTGGGTCACTTTATGAATGACTTCTGGCATACTGTAATGTAAATCCCATGCAATCCTGGCAGAGGCGTGGGAAGTAGGGTTACTGCAGCTGTTCAGAATTTATAATAAACACTTTAAGTGGGCTATTAAAAAGTGTTGTTTATACGTTGAATAACGTTTTTTAAAAACATACACACTCATACACTGTTTGAGTGGGACGTCCTATTGTGACCGTTGCAGTGTTAGTCTGCTCTACTCCTTTTTTGTGCTCATTTTCTTATTACCCGTCATTGTGCAGGAGCTTTTATTGCATATGACGGTAAAAACAGCTCAATAAACCTTTTATTTAAAAGCCTAAATTATGTCCCGTTGCATTACTATTGCAAGCAGTATCACTGATTTAAAAAATGTGATGTGCAGTCAAATGTCCCATATTGTATTCTGTTTTAAACGAGTATTCTCACTGATTCACTTGATGTGCTTCATGTCTAATGTGTTTTATAGACTCAATATTGTTTCTCATTCAAATGAGCCGACCCCCCCCCCCCACCCCACCCCACCCAAAAAAAACAACAAAAAAAAACACAGCACCCCTAACTAAAAACATCTTCATAAGCCCCCGAATTCAGGTGGTGCTGTTTTACCTATTATGCTCAAAAAACATGGATCCTTTTGCTGATTCAAACCAGTCATTATTTTAGCAAATCCGTTTTGGTGATGAAAGGAAATTACACCCTTCACCTTTAAATGAAAGCTTGGCATTTAACTCACCCATGACAAGTGAGAAGGAAAGGTTGAGAGAGAAACAGAAATAGAAAGAGGGTTAGAACATATCTGTCAAACTCCCATGAAAGTGAGAGCTTGGATATTCAAGCAAGTAAAGTTGCCGACTCAACCCTCAACTTAAATTGTCCTAAGCAATAAAGAAATAAAATTAAAGATAGAATGAAAGAAAGACAGTGAAAGAGAAACACAACACAAAATCTCACCTTTCATAAACACTAGTCATGTTTATCCTTTATGTTTTTTCCGTGGTAATCTTCACTCCTCTCAAATGTTTTCTCTCTCTCTTCACGTCTTTCTGTTGCTCCAATCTTCCTCCTCGCAGGTCTTATGGTTCTGCTGGCCAGACTGAAATCTGCTCCTCCTTTCGCATTTTCTCCCCGGCTCCCAGCTGCTTACCGGTTTTTCTGGTCCTTTATCTCCTCCCCTCTTGCTTCTCAACATGTCAGGGCATGAAGTGAAATAGCTGACAGAGAGAGAGAGAGAGAGAGAGAGAGAGAGGAGGAGTTAGGGTTTGGGGTCAAAGTTTAAACACAGATGCATGATGTCATATAGTGTCTCTCTTCCTTTGTTCATGCACATTCTCTTAAGAGAGTGAGAACTCATGGGCAGGATCCAGATAGTTGCTCTAAATACACTTCACATGTCTGCAATTTATTAGAAGCCATAAAACAAAACAGAAGTGCATTCCCTCAACAGCCAGCAACCTCATTACAACAAATACAGTGCTGACAGTGTATTTACACAGTGTCTAAATCAACAACTAACTGAACAACAACATGAGGTACGGGAGGGGAAGTGGAGTGGATAAAGATATAGGCTGTCTGCCCAGAGGTCGCAGGATCGAATTGTTACAGATGATCCATGAATCCTCTAACCATTGCGCCCTCAAGGGAAGCGCCCAACCCAAGACTGCTCCAGAGGGGCTCTCCCTGTAATTACTGTACTGTGGGTTACTTTGAATATAGGAGTCAGATGAATAACAAGTAATATATGCGTTTACAAAAAATATATAAAATATCAGCATGTGCATGTACCACAGGCGTCAAAATACAAAAAATTGATTGGTCCTGAATGGGCTATATGCATGCATAAGTTTCGCATTTGACGTAAGGATGCTCGTCCATTTCCGGTTGTGTAGATTAAAGCGGAGGAAAACCGGAGAAAACGGGATTATGGCAGAGTCTTCAATATTTACTGTCCTCCCGTCTTTGAAACGAAACGTACATACGTTTAGATGTTATTTTATATATAGTTATGTTTATTTAATATAATTTTAAAAAGAAGCATAAACACAACGAGGGGTGTCTGTTTTATCTGTTTTTGTGACTAACGTTTCATTAGTATAACCATGGAGTATAAAATTCAATATAAATTCTCGGTATTGCATTGGACTCTATGATCGGCGGAAGTTATCGAGCATCCTTAATCCTTCACCGGAAATAACGCCGTGCATAGAGCCCATTTATCTGCTGCTTTATAGACTTCTACATATACTACTATATGTTTACTTCCATTTTACTGCTGTTGACGGTTCATTTTCACAAAAAAAAAAAAACATATTTTACTCATAGATCACATCACAAATGTACCACCTTACACAAAGTATTTAAAGTAGGTATGAAATGGAAGTTGCTATAGTCCTTTCTTTCATATTTTGACATGTATCCAAGTGAAACGGCTTCTTGCAAAAGAAAAAAAAATGTAGTGCGGAACTTGATTTGGTCCATTGGGAATTGATTGGATGGTTGTGGTTTGCTATTGCTGTGATCACATGTGAGTGACAGGTTGTGACCTTTTGCCGAGAACAAAAGTAAACTAATCATTCAGTAAACTATTATAGAAAGTTTATTAATACACATTTGAGTGATTCTGGGAGTGTAAAATTGATGAAAAATAAAAAGTAGATTTGGATGTATACTTTGGGATGGCTGTCCTAGAGGAAAGTCCATTGATCACCAAGCTTCAGTTTCAGCACCAAAGTTATCACCATATTTGCCAAAATGGCTTGATATACTTCAAATCGTTAATGTTGTCCTTTATAAATTCAAGATTTCCACTTCCTCCATGTTTGACCATGTAGATGGTGTTCTTCTGCTCATAAACTTTGCTGTTTTTGCACCAGGCATACCGCAGATCATATCACTCCATAAAACATTCTTCCAAAATGCAGGTCTATCCAAATGACTTTTAGCATATTCAAGTCAGCCTTTTATGTTCTTCTTGGTCAATAGTGGCATTAGGCAAAATGAAGGTCATGCTTGTCTAGTGTTCTTCTTATACTCTGCATTGAAATGTTTTTCCCCCTTTCTTCCGGTCTTTGGCAGTAAATTGATGGGGTTTTTTTTTTTCTTTTCAGTAGCTTTGATCAAACATTTTATTCCCAAATTATATTGTGTTTTTCTTAAAAACTCTCAAAGGTTTTCTGGTACAACACATTTTTTACTAATGAATAAGGCTGCCAGCTGTGTTTCTAGGAACTTTTAGTGTTTTGGAGATCTTCTTGTAGCCAGAGACTTATTAATGTAATAAAACAATTTGTTCTCTCTATAGCTTTTGTGAGACTTGGCAATATTTGCAACTCAACTATAGCACATGCATGTATGTGTAGCTAATTAAGTTTTGTTAGTGACTTGGCAATTAAAAAAATTTGAAAAAAGTAGATTAAAATGTGCTTCTATTATAAAACAAAGTTACAGTATGTATTTTGAAAACCATTATCAGAATAATCAAACTTTCACCATCAAATATGGAAAAACCAGTGCTAGGTAGTAACTGATTACATAATCTGGATAATCAGATTACATAAAAAATAATTTGGCTATTTGTAATTAGATAGGCTATATTAACTTAAAATACTAAAATACTCATAACTAAAGTTACATTTTTATTGATTAAATGATTATTCTCACATTGGCAGTACATTATTTATAATAGATTGATTCTCCTTACTATAGCCTACCTACTATTTAAATTTCCTTTCTAATAAAGAAAAAAAATATTCTGGGAAACCCTGTCACATATTTACTTTCTCTTTTGTATTTTTGGTACACGAGTATCCAAATCAATGTGATTTAGTTAATCAACGAGTTAGATCTAAAACGTATCAAAAAGTAGTCATATTACCTTAAGTAACGGATTACGATAATGACTACAATTTGTGTAATGTAATTGAGAATCAGGTAAACGACTACAATTTGGAAGCAATCTACCCAACAATGGGAATAACATTTAGACTTTCATCACACTGTAAGCTATAATAAAATAGCTAATTATAAATTTTATCAAAATGTCACGTTCAGCCCGTTTGGATCTGAAAACACTGAATCTTGATCAAGTTGAAACTATCACCTTTCAGTTCCTATTTAACAATTAAGCTACACCATGTCCAACTAAGTTCTGTAAAATAAATTATCCAGGAAGTCAACTCAAGAACACAGTGGATAGAAATAAAAAGATTTACCCTTGCCTCAACGCTTTCTTCCAGCGTTCTGAATCATCACCTACCGTTTAACTGACTGGAACCGGAGACTCGGCAGGTTACAGGTCCCGCATCTTCATCATCCCGACGCCCACCTGACGCTCACCATGCTACACTGACAGCACAAACCCAAAGCATCTAAATCCTTCAAGATACAACGGTAAAATCTCGTTTTTCGTCAGCATGGCAACAGATCCACGCTTATCCACAGTGTCGCTCCGCGCACCCAGTCTCCGACGCGTTGGTTTTTGTACAGTGTTTGGTTACATGAAGCGTGATGTGTTGTGCGCCATGTCCGTCGATAATTCCTGTAGGTTTGCAGTTTGCACAAATGTAAATCACTTAATGTGTATGCAAAAATAGAGCACATCGCCCACCATGGAAGTCTGTCAGCTCCAAGTTTTCATGCATCTTGGTTGGTTTATTCCGATGCGAACATAGTAGCCCACGAGGGGGCGCGTATGTCAAGTAGTTTGAGATGGCAGTTTAATTCGGCTGTAATTAAAAATGGTACACCTTTAAGAAATATTTCTAATATAAATAAGCAAATGGAAACAAATATAGACAACTATAAAATATATGTGACTGTGTGTCAGTGTGTATCACTTTCACAGTAGTTTCAGACATCAATTGATGTGCCATGAAAATGGCATAATGCAAAAAAGATCCTAATAATTACTCACAATAGGCTTTTTTTTAGATTTTGGGGTGAAATAAAACCCAAAATGTTTGTCTTTGCTCATCAAAATGTTCTTGAAATATTAGGTTATTTTGCTATAGCTTACATGCTTGCCTGCTCAGAGCATTTATGAACTGCTTGAGTTTTTTACCTTTATGTCACAATCCTTTATAATATTCAAGATTCAAAAATAACCTTTTTTTTCTTTTTCTGGGATGAACTGGAAATCCTCAGGTGTGATTTTTGCATTGGCAAAGCAGGACCAGGAATTCTGAGAATAATGCTTGGAGTAAATTAACAGTCAGCTTCCTGCAGTAACACATCTGCACCAATGCTTAAAGTTTTCTTTCTCGTTCATTTCACCATTGGCAGACTGTCAAGAATTTACAGTTTTCAGTCATTACAATGATCATTCACAGTGATTAGACTAATTGTTATATTTTCTTGATCAGATTCCATTTTAATTAATTGACTAAAAGGAATCATTAGGGTTATACAGAAAGAGAATAAAAGGGTTATACACACAGAGAAACATAGATTGAAATTGATCTGAGATGTTGAAATGATTGCATCTGGGTCTGAATAAAGCATTCAGCTGTTTTTCCTCTCACATGAATCAATTTTCCCTCCCACACACGCCTATAACTTTGCATTTTCATTTGTTGCTTGGAGCTCTGCTCAATACAGCAAGAACATATTTCTTAAGAGAACAGAACAGAGATGGTTCAGCAGCACACAAAGGATCAAATCGGTGACTGTTCTAACACAAGGCTATGTAAACATTGAGCAGACAAAGTCCAGACATGCCATATATCAGTTTCTAGATGATGTGATTGAATGCTGAGCCAAGCACACAGCTGGAAGGGATGATATTGTTGCATAATTTAACTGACAGGGTTTTTGTTGTGTTATAGGGCTGTCAAGCAATTACATTTTTTTAAATATATCTATGTGCCGATTAATTAATCTTATTGATTGCAATTTAATCACACATTAAATCCGGCTGAGAAATTAAAAGGTCAGATCAGATAGATTATCTTTGATCGAAAGATCTAATGAATAAGAAAGTCATATTGTGTTAAATCAGAAAAACATCAAATAGACTTTACAAAAAAGTGGCTTTATTTGATTTAACATATAATTTTTCTGAAATAAAACTTTAGGCTGCTACAGCCATGTTTTTTTTTTTTGAATTGGTATTTAGATATACAGCTGTAAACAGAATTATGGGCACCCCTGGTAAAAATATATCTGTTTATCCTTTTGATATCCTTTCATTTTTTCTTAACTCTAACCTTTCAGTGAAGTAAAAGTGGGGGAAAATCAAATTATGAAATAAATGTTTTTCTCCAAAACACGTTGGCCACAATTATGGGCACCTCTAGAATTTTTTATGAGTAAAATATCTCTGAAGTATATTTATCACAACAGGGTGACTAATCCCCATTTCCACCATCAGGACACAAATTAAGAAGTTCCAATTCCGCTAAAAAAGCCGCTATTCCTCTTTGTCGCCATCTCTGTTTGAAATCTGCAATTGCAGTCGTTCGAGGAATTATCAACTTTAAGTGGGTTGTACTTCGACAAGGCACGAATGAATCCAATGTTTTGAGGAGAGTGTGCAGCTGTCAATCACTGAGCCGGTGTCAAGACTGGCATTCAGAATCACAGATTCTTTTTGGAAATATGACCAAGATGGGTTTGCACACAGGGATAAAAATTATCCCATGTGTACAATTTAATATACCATTGGATCTTTAATGTAACTTGTGGGCATATTTTCTGCTGGAGGTCCTGGATTTCTTGTTCAAAAATTACATTGTCGATTCAACCAAATATCAACAGATAAAAAATCAAAACCTTCCATCAGGATAACGATCCAAAACAAACATCAAAATCAACACAAAAATTGTGTTGCCATGACCGTCCTAGTTCCCTGACCTGATGAGTGGGCTGAACTGCAGAAAAAAAGCACCAACATGGATCTAGGAATCAGAAGAATCTGGAGAGATTCTGTATGGAGGAATACTCTCTGATATCTTGTCAGGTGTTCTCCAAACTCATCAGGCATTATAGGAGAAGACTGTTATCTTATAGCAATGGGAGATTGCAAAAAGTTATCAATAAAAGGGTGCAAATAATTGTGACCAACGTGTTTTGGAGAAAACAAACAACAACAACAACAACAAAAAAAAACATTTATTTCATAATGTGATTTCCCCCTCACTTTCAATTATTTTACCTCTATGAAAGGTTAGATTTTTGACAATTTTTTTGAATAAAAGGTCAAAGGGTTAAACAATGCAGATTTATTTTTTAGGCTACCGCCAGTTTTGATCATGTTTACCAGGGGTACCATTAATTCTGATCACGACTATACATTACTTGCCTTTTGCTTTTTGGACTGAAAAACTCACTGCACAAAATGTGTCAAGATGAAAATACAAGATGCTAATATGTTTGATTCAAACTGACTTAATCTTTGCAACAAGCTATCAGAAATTCTTTCCTTGCTGTTTACACATGTAATAGTGCCTTGACAGCAATAGGCTATTTTAGGGGATGTTGCATATGGTACCTGCTCTTTTGAGGGTATTCATTTGCATTTATTCATTATACACTGCTCAAAGGGAACACTAAAATAACACATCATAGATCTGAATGAATGAAATAATCTTATTAAATACTTTTTTTTTGTTTTTACTTTTTAAAGCAGAACTAAGTAACTTTTTTTACCTTAACTGAACAGCTTTGGAGTCATTGTAATGTTAATATTACTGATTTCGTGTTGAATGGTGATCGTCTCGCACCCCCCTGGTGCCTGTGAGCCGCAAAACCACCCTTGCAACTTTGGGCCGGCGGCTCGCCGGCCTCAGTGTTAGGAAGTATCGTAAGATTTCAGGTCTCGCGAGGTAACGAATTGCTTTACGGCACTATACGCGCACACGCATGCGTACACGCCCCCGGCCATCCAGGAGCCGGCTAGCTATAAGAAAAAGGTAACGCTAGATATTGAATTCTTCAAGTTTTCGTGATGGCTGATGTAAAAGAAGAAGAAGACAGCTCGGAAGTGTTTATCAGAGGAACAAAGAAAGAAAACGGACCGGCTTTTTCAGAATAGAGAGAACTGAAAGAAAGCGAAGCCTGCAAAACCGATGCTGACCTGGCCTTCTTGCTGTTGCACTTGTAAGTATCTTTATAATAAACTGTGTTTAATGTTTGTATTTCTTGTAATTGTGACCTCGGGAGTCGGGATGTTTGCTATTGTCTGTTTTTTTTTTTATTATATTATGCTCGCTGTCTGTTACCGGCTTACTAGTACGTTAGATACTGTAACTTAGATGTTAGCATTTTCATTAGCAAACAAACTTGCTTGTTTTCTGTAAGTAAGTGTTTTGTCCGTTCCTCTATCAGGGTTTATTTGTGTTTCTCAGATCGCCTATAAATCGATATGAAATTCTACAAATTATGCATTAGTTTAGCTTGTCGTCAGCCTCAGAATTAGTAACGTTATACTGTGCTGCTGACTTGATAATGCATAAACCGACACGAGAGCTGCTAGCTATGCAACTTTTTTATATTTATTTACCCACATTTACACAAACAGAACTATAAGTAAACGATAAATTGCATTGCAACTTCACACATGCAACTCCATCTGTGCTATTTTGACCTTGTCTATAAATGATATGTTGATAAAAGATTGATACATTTTCTTTTTCCTTTTTAGCTACAAGCGTTGGCAAGTGTTATCAACTCCGAGGCACCCCAGACCACCAGTACCACCGGTCTCAAGCTTCAATAATAAAATAAACAAACTTGTAATAAACAAATTAAACGTGTTTGACTTTCTTTGGTCAATCGTTACGATAGACAACTCGGATCACCAGAAAAATGATGAATGTAACGTAACATGTATTTTGATAATGCATAATCAAAGTAGCTATAGCTGTAGGCTAAACTAAAAATAAATAAATAGCGGAAATATTTCTTATAGTATTATTGATTTTTAACCATAATGTTACTGATAACGTTTGGTAACACAATAAAAATATACACTATCTCAACATTTGAATAATATTGTTCTGAGAATCATACCGCAGTGGACATGGCTCGGGCGTCAGTTTGGTTTGAAATGTGCTGGGGACAGAGACGCATTCGGAAGGGCATTTTCAAAAGTGCTGGGTAACGCATTCATTCTTTTTTTCTCTTTCGAGTAGGCAATGTTTTGAACGACGATGTCCATAGCTTCCTGATGCACATAAATAAAAATGAGCACAATACAGTGATGGTCCGGCCAGAGGTTCCGCACTCGAATAGTTTTTATTTCCCCCTCATCAAAACCAATAATGTTTATCAGTGGTTGAATTGATATAATGTTTATCAGTGGTTTTATATGTTTTGATGAGTGGGGGAAAATATACGAGAGAGGAATTAGAAACCATGAGAAAAAGGGACACGTTTGTGTGCATTTTTATTTGTGATTTCACCGGAAAGAATCTCCGCAACGGATTGAAGCGCGTTTCTGAGAGAAGCCAACACATTTCAGTGCTAGATCGCCTGTTATTTAACAAACAAATGAAACGAATGCTGTTAACTGGAGATGTTTTATTTGCATTGGTACATCTGTGCCGCGAGATGTTTCAAAAGTGGTGGGGACAAAATCCGTTTGTTCGCCGGCTTCTCTGAAAACAAATTCACATGGCCTGCCTGAACGAGATGGGAGGGGGAGTTGACAACGAGTTTACGACAGTTTTCTCATATATATATACTCCGAAACTGTAGGGGGAGCTCGAGAGAGAAACCTGCGAGAAAACAGCAAAGAAGTTTCCAGTCTTACTGAGCGCTGCTTTAAGTGTTGTTTAAGTGTTCCCTTTATTTTTTTTGAGCAGTATATGAAGAGTTCAGATGCAAAAGCCTCTAAATGCCATTTGAAATTTTCTTCTTTAATGATGATTTTTATCAAACTTGTATATTTAAGTTCAGTTATTTCACTTAAATAACAATTAATAGGTAATTATCATTGCCATTTAAGTGAAATTACTTAACTTAAATATACAAGTTTGATAAAAATCATCATTAAAGAAGAAAATTTCAAATGGCATTTAGAGGCTTTTGCATCTGAACTCTTCATATATTATACATATTGTATGCAGAAAGTTGGCTAGGATGCTGAACCTGTCTTTGTCCAGCAGGGGGAAGCAATGGTCTTTATTATTTTTCCCAGCAATTCGTCGTTTGCTTGAAACATAGTTTCCTTGAACACAACTTTTACTGTTTTAACAACTTTTATTGGTTCTTTGGTGGGCATTGCAACTACCCAAAAGATTGCCAAAACTGCTTATTAATGTGCTTGTGTTACCAATAGGGGGAGTGGGAAAAAGATGTGTAGCATAATATGTACGTATAGGCCTACAGTATAGTTTGTTCCTGCTTCTTTTTTTACGTTCTGAATTATATATGTATAAGAAATAATTTTATTTATAAATGAATTTCACTGTATATAGTCTAGTATGAAAGAAATGTATGTACATTTTTAGAAAAACTAATTTCTACATTAAACACAATATGCCATTGCATTTGCGACTCTCATGTGCCACTGATCATATAATGATTTATATTCTATATAATATAAACAAACAGTATTTAGATCGTTTTTACCTCTTGTAACCACAGCCACAAAGCACCCGCTCCCACAGATCACTTGGACGTAGTTACAAATGTAAAAACTATATAAAAACTGTTCGTTTTCTCACACAAACCACTCGTGGAGGAGATATCAGGAGATAAGAGCACTGATGATCATATTGAGAGAGAGCAGTGCAGCCGTGTACACTTGGATGCTATTACATCTGACGACGCTGGCAGTGTACAGTATATGCTTTCAGAGGTAGATTTCCTATTATCATTTTGTCTAGACAGGGACAATGAATTTCTTGTCTCTTTTTCAGGTTACATCATTACACCAGTAGATGGCAGCCAGTGACACTCTCAGGAAAAAAAGGTACAAAATCTGTCACTGAGGCTGTACTTTTCAAAAGGTGACAGCTTTTGTACCTTTTTTCTGAGAGTGTAGTCAAGAATCATTAATTCAAACGATTCAGACCCATTAAAACGCAGACCCTCATTTGGCATACTATTCGCCATAAATAGCAGGCCTATTCAAGACCTAATCAGGCTATTATTTGTGGATAGGATTTGAATCTGAGTGGATATGATTTGAATTGGGAGGCAAGAATCGAATCCTATCAGGATTTAAGCCTTTATGAGTGAGTCATTGAGTCACTCATTCAACTGATTCCTTGAAAAACGCGAATTGTTCCTCAGATGTGCGTTGTTCACATTTTTAAAAAAAATATTTATTACTTTTTTCATATAGGCAGAACAAAAACAGAAAATGTAACTCACCATAATGGGTCTAAAATGTAAGTTACACAATAATAATCTATTGTTTATGAAATGTTTTTTAAATAAGTTAAATCAATTGCAAAATCCCAATTGTAGTCCTCGTCCATCGAAAAAGCTCTCTTGCTATTGTGCTATTTTTTAAAAAATGTATATGTACTCATGCAACTGCAAGCCCGTATTTTAACAAATGCAATTTTACACACCCACACAATAATAATAATAATCTTTGTTTTTCTTCCCTAGGGCACCACTTCCTCAGCATAACTGGTGATAAGTTTCATTCAGACACAATTGAGAGTGCTTTTAAAGAGCTACACAGTGAGGTGGATGCAGTCTTCTCTTATGAAGGTCATCTCTACATGATCAAGGTTCTTTTGTGCTGCAGTTTTTATCAGGCTTTATTACAGGTGTATTTCAATCTATTGTAAAAATGTTTTCTCATATATTCTATTCCATGCACAAGACAAACAAGTGTTTGTGCACAAAGTTGGAGAGCCACACACACACCTAGAGGGTTACCCCAAATCCCTGAAGGAGGTGCTGGGAATTGAGGGTCCTGTACATGCTGCCTTTACTGTATGTGCGCAGACAAACACGTTGCTCATGTCATCAAAGGTATAATCACTGGAATGCTTGTTCTGCCACATTCAAAGTAGGCCTACTGTAGATCTACAAGCTTTTGTCATAGTGACAGAAAACTCACTGTATTTTCTACTATAGGTCAAACAATCTATGATGTTGACTTGAAAGTCACCCCATGTAAGCCTATGAAGGAAGGAAGCATAACACAATTTAAAAGGATTGATGCTGCAATGTGCGGACCCAAGGGTTTGACGGTTGTTATCGGTAACCATTACTACATTTATGATAGTCATTGTATTGCGGGTTTGGTTTTATTTGTTGGAAAAATATAGAAATATAATTTGACACAAGAGGGCAGTATAGCCCTATTTATGGTTTTGAATTTACTAAACCGTGACATCTACACTTTTTCCAAAGTGGACCAAACAATAACGGATTTGAACTCAAGTCTTCTTGATTAAAGCCCAATGCTTTATCAACTGAGCCAAAGCTGAGTCTGTTAAGTTCAAGGGTGTATATTGCGGGTTTGGTTTTATTTGTTGGAAAAATATAGAAATAGCCTATAATTTGACACAAGAGGACAGTATAGCCCTATTTATGGTTTTGAATTTAAACTAAACCGTGACATCTACACGTTTTCCAAAGTGGACCAACGTGATTATTTAACGTCGTGATACCGGGTTGGGCACTGAAGTTACAGGAGTTTCTTCCCGTTGCTAAGCAACGGAACTAGGTCGAGTATTTAAAAGGTTATGGTTAACACGGTTGACGTGGTTTAACGTTTGCGGAGGGTATGCTATGAGGAGCTGGGGGGACGCCGGAAAAATAGACATTTTACTCATAGGCTGGATCATTAAAAACGTGACATTTAGACGTTTTCTTCGGCGTGGATCCAGGCAAATTAATCCTTTTCACCTTGAAAATAATATATATATATATATATATATATATATATATATATATATTTTTTTTTTTTTGCATTTTAAAAAATAGAACATTTCTCAGTGATCGCAAATAAAACAAAATTCAATTTTTCTCGGTTTGAGGCGATTGCGTGTAGAATAGGTCAACATCCGGATATCTAACAACGCCTGAATTTGCATATTTATTTTCCACCAGTCGTGAATTCCCGCGTTGGTCAGGAGATGCACGCTGCCGAATCAATCATCCATCCATTCCAAACCGGTCCAGCGAAACATCATACGTACAGGTCTAAATTACTTTTTAATTCATTGTTTAATTAATGTCTAGTTTCCATAGCTGAGTTTTAAATGACTATTAAACAGCAAATATATGCACAAGCGAACGTTATAGCCTTCCGGCGCACTGCAGTGTCCGAATTCGCTTAACTTGACGTTACTTCATCCACTCCTTCGAGTGCAACTAAGTTAATGTAGGGAATAGTGAATGTGGGATAGGGGGCGATTTCGAACACAGCACAGCAAGTCTCCTCAGTCATGATGAAGCATGTGCTTTAAATTCAACATGGCTTCCAACCTGACAATGGTCTTATGCAGCCTTCAGACAGTGTGAATAATAACGTAATAGATAACGTTAGGTAGACAATGTTTAGCTCTAATAATGCACTTAACACAAACCGAGATTAGCCCGGTTGATGTTATCACTATAATATGGATCTTCCACCACCATTTATTTATTATTTTTAGCTTTTTCATTCCATTTCCCGCCTGTTGATAAGACAATTAACCCGTTCGCGAATTGGAGACACTTTTCTCGTTAAAGAGTTGTATTTTTGTTGAACGCACAACAAAATCCCAGCAAACACAAAAAAACGTTTCAAAAATGTTTTATTCACGTCGTCGTGAAAAGGTTGTGATAACGTTTTTATCCGACGTCTTTAATACGACAGATGTCGGGGTTTTTTTTCAAAGTCGTAAAAAAGTTGTTTTTTAACGTTGTTAATGCAACGTTCTTAAAACGTAAATATCACGTCTTACATTCTGGACGTCGTCAGTTGGTTATAACACATTTACCCGAAATCACCAACACGAAGTTTCCAGGTTTTGCTTTGAATGTAAATTAACGTTACATTGAAGTGTTCCTCACACTGCATGTTCTACATCGGTCTTTTGTGATTCCATTGTGAAGCATAGTCGACCCGTTAAAACATTAAACCGTCACTGGAAATAAATCCAAGTGGTCCTCGATGCAGAGCCAAATGGGAGGAGCTGGAGCTCTAGCTCCTCCCCTCGCTGGAGCTCCAGCTTCACCGCGCACGCGCAGGTTAACTTAACTTCCGAGCACTCGGCATGATTTCAAAAGCAACATATTTCAGCGCCAGCTTAATTTTTATTGAACACAAATAAAAAAAAAAATACTCTGTTAGTTAGCAAGAGTTGGCTCTGCATCGAGCACCATCTCATTTTATGTGGCGTGAGAGTCACACACCACCCGAAATCCGATCGTTCAGACTGAGACATATGTCCCGGTATTTGAATAGGATTTTAAACCACATATGGATGTAGCTTGCCTTGAAACGGATTTCATGTGCTTTTCTGGGCTGACAATCTGAACGTATGTCGGGATAAGAAATAGAAGGAAGAATTGCAGTATGGGCTAGCTCTCTTAATTTTTTTTATTTTTGTAGTTCTTTAAAGCACTTAGTCAGTGGCAGTTATAAAATGTGCTGTATAAATAAAATCAACTTGAACTTGAATCTTATCTACCAGTGGGAGTACTATGTAAAACAAATATGTTGAGTTCTGTGAAGAGAAATGTTATGTGTTATATGAAGTGTGTACTTCAATGTACTTCTTATTATAGGCTACCATTAAAATGTGAAGCGGATGCATAATCTCAGCACATTTGCTATCTTGTTTTTCCTCTAGACTAGTGTGGGAAGTCACACAGCTGGTTTTAGAGTACTGGACTGCTTGTTTCCATTTCATTAAAATAGCTTAACCCGTTTAATCCCACCGGTCACAATTGTGACCGCAGCTTTTTTCTTATTTCTGGAAGCTCTAAAAATGTTGTTATTGACTTTGGGCAAGAAATTCAACTTTTAAATGACAAAATAGACTGTCTTGATTAAAATCAATTAATGTCATGTGACTAGTGTGAAAGGTCACATGACCAGATCAGGTCACTTCCTGCTTGCACATCTAGAAGAAGATTTCTTCCTCAGACTACTAAAATAAGTAGTATATAAAATATCTTAATTTACAGATAGAACTATCAAATTTTGTACATATGTTCTTTAAAGGGTCTACTGATATATTTTGAGAATTATACTCCTGCATTTATATTTTGCTCGTAAGACTTGTAAATTTGTTTACGGTCACAATTGTGACCGGTAGTATAACAGTATAGCAGTGCTTCAATTGAAAACACAGGTACAGTATAGGCAGATATTGGCGGGTATTGGCAATCCTACACTGAATATGCCACATCTGTGATGAGGATGGATGATCACGGCGAAGGAGAAGTGCTCACTAACACAGATTTAGACAGCTTTGTGAACAATATTTGATAGAAATAGGCCTTTTGTGTACATAGAAATGGTCTAGATCTTTGAGTTCAGCTCATGAAAAATGGGGGCAAAAACAAAAGTGTTGCATTTATAATTTTGTTTAGTGCAGTTATCAGTATCCCAGAAACGTTCAATGTGTTGGACCTTCTGGACGTGCATGACCCCCTTCCCCCCACCCCAAATTGAAAGTGACTGTAATAGTGATGGCTCAGATAGGGAGTCCCAGGGTGGAACGGCCCATTTGCCAGGTAGACTATTGAATGGCGATGCAGATGTGATCTGGAGGATTGTGCAGATGTTCATGAGAACCAAATGGTGTGCCTCACACATGACCACAAACAACCCTTTCTACAACATTCGGCCCATCTTCAGTGCACTGAAAGAGTGCAGACACATCTACCTGAAACTGGCCTAGGACAGGGCCCAAGTGTAGACATGGTCTAGCCCATAGGGGTCTAGCCGAACAAGCAGAAGTTCCTCCAGGGTGTAACTTTGTTCATGACAACCTTTTCACCTCACTAAGCCTTCTTCACGAAATGACAAAACGAGATATTGGATGTCTTGTAATGAATTGTGTCAATAGGTCAAATTGAAGAATTTGAATGAATTCTGACTATGTAGTTTCCCACCGGTCACTATTGTGACCGAGTATAAAACCTAATATTTCACTAACATAACCAACATAAAATCAAAAAAGGCATATTGTTTGAGTGTTAGGGAGGTCTAAGGAGTAAAATGCATGTACTCAAGTTGCAAGAAAAAATTTGGGATTAAACGGGTTAATGCATAGCCTATAACATGAAGGTTGAGTCTATCCAATACAGTCAATTGTACACTTTAATTTACAATATATATATAAAAAATACAACTGGCCTATTGGAGTAGCTTATGCTTTTACATTAACGTACAAAAAGGGCAGATTAGGTAACCTGGTCTTATTTTTTATTTAATGAATTAATCAGATGATTTATTTACACAATCTTTTTTTAGATTAATTTACAACAAATAACTCGCGTTACTGCGGTGGACAAAATAAACGTGCACACATTGCCTTTGTCTAGTAATTTACATAATCATATAGCAGACGCTTTTGTCCAAAGCGGCTTTAAAAGTGAGGAAAACAACGAAACTGTTCATCGTAATTAAGAGAAAAGAATACATAGATACAAAGTTTTCAACAGTTTTTAGAAACACGCACAGATAGTGTGAGCAATGTTCTAAGTGTTTACGCGTTTGTCACAGAAACGATAAATCATTGTATAATTTATCATAATCATGACAAATCTTAGAGTAAAATATAATATTATGTTTGCCAGCACCTTGCGCATCAAAACAAACTTGTCCTTTCATCACGGGTGAAACTCGCACTAACATTAACAGGCTTGATAGCGCGTTATGTTCTGTCCACTAGTTCCAGCGAGGGTGAGCTAGAGCTCTAGCTCTTCCCATTGGAAGCTGCAGCGAAGCCCCGCCCACTAAATTTAGCGAGGTGGAGCTGGAGCTCCAGAAAAGGGGGAGCTTGAGCTCTAGCTCCTCCCATTTGGCTCTGCATCGAGCACCATCTCAATAAATAGCCTACAGACAGTTAATTCTTAGGGACTGATTTAACTCACTCAAAAGTTATGGATTGATTTATTAATTCAACATCATGTAGCCTAGCTACCCAACTTTTCTTTCAAGCAAAAGGTGTCCAAAAAACTAAAGGTTTTCCTCAAAATAGAAAAGAGCTCGCATCTCAATAAATAAATGTATTAATACAAAAAAAAAAACAACAACAAAAAAACAAACAATATAAAATATATTAGAAGAACTTTTATTATATTATATGTTATAACCATTTTAGCACAATCAATGTAATCAATGAAGAAAATACACAATTGCAGCCTACAAAAAATAATGTTGACAAAACCAACTATACAAAGAACATAAAAATACACACAGCTTTAATAATGCTAAAATATTGATATATGAACAACAAAAAATAGACAATGTTGATTAATAGGGCTGTAACGATACGCTTAATAATTAATAAATAAATGGTAATTTAATAATTTTTTTAATGTTTAATACTTTAATAATAAATTATTTACTCTTTAATAAATAAAAGGTAATGTTAAGTGTGGTGAGCAGGACGGCGGAGAGACGTGAGAGAACGTCGCAAGGCCGGTGGTGGGATTGCTAATGAGCAGCACCTGTGAAGCACACCAGTCTTGCATCTCTCACGGAGAAGCGGAAGCTCAATCATCCGCTTCGTTGCTCCCCCCGTTATGCTTCCGCTCCTCCGTGAGAGATGCGAGACCGGTGTGCTGTGCTACTCATTAGCAATCGCGCCACCGGCCTCGCGACTTTCTCTCACGTGCCTCGGCCATCCTGGGGCCTGTACCATGATGGTAGTTGAACAAACTCAGGGTTGCAGGTTTAGTTTCGAGTTGACAAAACCAAACCAATCCAACCAGGCTCTGTTGGTACAATGATGCTGATCATCAACTTTCTCTGTCAACTCAGGCTTTGAGTTTAGGTGTGAGATCAGTAGCAAACAGCCAATCACATGCTGAGAAAGAGTGAAACTCATTCAAAACTCATTGAAATTAATTTCTTGTGAGAAAAGCAGTGCAATTCACGTATTAAATAAAAGTGTTAAAATATTAAGAATTTAGACAAATTTACACAGCAAGAAGAAAATAGCTGTCTATGAAAGAGGACAACTAAATGAAAGTCTCGCTACTGTATATCAGTGCAAGTAAAAGTTAGTTTGTTGATAAAGGTATAGAGAGAATTGAACATTTAAGCTCACATTTAGTCATTTTATAGCTTCATTTATTGATTCTAAAGCGTGTTTATATTACCTTTATATACGTATTCATTTAAAATCTGCGTAATAATAATTGATGAACTGAAATTAGATTGTTTTAGGGTATAATAATTACAGAAATAATTTGTAAATCATACAAATTTATTTACTAAAAGCCATGATTTTGTCTTTTAAAATAATTTGCTGTGGAGTGACTTTATTGCGTCATACATGTTTCACTTTGCTCACAGCTGATTAGTCCAAGTTCGGTTTGCAACCTCTTACCTGGAACATAACCTGCCCCGGATCAGGTTAGCCGTGGAGTGTAAGTTACTATGGCGATGAACACTGCTAAAAGCCAAATCACTTTCATGGTACCTAAAACCCAGGGTTGGCACAAACTAAACTGGAACATATTGGGCTAGCCACCTAAACCGGCTTCATGGTATAGGCCCCTGCTCATCACAGTAAGTTAAGCAGACAATACATAATCACGACAATGAGGTGCCGGTGCCTGAACTCATAAAATGAGCCGAAACTGAGAAATATATATATATATATATGAAGTAGCGTGTGTATGAAACTATACCTTATCCGTCTTCTGTGCAGTGCCACTTGTAACGCAAAGTCGAGATGTTGCCCAGAGATAAAAAAAAAACAGTAGATGGTCGAATGAAAAGATGCACGAGAGACGAGAGTTGTCGTATTTCCCCGCCTTTAATAGAACCACTCAAACGTTACACTCGTTGTCTTCTCAAAATCCGAATTACAACATCGTATAGATGACATTGTATCATATGATACTCATTAGTTTCTTCATATTGAGTTTGTACAGAATTAACACAAAATTAGTAAACAAACAAATATTGCAGTACGAAATATATGGAAATATCTCCATGCTGAGCCTTTTTTGCACTTCCTGATTTCCCTTGAGAATCCTTGTCCAATGAATGGACGACCTTAGCACACGTGTGGTTTTGTTTACAAATTTTGGTTCACTTGCAAAAAGAGCAGTGTGAAAGCGAACCATACCAAAAAAAAATATATATATATATTTATTTGGTCCGGACCAAAGCAAGTGAACTATTGGACTTTCCTGGTGTGAATACACCCTTAGTCTCATTAATAATTATGAGACACTGATGAGTCATCAAGCACTCACACTGCACGGCTACGTCACAGCCTATGACGTGGACACGATGAAGATTTTAAACCCTGAAGACGAAAAAAGCGGAAAAAACTCAAATTTAACCATTTCAACCCTACTATTAAATTTTACAGATGCTAAAATTGTCTTCCATGGTGTTCAACACACATACCTCTGTTAAAATCTCAGAAAATTTGGTTTGGGGTTTCATGACCCTTTAAGGAATAAGTTGAATGTTTATTTTTTGTTGACTTTCACTTTCTAAAATGGATAATGTCAACACTGCATTCGACTCGAGGTTATTCAAATTCAGGTATTCGCACAACAATGCCCTAACAACGTTTTTTTTTTTCCTTATTTCTCAACTTTTGACAACGCTTGCAAATTTTGAATAAAACGTTGACCACATAATAAGAACTCTGGCTGAACTAATATCTATTTTTCTCTTTGCAGACAGAGTTTAGACATGTCTCCACGCGTTTCTTCAAAGGGAGGAAATACGATTAATGGTCTTAACCAGCACTATGAAGAGAAGGTCCGTCCATGCATTGACCTAGTGGACTCTCTCAGGTCTTTAGGTGTTGAAAAGGACCTGAACCTGCCAGCTATTGCTGTCATAGGTGACCAGAGCTCAGGAAAGAGTTCTGTGTTGGAAGCCCTGTCTGGAGTGGCACTGCCTAGGGGAACAGGTAATATGACCACAAATCAATTAATCAATTAATCAATCAATCATTCAATCTATCAATCATTCTATCTATCTATCTATCTATCTATCTATCTATCTATCTATCTATCTATCTATCTATCGTATGGCTGAATCATAGGTCTGAATTTATTTACATTACACTAGAACATTACAATTGTAAGGAAGTCTATACAAATAAGATGCTGACCATCTATTATTTAAAACACAGGTATTGTGACACGCTGTCCTCTGGTATTGAAACTGAAGAAAATTAAAAAGGACAACAACTGGCATGGATTGCTGTCATATAAGGATCAAGTAAAGCAACTGAAGGATCCTGCTGAAATAGAGAATGCTGTCTTAAATGGTCTGTTAACTTAGCCTACACATTTAAGTATATACAGATACATTTTATTGAGAACTTTAATTCCCTGTGAGTCTTTAAAAAGGTTGAATGAACTGTTTTGTGATCTGTGGGATGTTTGTGTCATGGTATTGTTTTATAGCTCAGACAGTATTGGCTGGAAAGGGAGAAGGGATCAGTCATGAGATGATCACTCTAGAGATCCAGTCCAGTGATGTCCCTGACCTCACTCTCATTGATCTGCCAGGCATTGCTAGAGTTGCCACTGGAAACCAGCCAAAAGACATTGAGAAACAAGTAAGACACTATTTGTACGGTATATGTAAATGTTTAGAAATATTTACAGCATTCCAATATTTTGGATAACAGTTCCTTTAAACATAAATGCTGGAGCAGGTGGTTATAGGAATTTCAAATAAATGTACAGGTTGGACTGTGCCATTTTTAATAAATGTGTGTCAAAAAAAAATTATTCATGAAGAAGTCTATCCGTTAAACAATACTAATGTTGTTTTCCTGTAACAGATAAAAGATGTCATTGAAAAGTTCATTAAAAGACAAGAAACCATCAGCTTGGTTGTGGTGCCTGCAAACATTGACATCGCCACCACTGAGGCTCTCCAGATGGCATTCAAAATAGATTCAACCGGACAAAGGACCCTCGGTATGCAACATTTCACGGAATAAGTGAATTATTGTCAAATACAATGTTCTTGTTGTCTTGATAGTAAAATAAAACACTGATAAGAGTGTATCGACAAATATTCATATCTGCAGGTATTCTGACTAAACCGGACTTAGTGGACAAAGGCATGGAGGAGACTGTGGTCAGAACAGTCAATAATCAGGTGATACAGCTGAAGAAGGGCTACATGATCGTAAAGTGCCGAGGCCAGCAAGACATCAATGAGAAGCTTGATCTGGTCAAAGCGCTGGAAAAAGAACGACTTTTTTTTGATGAACATGCTCATTTCAGGCAAGTCTTTTCTTTCAAAATTGAAGCATGAGCCATTTCATGTCTGTGGTGGAAAAACAATGGTGTGATTTATATGCAGGCAAGATGTTTTTGAAATATAATCTAATATATACAATGTTCATGACATTCATCTCATGTTATATTTTAGTAATATTTTTCTGGATGTGTTATTGCTGTTGTTTCACAACAACTACACTGTTGACGTATTTCTTCATGTTTCACATAAAAAAAATAATGCAAAATGCTGTAGCTATGCTGCAGTCCTTAACTTCCTTGTCATTATTTTAAATTCATTCTTTCCTTTCAGGTCTCTTCTTGAGGAAGGAAAAGCTACAGTACCCCTTCTTGCAGAAAGACTCACAAAAGAATTGGTTGAACACATTACTGTGCGTATAAAGAGAAAGGCTGCTCGATTGTGGCAAAAATCATAATCACGGTTATTTTGATCAATATTGAAATCACAATTATTTATCATAATTAGGATAGGGTGATAAGGCCAAAATCCTATTTGAATTTCTTCTCTTTTTCACAAGGAAAAGATGTTGCTATGATATCAGAAGTTTAGATGCCACTGAAATGTCAAAATTCTCTATACCAATTTCGATACCAAAGCGGAAACTCAAAGAGGAAGTCCTCTAATAATCATTGAAGACAATGAGACAATCAATGATACAATTAAAACAGATTCAAATTACAAATAGAACAAATATATACAATTTGAAATCATGCTTTAAGTTTTAAATGTAAGTCTATCTAACAGAATAATATTCCGCTAATAAATCAAAACTAAAATTTAACTTAATCACTCAGCCCTAACAAAGTTACAGCAGAGACATTGATAGAAAAGAGTGAATGACTTAAAGCATCGAAGACTAAAATCAGAATAGGATACAGAATTCTAGATTGCCTTTAGCTTTCTAATGTCTCTATTTCCATGTAATTTCTTTACCTTTAGAAAACGCTGCCACAGTTGCAGAAACAACTTGAGATGAAATTAGAGAAGACGACTGCGGATCTTAGAGCACTGGGAGATGGAGTTCCAACGGATGAACACGCGAAGAGCAATTTTCTGATTACGGTAAAAATCTTAACGGAATAATTGCACATGTTGCACCCCATATGTTTTTATGTGGCCTTTTTTAAATCTCATAGCCTGATGAGATTTGCACTCTGCAGAAAATTCACCAGTTCAGCGATGCCCTTGAAGGAGTAAAAAGGGCAGAAGAAGATCTAAGCTCAGACATGAGGGTCTTCACCAAAATCAGGAAGGAATTTGGAAAATGGAAATGCGTTCTGGATGACAAAACCATAAAGAGTGAGTTTATAAATAATATTTTATTTACATTGTAGCATTGTAGAATACATTTAAATGATCAGTAACAGTAATGTTACTTTGTGTAACATTACTGTACTGGAAGTATCTCGTTGTTGACACATTCCCATAGGCATTAAACTTACTGATTTTTGCTTACACTGCACTTTCAGCGCAACAACTTTGCACTTACTATTCATGCACCAACAGCAACATTACACACTATTTAAAATTAAAAAAGTGAAATCGCAGTCAACCCCCCTTTAAAGGACAATCAGTGTGTCTTGTTGTCTCTCGACAATTAACGTCAATAAATCATCAAGCTTGTGAGATTGTTTCTTGAGTTCCTTCATAAATTAATTTAAGCCACTTCTGTGCAGCATCAAAATATCTGTGGGCATGCAATATAAATGGTGTTTGATTTGAACCCTTTGTGCTGCGGGGGTGTGTACTTCTTGATTTTCTTTTATATCTTCTCTCTAGCGGAGGAAACCCTCAGAGATGAGGTAGAAGAGTATGTTAGGACTCGTAGAGGAAAGGAGCTTCCTGGATTTGTGAACTACAGAACTTTCGAAAACATTGTCAAGAAACACATTGAGGAGCTGGAGGACCCTGCCTTAAAGCTGCTCAAAGATGTCGCAGGTGAATGGCAGTATTTCAAGAGATGGTTTGAAGTGTTGCATGCTTGGAAAAAAATCAAAACAAAATTGGTGATGGATATCAAGTATGCAATGCATATATACTTTGTTGTGCCTTACTGTAACTAATTTGATTGACTGTTTTGTTTTCTTGTGTCCTTTATTACAGACATTGTTCGTTCCTGTGTGAACCACATTGTTAGCTCTCAATTCAAGGCCTTCTCTCACCTATTAAGGGCCACCAAAGATCCAATTGAAGATTTTCTCGATGAGCAGTTTCAGAAGGCTGAGGAGAAAATACAGTCTCAATTTAAGATGGAGAGGATTGTCTACTCCCAAGACCATCTGTACAGCAATCAGCTTGACGCTGTAAAACAAAGTCTAACAGTTATTGCGCAAAGGAAGTTCATCAGTGCAGATGTACGCGAGATGACACAACATCTCACTGCCTATTTTAAGGTAATAATTTGACACATTTATGAATGGGTTCACATACCTGAAGATTTAGGAGTCTTTGTTCTTTAATCTCTGTGCATAATCTTTTTGCCACTTTGCAATTGCAAGAATAATGATTGTTTTCCAAAAACGTATGGTTGGTTTTCTTGTAGTTGTCTCTGTCTTCCATCTTGGGATAGCAGAAAGATTTTAACATCAAAAACAAATGTCACATATGCATGGAGAGGCTAAATTATTGGTGGCAGAGTCTTGAAATAAATATGAATTTTGCTTATTATGGTTTAGAATGTATTTAAGTACTTTGTATATTTGTAGATTACTTCTGACCGCCTGGCTAATCAAGTTCCACTGATAGTCCAGTATCACATGCTGGACCAGTACATCTCTAAGCTTCAGAATGCAATGCTTGCCTTGATTGGAGGGAACAATCCAGAAATGCTGCTCCAAGAAGATTCCACTGTTGCACGTAAAAGGAAAGAACTAAAAGAGCGACTGGAGCGCCTTAAGAGTGCAGGCAAAGTCCTGTCCAAGTTTGTGCAATCTGTATAATTGTTAAGTGTCTGTTGTTCATTAGTTTATTTTTGCTGCACCAATCCCAGATGTTTTGCAATGTTTTGCAGAATTGCAATGGGATGTCTTGGAGTTTGTTTTGTTCATGTACAGATAGTTAACACCATAAAGATGGTGTTTGTGGTAATTCCCTGCTAAAATTCCATGTAGGGACATTGTTTTGGAAAGTGCCCCACAGTTTGTTTTACACTTTAAGAAATATATTTTCTATTTTATGTTATGTGTGTATCCAGTTTCCTAATTGTTCGTTTAGTGAGAACCACATAAATCTAGAAATAATAACTTCAAACTTTTACTCAAGATGTTATGATGCTGTTCTTTGATAAATGGAACTTAAGTACATGCATCTTTAAAGACAGCTTGTAACTTGGCAAAAGATTACACTTTTATGTTTGTAAGAATCTAAGAATTCACTTTTACAACTTGAAAATAAAAAAAAAATGGTGAAAGGTTGTTATTGTGATTAAGACACACATATATAGCTAATTTATTTACGTTGTTATGTTATTGTTATTCATTAAACTCGGATGCAGCTCTTTTAAATTCAAAAATCTAGATTGTTGGTTGGTAACGTACAGTAAACTGTAGGTGGCGATATGTTTCTATGTTTTTCCATCCTCCAGTAAAGCCGAAGAAGGCTATATTATTTCGTCCTCCATGTCCTACTTGCCCCGCGCCAGCATGTTTGCTCTGAGCTCGCTGTTCCGTACTGCCCACTTCAGATATGCGGCGGCTGCTGCTCAGTTTCATGCATCTTCAAACTTCAGTAGCGCAAAAGTCGCTGTTGTAAGTAGTTATGCAGACCCAAACTGGCATTGCACGTGACTGTTATTGGCGCTCGATGTCAAAATACCTAACGTTTAGTGTCCCATTTTAGAGCTGTATTGAGATTTCATAAACAACTGCATTTCCGTAGGCGGTTTTACTGTGTTCTGAAAGTAACGTTAGTTATTTCTCAGTTCTGGTAGAGGCGCTTCATGTGACCCTGTCCAGAGCCATGGCTCTGACCCTGTCTATAAGTTGCTTATTTGCATAAAACAGTAGAAATCAGTAAATTTACGAGAAAATAATCACTGTCAGGTAGTAATTATTTCAGAATAAACCCCGACGGGCATTGGAGTATGAACACAGCAACAATACAGTAATATTCATACTGAAGTTCTTGTTTAACCCCTTGACTAATCGCTAAATGAGACCAAGGTGCCAGTTGCAAAAGCGGGTTGAGTTCCTGGTGGCATGAAAGTACAGTCAGCCGCCAGTATCATTAAAAGGATAATTCACCCAAAAATTTCAATTTAAAGGTGAGGTGTAAAGAGTACTATATTCTACTCAAGTAAAATTACTATTTAAAATGTAAATGTTTAAGTAAAAGTAGTGGTCTAAAAATCTACTTTAGTAAAAAGTAGCTCATTTAAAATTTCCTGAGTTCACAGTTACTTGTTACTGAGTAACAAGTAACTGAGAGTTTCACAGTATGATAATAACTGTCTCCGAAAATATCACAGTTTATACGCTCACCTAAAGGATTATTAGGAACACCATACTAATACTGTATTTGACCCCCCTTTTCCTTTAGAACTGCCTTAATTCTATGTGGCATTGATTCAACAAGGTGCTGAAAGCGTTCTTTAGAAATGTTGGCCCATATTGATGGGATAGCATCTTGCAGTTGATGGAGATTTGTGGGATGTATATCCAGGGCACGAAGCTCCCGTTCCATCACATCCCGATGCTCTATTGGGTTGAGATCTGGTGACTATGGGGGCCATTTTAGTACAGTGAACTCATTGTCATGTTCAAGAAACCTGAAATCTGAAATGATTCGAGCTTTGTGACATGGTGCATTATCCTGTTGGAAGTAGCCATCAGAGGATGGGTAGATGGTGGCAATAAAGGGATGGACATGGTCAGAAACAATGCTCAGGTAGGCCGTGGCATTTAAATGATGCCAAATTGGCACTAAGGGGCCTAAAGTGTGCCAATTCAATGCCTTTCAATCAATTAATGTTGTAGTTCCACAATGTTTTCACCCAAAGTATTTCATTTTCTTAGCAATATTTTGTTTTACTCTGTAACGTATATGATTTAAAATGTAGTAAATTACAATACTTCAAACAAAACATACTTAAGTAAAAGTAAAATTACAGATTTTAAAAACTACTTTAAAAAGTACAAGTAGCCGAAATTGTAGATGACATTCATTGACTTTGGTTACCAACATTCTTCAAAATATATTCTTTTGTGTTCAACAGAACAAAGAACCCCTTACAGGTTTGGAACAACATGAGGTAGTAATGACAAAATTTAAATTTTTGGGTGAATTATCCCTTTAAGACAGATGCTCATTGATCTGTTGGTTTTAAGTAATCCGAACGGCTTTTAGTGTTTTTGTTTATTGCTCTCCAGCTCGTCACAAAACACGTGAAGAGTTCTGTGATCTAACTTTTAATCTTTTATTCATTAGGTGTTGTCTGGATGTGGTGTTTATGATGGCACTGAAATCCACGAGGCATCAGCGTGAGTAACTTTTTAGTTTTTTTTTTTTTAAATGTCTCTATAATATTTGTCTTTCTTTAGTTATTCAGCGGATTCACAAAAATCTAGTTCTATAAGGAACAGAAGGTCTTCTTGTTGTATTGGATTTCATGCCAAGTTTGACTTTAGAGGGCCTAGGACAGGCAAACTCCATCGTGGAGGGCCACTGTCTGTCATGCAGAGTTCAGCATCAATTTACCTCAACACAAATGCCTGAAAGTTTCTAATATGCTTAGTAAGACCTTATTTAGCTTGTTCTGTTGTGTTTTATTGGGGTCGGAGCTTAACTCTGCAGGACAGTGGCCTTCCAGGAGCAGTATTGAACACCCCTGCTTTAGGAGTTCGCGCTAAAACTGTAAAATATGTCAGAATTAATTTCAGATTTTTCTCTCTCAATGAAACCCAAACGTGTGTCTTTATGCATCATAGCCTCAGAGCTATTGCTTGAACTCTTTTCTTTTTCGTGAATACTCGTTTATGCTGTACGTTTGTGTATGTAGAATCCTTGTGCATCTAAGTCGGGGAGGTGCAGAGGTTCAGATGTTTGCCCCCGATGTGTCTCAGATGCATGTGATTGACCACGGCAAAGGTCAGCCAGTGGAGACAGAGTCAAGGTGAATTGTCCTCTCAGAAATTCTGTGTAAAAGATTACACTGTCAAAACAATTCCTTATATACCTTAGCATACCTGTACAGTTTTGTGTTTTTGTAACTGTAGGAGTTCAATTATTAACACATTATTAACTCGCTCAACATTTCTTTTTATATAGGAACGTCTTATCAGAATCAGCGCGTATCGCAAGGGGCAACATCATTGACCTGGCAAAACTGAGTGCCAGTAATCATGATGCGGTCATCTTCCCTGGTGGTTTCGGTGCAGCTAAAAACCTGTGAGTGCGTTGACTAAATGTGTTAAACTGGACCTGCCTTTTAAAGAAAGCTTTGAAAATAAAACCAATGCTAAATACCTTTTTGCATTTAGATATATTTTAATTTGCCATTGTCATTCCTGTTGTAATTAATTAATAATAAATCATTACATTTATATAGCGCTTTTCTCAGCACTCAAAGCGCTTTACATAAAAGGGGCAATCTCCTCACCACCACCAATGTGCAGACCAGCTTACTGGTGGAGAGGAGACAGAGTGAAGCAGCCAATTGGTGTATATATATATATATATATATATAGGGATGATTGGGAGGCCATGATTGACCTTGGGGCCACTGGGCAAATTTGGCCAGTTACATTTACAAACCAGGCTCAGCCCTGCTTAGCTTCAGTGGGCAACCAGTCTTGGGCTACGGAGTGATATGGCTGCTGGCTGCTGTTGTAGTCCTCATCTCTCTGTGTATTGTCTTCTGTATCTTTGCCATCATCAGGTCAACATTTGCTATTGATGGGAAGGACTGTAAAGTGAATGAGGAAGTGGAGCGGGTTTTAAAGGACTTCCATAAAGCAGGAAAGCCAATTGGGTAAGTCGTTATAAATTATAATACTAAATTCACCTTATTTTACAATAAAGAAGTAAGAGAATATTAATGTGGGACTTCTTTATCCTCTATAGACAAATAACTACAAGAATAACAAAGTGCTATAAAGGGTAAAACTATTTGCGCTTCAAACCAGTGTGTTTATAATTACAAAAAAAATCAAATGCTATGATAAATAAGGCCCTGTCTCAAATTTCAGTTCAATTATTTGTATAGCGCTTTTCACAATACATATCATTTCAAAACAGTCTTTCAGAAAAATGCATGCGTCTACAATACAATTAAGAGTGATCTGTTTTCAGAGACGACTGTGTCCAAGTACATTTACATATCAACAATGTATTCATTTACGGCAGAAACAATTAGCTTATTTAAGTCATTATTACAAATTTAGCATTGGTGCATGTTAATTCAGAGCATGTTAATTCTGAAGTCCTCGCGGGAGATGACGTCATCTCTCCACAGTTATTAGGGCATCTGAAGTCTTTGTAAGAGGCTGGATCCAAACTGGAGCTGATGTACTCTCTAGATACCTCAGGATGGACATCCTGAGATAAAACAGAGAAGCAAATAGAAAATAAATAGCGTAGCTGTTGTTCATTACATTAAGTGTAATCATTTGCATTTGATCTTATTTGACTGGTGTATAGTACATGGTTATGAGATGTATTATGTGAATGCCTGGATAAAAAGATCTCTCTTTAATCTAGATTTAAACATTGAGAGCGAGACCCAAACATTATCATGAAGGCCATTCCAGTTTAGGAGCCAAATATTAAAACGCTCTCCCTCCTTTAATGGACTCGGATATTCTAGGTACAACCAAAAGTCTAGAGTTTTGTGACTTTAAAGAGCATGATGGTTTGTAAGGCGATTGAAGATCGGTTAAATACACTGAAGCTGAACCATTTAGGGCCTTATAGGTCATTAGCAAAACTTAGTACTCGATACGGAACTTAATAGGTAACTAAATGGCACATTTATGTTACAGTGGCCACTGCGAGCACGTATATAAAAGACTGTAGGCTGTCCCATTTTTCATTTTATGTTTCAGAAGGGTGCTTGCGAGCAGTCCCTTCGCAGCCGATATGCGCCCTGTTGCACACTTTTACCAAGCCTGTGCTGACCCAAGCTCCACAGACAGTCAAAGTGGCATTAACATATATTGCGTTTAGTGTGGACTCAGAGGAAGACCACAGGATCTTTGGGTTACATTTGGGACAGGGCCTAAAAGTTGTGGTGTGCTTTGAAATAAAAAGATCTGTTTTTTTTTTTATTTATTTATTTTTATAAATCACTGACTCCTTGTCTTCTGGTCTTAAGGTTGTGCTGTATATCTCCAGTGCTGGCAGCGAGAGTTCTTCCTGGTGTGGATGTGACGGTGGGTCATGAGGAGGAGGAAGGTGGGAAGTGGCCATATGCTAGTACTACACAAGCCATCACTGCACTGGGAGCCAAACATACTGTTAAAGAAGTCACCATATCCTACCTGTACAGAGTTCTTCTCTTCTCTTCTCTTCTCTTCTCTTCTCTTCTCTTCTCTTCTCTTCTCTTCTCTTCTCTTCTCTTCTCTTCTCTTGTCTTCTCTTGTCTTCTCTTCTCTTCTCTTCTCTTGTCTTCTCTTCTCTTCTCTTCTCTTCTCTTCTCTTCTCCATGGAAGTCAAAATGATGACATTACATCATTACATACCATGTCATAATTATGAGATAAAAAGTTAAACATTTTATTGTCATGATTTCAACTTACTTTACTTCTCATTAATTTTATGAGAGCTTTGTCTTTCTGAATGAACCTTAACCTTCCATCCTTACGAAGCTCATGTGGACCAGAAGAATAAGGTGGTGACCACACCTGCATTCATGTGTGAAACAAAGTTGCACTTGATTTTTGATGGGATTGGTGCTATGGTGAGGGACGTCCTAAAGCTCAGCGGGAAGTAAAAGTTCAACCAGTATATCAGTATCTTCATCATTATCACTCATATAGGATCTGTATCAGACTGCATAAATGAAAAAGAGAAGGCTATTTATTGCTGGGATTTTAGTGATTTGCAAAACAAGACTGTGAAAGACTTGACAGACATTACTAATCAAACATGTATCTGCCTGACAGTGTTAAATGGTATTTTGGTAAATATCCAGCAGAGGGCACTCTCTGTTTTGGAGAAAAGTACATGTGAACTAAATGTAGCTCTGTGATTTCTTAATTTTGAAAACTTTTATATGTAACTTGCCATGTAAAGGAAAGAGTATCATGTTAGTGTATCAACTTAATATAATGCACCAATAAATGCTGAACATGCCTGTGCTCTTTAAATATATTAGACACCGTGTGTTCAAAAATGAAGTTTGAAGTTTTTGAAATTGAAAATAAAATAATTAAAAAATATATATATAAAATGACAGTGTATAGTCATTTAGTCAGCACTTAATGTAAAGCAGTAATGTCTGAAAATCAAGTTATTTCAAACTCAAAATATTTTCTTTAATAATTGACAAAGTCAACTGTATGACGGGTTGTGTGCCATTCAGAATTAAATTGCGAATGCTTTTTATATTACACTTCAATTCTGATTGTGATTTGAGTTAACAAACACGATGCAGAATTGCATTTCAAATGTGAATCTACACTACTATTCACAAGTTTGGGATCGGTAAGGTTTTTTTAATGTTTTTGAACATTTCTTGTTCGTTGATTTTTGGTGCTTAAATGAGTAGTTCACTTTTTTTTTAAAAACAAAACAAACGTTTGCTGATAATTTACTCACCCCCATGTCATCCAAGATGTCCATGTCTTTCTATCTTCAGTCAAAAATAAATTAAGGTTTTTGATATATAATGGACTTCAATGGGAACCAAACGGTTCGAGAGTTTCAGTGATGCTTCAAAGGGCTTTAAACGACACCAGACGATGAATTGGGGTCTTATCAAGCAAAAACGATCAGTCATTTAAAAATAAAATAAAAAAAGTTTAAGTTTTATAAGCACAAATGCTCGCCTTGCTCTGTTCTGTGATGAGCGTTCGTGACTCTCCTGTTTAAACTCGTTCATCAAAATGAACAAATCTTTTTTCGAGTAATCACTCAAATGGTTTTATCAAGGACCCGTTATTCATCGTCTGGTGTCGTTTAAAGCCCTTTGAAGCTGCACTAAAACTCATTTGGAGCTTGAGCCATTTGGTTCCCAATTAAGTCTATTATATGGAGAAAATCCTGGAATGTTTTCATCAAAAACCTTAATTTCTTTTTGACTGAAGAAAGAAAGACGTGGACATCTTCTTGGATGACATAGTGGTGAGTAAATTATCAGCAAAAGTTTTTTTTTTTTTAAAGTGAACTACTCCTTTAATGTAATTTAATAGCAGACAATCTGTAATATTTGTATTTCTCTTTGCCTAGAGTATGATGTAAAAAGTGGCATAGCTTAACCTATTCTCTCCTAGCCTAAAGAGAAGAAACCAAATATTATAATAACATTTAATACATTTGCTCCATCTGACATATGTTCAAATGTTCATGGCTAATTTTTAAAGTGATTGTCTATAAATAGGAAATCAGGTGGTGAAGGGAGAAGTGTGTCCTGGAAACTGCAGAAAGACAGTGAGATAAAAGGAAACAGGTGTGTTTAGACTAACAGGAGTAGTCGTCTAGCTAGAGGCACTGATCATCATATGGCATCATGCACCTCTGCGGTCCATCCACACACTCATTTCCTGAGCACCCGCATCTTATTGAGGTATGAGTTTAGAGGCTGTGAACACAAACATAATCCTATCATAACTGCTTATATTTGTTTCTAAAATATGTCATGATTTAAAATCTGTGTATAGACATTGGGGTAATTTGTAACACCTTTAACATCAATGTCTGTTCAAAATATATTTTACATAAAGGCTTATGTATAATGCATTATACAGGTATTCATAATGTCATATTTTATAATGCATTATAATGTTTACAGATTCATTTTTACATCTGTAATTGGTTGTTTGTCGTGTTTTAATGCATTATGCGTTATAAAGATGTAACATAAGTATTATAATGTATTGTAACTGGTTACAATTATTCATGAGACCGTACCATGCATTTAAGGTGCATTACAAGGCATAAATAATGCATTAAAAAATTATTGTTATATATCGTTTCTTTTTCTTTACATGTAATGTTAAAGCTGAACTTTCAGCAATCATAACTCCAGTCTTCAGTGTCAAATGATCCTTCAGAAATCACTCTAATATGCTGATTTAAAACTCAAACATTTCTTATTATCTGTGTTGTGTTAATATTTTTGTGGAAACATACTTTTTTTTCAGGATTATTAGATCAATAGAAAGTTCAAAGAACATAATTTATTTGAAATAGAAATCTTTTGTAACATTTATAAAGGGTTTCACAGTCACTTTTTATTAAATGAATGCATTAGTGAAAAATTATGTATTTTTTCATTTAATTTTTTAATATAATATAATATAATTTCCCACTGCTGCCTCTGCTGTTGTGTGATCTGATAATGTCACGTTCTGGACTGGTTTCGCTCTATTCAGTTGTATTTGTGTCAGGTCAGGCAGATGAGTCTCCCCACTGGTTACTTTAGACTTCACTCTTTCTGATGGAGGCCAGTTCTCAGACCAGGGCATCCAGTTCTTCTGTTCCCAGGCACGGCACTCTTTGATGGGGATTTCTCCCACCCACTTCTCATCAGCCCTACCCACTTCCCACAGCCACCCAAAGAGGCCAATTTGTTCGTACAAAACGTGGGGATTTGGGGGCCTGCAGATGCTCTTGCACAGACAAATGGTAAGTATTTGCCTGGCAGTCTGAGATTCCTCACCCCCACCCCCTTCTACTCATAAACACACACTCACTTGGTGCTTTCTCTACACACTTGGACGACGGGTTGGGTTTCTTTATGCTGACTGTCAAAAAATGGTCGAAAAAAAGATGGTCGAAACGTTGAAAGAACGTTTTCCCCAAATCATAACTAATTCTACCTTTTCTCCCATTCTTAAGCTGTTGTAGGGATGTTAATGGGCTGAGGTCTCAGTGTATTATGGTGAGTGGGACAGTCTATCAGGGGCCGGACTGAGGCCCCGCAGTCCTCCTGGCATCCTGATCAGAGGATTAGCAGAACACAGCCGCAGGTCAAGAGCATGCTAGTCTCACACACTCTCTTTAACACACACACACACACACACTTATCATTCCGCTTTCTCACACAAACACCTTTCGCTTTCACACATGTCCGCCCGGAGAGAGCATTTCTCAACCGCTCACACTTGTGCAGAAGAGGCCTGTTTGATAGCAGGCTGCGGATTAGGTTCTGTGTTCTCTTTTATTCTTATTCTGATTGGCTTATGTCCTCGAGAGGCTTTTTTACTACAGTGAGGTCGTACTAGTCCATACAATGAAAGTTTTTTTTTTTCTCATGACATCATATTCCCCTTTCCTACTCCATTTAAAAGGTTTTTAAGGTTGTTGTTTTTTTTTTTTTTTTTTTTTTCACTTTAATACGCAAGAAGGATAATTGTTTGGTTTTATGGTACTTGCATAAAAGATCACAACATGATCAACACAACACACATTTTTATGAAATAATTGTGTTTGATCCTTGTAAAAATGTTATCTGGTTTATAATTATTAATGATAAATCATTACATATATTTTATATGTCTGTTCTCAAGTAATACATATTAATGTTCTTATTTCAGATATGAACCCACAATTCTACTCCATATTTTAACCACAACCGCTTTATAAATATGACAGCTGGTCTGGTCAATGTCAGTGCCGAACCTTTCCAGCTCCAGAATATAAGGGTGGGCTGGTGTTTGACCAGAGAAGCGTGTCCTGTCTGTTAGTGTACCCCTGCACTGACCCCTGTCCATCCCTCAATAGTACAACGCCTTGTTGCCCTCAGCATGAGGTCCCAGCATCCCCTAGTTGTGATAGTGGGTGGCACACAGCAAGGGGCCTTAGAGAGGATGCAGAGTTAGCAACTAAAATGGAGACTCGCATTTCCATATGCATGCCACTGACAAGTGTTCTACTGAAAAACCCGGTACCAATACGTGTACAAGGTTGCCCAATCCAGCAAGATTGGGGGAGCCTGGGGGGGTTGGGCTTTAAAGAGGACTACTGCAATATTGTACTAATTCCCGCAAGAGACTCTCTATCAAAGCGAAAGACATAAAGAGAGGAGGAGGGGAGGAGAGGAAAGAAAGCAGGAAGAATGAGTTTGGGAGCAAGAGGGACAGAGATGCTGATTTTGATGTGAAAATGCTTTGCTGATTAGCATATGATGGTTTGTTCAGACCCAGTATTTATCGGCAGAATTGAATGCGTGTGCGGCATGGATGTGACTTTGTCCCCCGCAAATTTCCACAGCCACCTTTTCAGATACCCCTCCACCCCCACACACCTCCTCTTTCAGTTTCTTTTCTTACCTCTTTTCTATGGACATTGCCTTTTTCTGCCCTCTTTCTCAATGGTGTGCATGTATAATAAAAAAAGGTTGTTAACAATGACCAGGCCGGTTTATTGTTATTAATTTTTAAAGATCAGACACTTATTTTTAATCTTGACAAGTATACTGAAAACCGATTTAAAGAAAAGTTAACAGGTTCACTAAACAACCTATTCACTTAAATTATAAAAACTGAATTAGAAAATGTAAATTTTTATAATTAAATTTGTATTAAGTCACAAAATAAATGTTGTTATTTTTGGTTTTGGCTACAGTTTACAAGTATTAAAATTGTAACCGATTTAAAGAAAAGTTTACCGGTTCACTAAACAACCTATTCACTTAAATTATAAAAACTGAATTAAAAAAATTAAAATTTTTTAAATTAAATTTGTAAGTCACAAAATAAATTTTGTTATTTTTGGTTTTGGCTACAGTTTAATAAAGTATTACAAATATAATTAATTATCAATTATAATTGTATATTTGTATATTATATTTAAATTTTGTGTGTATATATATATATATATATATATATATATATCTTTTACTTATTAATACATTATTGTTATTATTTTATTATTATTATTACCTTAGTGCCTCTGTCCTCTCGCAGTAAGGTAAAGTATCTTGCACTTTTCTCTGGGACTGCAAAAGAGCAGAGCAGGTCTCCCAGTGTGGTGCCTCTCATCTTTTGTGTGCTGTTTCCCCGTGCCAGCTTTCTGCTGTCACATTAGTGCACAAATCAAATACACAAGCTCACATGCAAATATACTTTTGGACTTTTAGCTTTTTAGCTTGCTTCCTCTTATACAGGAATTATTTTTGTTCTTTCAAACAGATTTGGTAAGTGTCATCATGTTTGTCTTGCCTTTCTAAAGTGTCTCTCTGGGATGTTAAGTGGGAGCAAGGAATCCTTCATCTAATGAACCGTTGGCAGACCCTCACCACTGAAATTGTCCCTTTTGCCAGAGGAATAGCCAGGATATACATTAGTACGAACTGTGTGCGATTGTTTATTGTGTGTGTGTGTATCTGTCAGACGGTCAGTGCAAATGGTCAGGCTGTTCCAGGTTAAAGTTCATGGTCATCATGGTTGAGGTGGACGGTTCTCCATCTGGTGGGGACTCGGCCTCCGAGGGTCAGGGCTAAAAAGTGTCTGCAAGTGTGGAGCTTGTCTTCAAAAGTTTATTTTGTGTGTTGGCAGAACAAGTGTGTGAATCACATGTCCATGTGTGTCCTGTGTGAGGTCCAAAGGCCTATCCA